GAAGCCACAGTTGGACTACTCAGAGTTCTTCAGTGAGGATGTGGGGCAGCTGCCTGGCCTCAGCATCTGGCAGATCGAGAACTTTGTGCCCACGCTGGTGGATGATGCCTTCTATGGGAAGTTCTATGAGGCCGATTGCTACATCGTGCTTAAGGTACATAAAGGGAGCAGGGATCACTGTGTTCCCAGGACTTTTGGCAGCCCTTCTCACACCCTGTCCCTCCATAGACCTTCCTGGACGAGAACGGCTCCCTCAGCTGGGAGATCTACTACTGGATTGGGCAGGAGGCCACTCTGGACAAGAAGGCATGCTCTGCCATCCACGCTGTCAACCTGCGCAACTACCTGGGGGCCGAGTGCCGCTGCATCCGTGAGGAGATGGGGGATGAGAGTGATGAGTTCCTCCAGGTGAGGCTATCTCAGTGCCTCCCCACAACCTCCAGCCTTCCATTCCCCACTCTCATCCCCTTTTCTTTGCCCCCAGGTTTTTGATAATGACATCTCCTACATCGAGGGTGGCACGGCCAGCGGGTTCTTCACTGTTGAGGACACGCAGTACATCACCAGGTAGGGCTGGGGGCAGGCAGCTGGGAGGGAGTACACACAGGGCAGGTGGTGCCTCGTGTTCAACCATGGCCATCTCTCTCTTCCAGGCTGTACCGTGTCTACGGGAAGAAGAACATCAAGCTGGAGCCAGTGGCACTGAAAGGGACATCCCTAGACCCCCGGTGAGCCAGAAAAGAGTGAGGGGACATATGGGACCCTAAAAAGGGACAGAGTGCCAGGTCCAAGCCAAGACAGAGTGGCTGCAGCTTTAGGGTAGAAATGAGCTGCCTTTCTGTAAGACCAGGGATTCAAACCTTGTGTAAAGGCCCCACCTGCTCTACAAAGACCCCAGTGTGGGGAGGATGGTGGTGCATCCTGCTACTTTCCTCACCTGCTCTATGTCTGTATTCTCCAGCTTTGTCTTTCTCCTGGACCACGGCCTGGAGCTTTTTGTGTGGCGGGGCAGCCAGGCCACACTGAGCAGCACCACCAAGGCCAGGTAGGGGCTGGAACCTGGGTTGGGGACCCAGGTTAGTGGGGAGACCACCTCACCCCACACTCCCACAGGCTCTTCGCTGAGAAGATCAACAAGAACGAGCGCAAGGGCAAAGCAGAGATCACACTGCTCTGCCAGGGTCAGGAGAGCCCTGAGTTCTGGGAGGTGCTGGGGGGGCAACCTGAGGAGATCCAGCCCTGTGTCCCTGATGATTTCCAGCCTCACAAGCCCAAGCTGTACAAGGTGAGGAGCTGCCACCCTCTGTGAGATCATCACTATGCCATGGCCATCCTCACCCTGTGTCCCTGTTTTCTCTGCAGGTTGGCTTAGGGCTGGGTTACCTGGAGCTGCCCCAGATCAACTACAAGCTGTCGGTAGAGCACAAGAAGAGGCTGAAGGCCGACCTGATGCCTGAGATGCGCCTGGTAGGACATAGGATGGGGCAGGGAGGGTCTCCTGTTCTGACCTATGAGATGGGTTCTGATCTCTCCTTGCCTCCAGCCATGCTCTGGGGCAGGCTCAACCAGTGGTATCCTGGGTGCAGGATGTTCTGCTTGTCTCAGCTGGCCTTGAGCTTTTCCCAGGCTGGAAAATTCATCAGGAGTTACCTGACTGTCTCTCCACTCTGTGCCCCCAGCTGCAGAGCCTGCTGGACACCAAAAATGTGTACATCCTGGACTGCTGGTCTGATGTCTTTATCTGGATTGGGAGGAAGTCGTCACGGCTGGTGCGAGCAGCAGCACTGAAGCTGAGCCAGGAGTTGTGTGGGATGCTGCACCGCCCCAAGCATGCCATGGTCACACGGAACCTGGAGGGCACTGAGTGCCAGGTGGGGGGACACAGATCTGAAGGGCAGAGATGGGGTTGCACCTGGGGCCTTCTGCTCCCTCTCCTCACCTCACATCCTCCATGTTCAGGTGTTCAAATCCAAGTTCAAGAACTGGGATGATGTCCTGCAAGTGGACTACACCCGCAACGCTGAGAACGTGCTGCAGGAGGGCGGCCTGGCTGGCAAGGTGCGCAAGGACACCGAGAAGAAGGACCAGATGAAGGCTGACCTCACTGCTCTCTTCCTGCCCCGGCAGCCCCCCATGCCCCTGAATGAGGTAGTGTTGGGGATGCCCCACGTGTCCCCCATGGCAGCAGCAGGCCTGGAGCTCCATGTGCTGACCGAGCACTTGGGGATCTGCAGGCAGAGCAGCTGATGGAGGAGTGGAATGAGGACCTGGACGGGATGGAGGGCTTTGTGCTGGAGGGCAAGAAATTTGCACGGCTGCCTGAGGAGGAGTTTGGCCACTTCCACACACATGACTGCTACGTCTTCCTCTGCAGGTGAGCCAGTTTGTCCTTTCTGGGGCTACTGAGCCCCTGCATCCCCCATCACCCTGCCCAGATTCTCCCCCTCACCCCTGTCCCTGCACGCAGATACTGGGTGCCAGTAGAATATGAGGAGGAAGAGGAGAAGAAAAAGAAGAGTGAGGGCAAAGAGGAAGAGGAGGGTGAGGAAGAAGAGGAGGAGAAACAACCTGAAGAAGACTTTCAGTGCATCGTATACTTCTGGCAGGGCCGCGAGGCCTCCAACATGGGCTGGCTCACCTTTACCTTCAGCCTGCAGAAGAAGTTTGAGAGTCTCTTCCCTGGCAAGCTAGAGGTGAGACCCTGTGCTGGGATCCCCTGTACTGCCTATGGGGAACTGCTCCTTAACTTGGCCCACGAAGCCCCAGCCCCAAGGATCGCCCCCCTGCCCACACCTGGAGGAGGAATATGGGATCATTCTGCTTGGCCTTGCTGCTCCCCTTTCCCCCATCTCCCCCTGGACAGAGGGCAGGGGGTGGCAGCTGAGATGAAGATGGTGGCACAGAGGTGCCAGCAGACACTCACACACCTGGAGCTTGGAGTTCTGTTGGGGGCCCCATGCCCCTGCTGACACCCACCTCCCCCCAGGTGGTGCGCATGACCCAGCAGCAGGAGAACCCCAAGTTCCTGTCACACTTCAAGAGGAGGTTTGTCATCCACCGGGGCAAGCGGAAGGAGAAGACCAGCCCACCCCAGCCCAGCCTGTACCACATCCGCACCAATGGTGGAGCCCTCTGCACCAGGTCCATACTACCCCCCCCTCCAACCTGTTGGTGCTGCCCAGGAATGCTGGGGAAGCACAGCTCCTGCTGACTGTGCCTCATGGGCTTCTCTTCTAGGTGCATCCAGATCAACACAGACGCTGGGCTGCTCAACTCTGAGTTCTGCTTCATCCTCAAGGTACTGCCTGAGGCTGAGCATCCTCCCCCAGCAGCAAGAGGGGCTCAGCCACACATCCCCAGCCCCAACATTCTGCTCTCCCCAGGTCCCATTTGAAAGCACAGACAACCAGGGCATTGTCTACACCTGGGTGGGCCGAGCTGCTGACCCTGATGAGGCCAAGCTGGCTGAGGACATCATGAACAACATGTTTGATGACTCCTACAGCAAGCAGGTGACAGGATTGGGCTCAGCACCAACTTACCTGAGAGCAGTGAGGGATGGAGGAACTCAGCCTTGACACTACCCTTGTTCTCACAGGTGATCAACGAGGGAGAAGAGCCTGAAAACTTCTTCTGGGTGGGCATTGGGAGCCAGAAGCCTTATGATGAAGATGCTGAATACATGAAGCACTCCCGGCTCTTCAGGTGGGTTCTGGCTCAGGACATGCTTGTCCTATTCCTTGTCCCGCAGTGACACACCAGCCTTCACTAGGGGCTTGAGCCTCTGGGCCTCCCAAGACAGGCAAAACCTCTCTCCCCAGTGTCTGTCCATCCCTGGGCACACCATGGCCCAAACAACTTCTCTATCAGTGAGTGCTGACAACTTCATGCCACTGATGCACTCTCCTCTGGCTCTCCTTTAGGTGCTCCAACGAGAAGGGCTATTTTGCCGTGTCAGAGAAGTGTTCCGATTTCTGCCAGGATGACCTGGCTGATGACGACATCATGCTGCTGGACAATGGGCAGGAGGTGAGTGGGGTGTGGGGCTGCACGGCGCCCACCCGGATCCACGGCTGAGCCCATCTGCACATCCTTCCGCAGGTTTACATGTGGGTGGGCACCCAGACCAGCCAGGTGGAGATCAAGCTGAGCCTCAAAGCGTGCCAGGTAAGGCCTTGCGTGCTGAATTTGGGCAACTTCATCACCCCTCGGGTCTCTCTCCCAATTCCTGGTGGGCTCTGATTGTGTCCCATGCCCCAGGTCTACATCCAACACATGCGCTCCAAGGACCCCACGCGGCCCCGCAAGCTGCGGTTGGTGCGGAAAGGCAACGAGCCCTGGCCCTTCACCCGCTGCTTCCACGCCTGGAGTGTCTTCCGCAAGCCCCCAGCGTAAGGGCCTGGGGAGTGGAACACCCCACATTGAACCCACCCAGCATTCTGCACCACTCACGCCTGCGCTCAACCGCTGGATCCACTTCTCTCTAAGCTGGGGCCAGTGGAGGGCACTGGAGTGTCCCTATCCTCCCTTCTCCCAGCTTCTTCCCCTCTTTACAATGGGGCAGTGCAGGGCCCTGCCTCCGTCCTGCTCAGGGAAATACTGCTCCAAAGCAGCAACAAGCTGCCTGCAGCTGGGGAGCAGGGGGAGGATGCTTTGCTAAAGAGCACTGGGGGATTAGCGAGGGGCTCTCACCTTTTTTTGTGGTCCTGGAGAGATAGGACCGACCCCAAACAAGGCTGGCCTATCAGTATCATATCAATAAAGGCTGCATTATCACCATGCAATCGTGCCAGGCTCTGACTGTGCCCCTCTGGATCCCACATGGGGGCACAGCAGCCCCCCACCTTGAGCCCATCCTGTGTCACTGGCCCCAGGCAGCCAAATTCCCCCAACACCCACATGCTGGCAGTTGATATTAAATGCTTTATTTTCAATATTAAAAACCAGTATTTTTAATAACTAAACAATGCTAAATTCATCTTACCAAAAAAAAAAAAAAAAAAAAAAAAAAAAAAAGGAGGGGAGAGGAGGGGAGGGGGGTGGGATTTCTACCAGGGACACTACAGCCCCAGCCAGGACAGGCCTGGCGCAGCGCTGCCTCTCCCGGCCCCCCCTGGCCCAGACCAGACGTACCGCAAAAGAGAGTTGAGGGGAGGGGGCCAAAAGGGCCCTAGGGATCCCCAGAATGAGAGGGGCGGGCACCAGGCTGAGCCCCACAGGGACAGAGCCACATCACCACAGCCCCTGCAGAGATGGGGAGCCCAGCAGGAATTTGGCACAGTGACACCCCCAGGGAATGGCAGGGGGTTGCACAGGGCTGGGAGCCAGCATCATGCCCCTGTCCTCCCCGTCCCCCAGCATGATCCCATCCCAAACCCACCCATGGCAGGAATTCGTGTCAGAAAGGAGCAGCAGGCAGGGAGCCCAGCCTGGAGAATAGCCCTTGGAGAAACCACTATGAGAAAAAGGCCACCTGTGACCCCTCCCTCCCCAAGCCCTGCAGCACCCAGCTGGGGAGCAGCAGAAGGACAGGAGGGTCCCAGGAAGGGGACAGTCCCCATGTGGCAGCCCGGACCCTCGTGGCACTCAGAGGAGGGGCTGTAAACTGCAGGGAGCCGGGCATGTAAACAGAGACAGGGGTCTGGGGGGGCCGTGCTGGGGGTTCCCAGCCCTCCCCCTTTGTTCTGTGCCTCCCTCAGGGACCAAAACCAGGAGGCATATTGGGGGGGCAAAAGCCATCACAGCCTTCTTCCCCTCCCCACCAGCAGCATCCCCTGGGCTGGGGGCTCTGGAGCAGAGAACAGCTACACCGGACCATGTGGAAAAAAAAAAATCTTCCCCGGGAAGAGTTTGTGCAACACGGCCCCCCCCCCCCCCCAACTCGGGACCAGCCTGGGGGTCTGGGACCGGCAGCCAGGCAAGGAGGTGTGGGGGGAGTGTGCCGGAGCCGGGGCGCAGATGTTAGAGAGGAGACGAGTCTACGTTACACTGAGGGGGCCGGGGGGGTCCAGTCAAGTCACGCATCCCGGGAATCCGAACACTGAGATGGGCTGGGGGGGCTGCGGGCATCGGCGATGCCTACGGGAGACACAGTCCCTGAGCTTGGGAATGCGGCCCCCAGGGGGGGGGGACCAAAAATGGGATGAAAAGGAACCCCCACCCCCCCCAAGGACACCATTCCCCACACACCTCACTTGATGAGGATGCCTGCGGGTCGCATCTCGTCCTCACTGGCGTTCCTCATGTTCCTTTCCACTTCCTCTGAGGATCTGGGGGAGATGAACCAGATGCAGCCGGGGCTCTCCTGAGCCCCCTTAGAGCTGCCAGCAGCACCCAGAGGTGCTCCTCCCACAACGTACGCCAGGAAATCCTTCACTTCCTCCACCGTGATGTCCCCAGTGGTGTCCAGCGGGTTCTCCATGCTGCTGTTGGGAGAGTCGACGGAGCCAGGCGAGAAGGTGGCCTGGCGCTCCTCGGGGGACCCTGGGGAGCCACAGGGAGGGATGGAGATCCCAGAGCCTTCATTCCCACAAACCCCGTGGTTGGGGTAGAAAGGACCCCACAGCACCAACCCCTGCCACGGGCTGGTTGCCTCCCACCAGATCAGCTCTCCCTCAGTACAGAAAACGATGCCCAGCGCATCCTCCCCCCGCTGTGTCCCTTTCCCACTCACGGTCACTGTCAGCAGGGGAATGGTTGGCCTCAGGGCTGTGTGGGACGTGTGTGCCATTGGCTTGCTGCACCTTCGGCGTCGCCGTTGAGTTGCTGGAAGGAAACACAGGGAGAGGTCAGTGCTGGTGGCACGACGCAAGGATGGACACCACGGGGTGCTTCCATGGGGGGTGAGGAGCCCTCGGCCTGACCCACCTGAGGCACGAGGTGTCCTGCAGCCGGGACACCTCCAGGCAGCACAGCGGCTCTGTCACATTCCTGGCGCTCAAGGAGAAGCGCTCAAACTCGGACGGCGAAATCAAGTAGAAACCTGCAGCGTGGGGGGGCAGAGAGCATCAGGGACCACCTGGGGGCTGCAGAGGTGGGGGATGCCGAGGCTGTGCAGAGCTGAGCCCTCACCCTGCCCGTGCTTGGTGAAGACGCAGGAGGCGATGCCGCTGATGTCCTCTTTGCGGATGCAGCTGTAGTGCACCTGTGGCCGCAGGGCGGGCACGGTGAAGATGTGGATGTCGCCCAGGTTGGTGAGGCAGGCCAGGCAGTTCTCCACACGCTCCTCAGTGCCGGTGCTGGCCAGGCTGACCAGGGCCACCTTCCGCACCCGGCAGCCCTCGTGTGCAGTCAGCTTGAACTTGGTCTTGGCGCTGACCTTGGGCAGCGTGAAGACCTGTGGAGGGTGAGAAGGGCAAGAGGGATCAGAACAGCCCCTGACAGCACTCAAAGGCACCGCAAGAGCCACCCCATCCCTCTGGTCACCCCAGCCAGGACGCTCCTCCAGGTACTGGTGCAGATGGGGACACCCAGAGCAGACACGTTGGGGATGTCCGGTCCCATCCTCAGTGCTTATGCTCACCTTGAACTGCTCCTCTGAGGAGATGAGCATGGAGTGGCTGCCCTGCATGTCGGGAGCCTTGGCCAGGTCCCGTGACACCTCATAGGGCTCTGGCAGTGGGTTCCCCCGCCCGTCCAGCACGGCGATGGCCACCACAGGCGCACGGTGCATCAGCTGGATCTCCTTCCCCAGCACCGCCTCCACCGCCCGCTCTGAAAACTTCTCCTGTGATGGCACCTCCAGGGCGTAGGCAAACACTGAGCCTGAGTTGGTCCCTGCCCACATCGTGGGGCCATGGTGGGTGGCTGCAGGGTGAGAGAGATTGGAAAAAGCATGAGACAGCTCCTCCCCATGGCGCAGCACCGGACTCGGGGCTGCCTGCGGGCTCTCACCATCTCTGAGGAAGGTGTCAGCGAAGTAAAGGCACCGCACCACCCCGGAGAGCGAATCATCAGCCGAGCGGGGCTCGATGCGCCTCTGCACCGGCGTCATCTCCACCTCGGGGGGGCCCGCCTGCTCAGCCAGCTGTGCGTTGGCCTCCTGCACCTTGCAGAGGAGGGAAAGTGGGGGGTCAGGAGCCGCACGCATCACGCCAGGAGGGGATCGGAGCCCCGCGCTGCGCCCACCTTGCTGGAGGGGCTGCCGGCGTTCAGCCTCTTCTTGCCTGACACCCTGCTCTTGCGGATGCGTCGGAAGGACTGCCGCAGGGATTTCTTGAGGGACTTGACACGGGACAGGGGCCCCTCCATGGCCAGCGAGTCATTGGGGTGCAGCGTACACCTGCAGCACCACCACTCAGCACCAGGACCCCAGGATGAGGTCCCCTGTTCCTGAGCATCACCGCCTTACCTGGCCAGCACCGGGTTGCGCCGGTGGTAATCAAAGAGCCCAAAGCCATGGCTGGTACCGAAAGCCACCAGGTTCCACTCGGAGTGTAGGGTGATGGCGGTGACGGCGGCAGGGGGCACACACTGCACCAGGACGCTGGGCTGGAAGCCAGGGGTGAAGGTGATGGGGCCGTTCCGGGGTGCCAGGCGGTCATGGCCCTTCCAGGTGAAACCCTCGCGGTCCTGCAGCAGATCCACCGTGGCCACACTGACGGTATGCTCAGACTTGTCATCGTTTAGCTCCATCACCAGCACCTGCAGGGAGGGGACAAGGGGCCGATGGGGGACATGGCGGGTCCCTGCGCGCTGGCTACAGGGTGAACCCATGGGTGGGAGCTCTCTTGGGAGAAGGCTGCAGGGATTGGGGTGCCCTGTGCCACCTCCCCCAGGTGCTACCTGCCCAGCTGTGCCGGCCACCACCATCTTGGCTGTGTATTTGCACAGAGCGATCTTCTGAATGCCCAGACGGGGGTCATCGCTGTAGGGATCAAAGCAGCCCACCTGGGAAAGAAGGGACAGATGTGTCACACACCCACGGGACAGCCAGCAGCACTGAGCACCATGCTCAGGGCAGCTCCATCCTCACGCATCCCCAGTGTCCCAAGATCCCCCTCCCAGACCAGAGCAGACCCATGGGTCAGGGCGTGCAGAACAAGTGTCCCTTGTGTCACTGAGGCAGCAGCTGTGCCCTGAGCGAGGGGACACGTCCCCACAGTGCAGCTGGGACGGCTCCCACAGGCACATCCCCCCCAAGAGGCAGAGGGTGCTGGGGGCTGCAGCACAGCGTGTGCGCCTCCTCCAAGCCCTGGGGACGTCACCTTGCGGAACGGCGGCCACTCCTCCTCGCCCGCCTGGTTGAGGCTGTCGTTGTGCTCACAGTCGGTCTGGAAGATGTTGGCGGTGCCCAGCTTGTACAGCGGCTTCAGGGACACCCCCGAGGCATCCCAGAAGCGCACCGTGCCATCCTCGTGCCTGGGGAGGGGGTGGAGGAACAGGGCGGGGGTGATGCCATTAGCATCTGCGGAGCTAACAAGAGCTGCCTGTGTGCTGGTGGCTGCCGTGCCAGGAGGGGCTGAGCATGGGGACAGTACGGTGGTGACATGCTGCTGCCTGGCCACCGAGCTGCACAGTGGAGACTGTCTGCCCAGCAGCACCCCACACATCCCCAGGGCTTCAGCTCCCAGTGCAGGAAAAGGCCCACCCCACCACGCCATCCTACTCCCACCACTGCCCCATCCCACCATGGGAAGGGCTGAGGATGTCCCCTTCCCTCGTCGCACTGATGGTCCCCCCTACATCACAGCCACCCCGAGGCACTCACCCAGTGAGAAGCAGACCCCTCTGCGTGGGCTCCTGGGCCAGGTTCTTCCCTCCATTGATGGGCCAGGCCTGGAGAAGCATTACCAAGCATCACACCTCTGCATGCCCCCACATTCCACATCTGCTACCCACAGACCCCAGCACTCACTGCAGAGGAGAGGCGTGGGCTCTGCTGCTCCCCAGCACTGACAATCCTCTCCCAGAGCTTGAGGGGCACGTTGGAGATGTGGTAGGAGCAGGTGATGGCGGAGGAGTGGAGCGGGGCCAGGTATGGAGCAGGGATGGTGGGCCAGCCCGGCGTCTGCAGGTCGATCACCACCAGCTCCTCCTCCACCAGCACCACCAGGGCACGGGGGTTCTCAAAGCCTTGTTGGATGAAAAATAAAAAATAAAAAAGGGATGAAGGTAATGGAAACCCCAACCCAGGGACTGCGGGGTTGGTGCCACAGGACGTACCTCCCTCCGGCACCTCAGGGTCCTGCACTGTGAAGAAGTCGATGATGCGGGAGGTGAAGTCCAGCGTGGCGAGTCTCTGGCCCTGCAGCACACTGACGCAGTGCCGGTCGCCGTAGCTGGCCCGTGGCATGCCGCCACTGAAGATGATGAAGGGGTTGCTGTGGGGGAAAGCAGATGGTCATGGCTCTGTGGGGGCACCGCCCCTGCATATCAAACCCCCCCGGCACCACACGTCCCCATCACCATCACCTACCCCGACTCACACGTCCGCCACAGGATTTTGCTGATGGCTTTGCACGGGAACGGACCTGAAACGAAGGTTGTGCCACGTTTACAACATTCAAACCATAATGTGATCCCAAAGCCCAGAGCCCACACGTGCCCCTCGGGAGGGGTTTGGGGGCAAGTGCCCACGCACCATAGGGGACGGTGGCTGTGATGGGCTGCTGGGTGCGCTGCCCACTGCCGCCCACTGCCCACACCATGTAGCCGCCGTCACTGTGCGAGCTGGCGATGTTCTTCCCGCTGTGCTCCCAAGCCAGGCTCTCCAGCTGCTGCAAAAAGGGGACAGCAGGGGTTTGGGACCCAGGGAGGGAGCAGGGTGAACCCCTCCCCACCGTAAAGGAGCCAGCCTGGCCCAGGTACCTGGTTCCCGAGGAAGAGATGCTGCACAGTGCGTGTGCTCTGGTCCCACAGGACCACCAGCCCCCGGCTGTACCCGATCAGCAGCCTCCCAGCATCCTGGGGGTGCTCCTGAATGCATTCCACTGGCCCCAGTGCCTTCCCACAGCGGTAATCATCGGGCACACTGCAGAGGAGAGAACAGTAGGGTAAGGGGGGGGATTGGGAGGGAACGGTCAGGAACTGGGGCTTTGGGGGTGCAGGACTGGTGCTCACCTTTGTAGGATCTCATCCTGGAGGAGGGTTTTGTCTTCCAGCAGCACAAGGGAAGGCAGTGCAAGGAAGTACACTGCTCCACCCTCAGTGCCCAGGCAGGCCACAGTGCCTGGGGCCATGGGAAGGATCACCGTCACCCGTGTGATGCTGGGGGAGCAGCTGTGGGGAGAGCAGGGCTGTGTCAGCTGCGTGACCCCAATACCAGGACGGATACCCCAAGAGTCCCCCATTCTGCCCCAGCATCACTCCAATGGGGATGGGGCGCAGGGACAGCAGCCAGGCTGCTTGGTCACCACTATCAGCCTTGGTGGTGACAGGCAATTATTGAGCCATTATTTACACCCTGAGATCAGGGCTGCGTGGAGGCAGCATGGAGAACGGAGACCTTCACCAGAGCAGACACACAAATCAAGAGTCCCCCTGAGATCCTGAGCCACTGCACGGCCACGTGGCTTTCACCACGGCCAGAACCAGGGCGAGGGGGGGAAGAGGGGGAAATGATTTGGCCCAGGTTCTCCCACCCCCTCCAGATCCGCAGTCAAGGTCACCTCAGCTGCAGCCACCCGCTCCCCCACACTGTTCCCAGCACAGGGCCAGTGCCCTTATCACTGCCCAGGTGTGCACAGAGTCTGGGAGCTCCGCATCCCAGCGCTCCCACGCCGCAGAGCTGCTCCGCTCCATCCCCGCTCCCCGTTTCCCCCTCCCCTCTTTAAGCAAAACAATCGGTGCAAACCCTGCAGCCAAGCCAAGCCTCACCCCGGCGCGGAGCCGGGTGTAAACTCTGGCAGACCTCACCCACCACCGCCCCAACGCGCCCGGTGAGGAAATGAGCATCACCGCCCACAGCGGGGTCACCCCACGGGGACCAAAGCCGGATGGGAGCCCCCAAGCCCCAGCACAGCACAGGGCAGGAGGAGCAGCGGCGCAGCGCCTGACCCGGGGCGTGCGGGCAGCCCGAAGCTGCGCGTCTCCTCCAGGTGGGAGCAGCCTTCCTTCTGGTAGATCTCCCAGAGGTGCAGCGAGTTGTCATCCAGCAGGGACAGCAGCCAGCCCTGGGCAAAGGGGGAAACAGTGGGTGAGCTCCAGGGGCCACCGCCAGGGTTCAGCAGGACCCCCCCATACCTCCCCACCTACCTGCCCAGTCAGGAAGTGCAGCTGGGTGACGGTGGCCGTCTCCTTGTGCAAACCCGTCAGCTCCACACCAGGTGCACCGTACCTGGGGGGGCCGTTAAGGAAAAGAAAAAAACAAAAAAAGAAAGAAAAAAAAAAGAAACAAAAAGCAGCAAAAAACAGCACAGCCCCACCTGAGCTCTGCTTGGATGCCACTCAACCAGCACCCCTGCTTAACCTGAGCCCGGGTTAACCCCCCCCATTGCAGCCAAACCCCTCCCGCTCCCACCCCACGTCCCTGACGCCCCACACACGTCCCCCAATCCCTCACCGAGGGTCACCAAGCAACGGCCCTCCGGCTCGCGTTGCTGGGAGCAACCCGCTCTGCCGCCAGCCGCTGTGCTCATCCCGCTGCTCCCCCCGCCCGCTTCCTGCCCCCAGCCCACCCCAGCCCTGCACAGAGGGCCCCGAGCGGCCCTGCACAGGAGCGAGCTGGAGGGTTTGCAGCTGGGGCTGAGGAAATGAGGTTGGATGGTGCTGAGCTGGAGGCCCCAGCGCTCGGCTCTGGGGTGGGACGCGTCCTGCACTCCCCCCCAGCCCAGAGCGTGTGACCACAACAGGATGGATCCCAGAGATTCCCGGTGCCATTTGGCCACCCCACAGCACTCTCAGTAGCGGGCCAGGGAGCCCACATGCAGGGACAGCCCCAATTAGCCACGCTCGCTCGGGCACGGACAATGTCCGCAGCTCTGGGAGCTCTTGGGGCCCTCAGCTTTCCCATGGGCTCCCCCGGCGCAGCGGGCATGGGGATGCAGCCAACGTCGGTGTGGCACAACCACAGTGCTTCCGACCGCCGCCGCGGGTCAGGATGCGGTTGGCACGCCGCCAGATGGGCACACGAGGGCCGGGCTGGATCCTGGCCTCCGCCACCCCCTTCTTTCTCAGCAGGGTGGGGTTTGGTATGCGCCCGCACGGCCGCACTCACCCAACTGGTCCCGGCTCTTCCATCGGCAACGCCGCTTGGCAGGAAGCGCGGCAGGACCGGCACTGATGCTCAGCGCCCATAACCGCGCAGCACCCCAAGTGCAAGGAGCCTCCTGGACCCCAACTCACCGACCCCACAGCTGCCCCAGCCAGCTGCCTCCATGGTCGGGCATTGCCTCTCACACCCCAGAGCTGCATGTGGGGCTGGAACGGACGCATCCCTACAGCGCAGTTTCCGCACACCGCCCCGTGCCCCGCACGCTGCCCTGGGCACGGGGAACCGGCCCGGCGGCTCTGGCAGGTGGGAGCTGTCTGGCAGCGCCGGTGTGGCCAGGCTGGAGCCGCCGTGGCGCTGGGGACGTCCCGGAGGAGCCAGACAGCCGGGTTGGGGCCACGGGGATCAAGGAATGGGGCAAAAGCACAGCCCCAGGGCAGCCGCCGACCCACAGGGATGGGGCATGGCGATGGCACCCAGGCTGCTCACCGCACCATGGCACAACACCAAAGGGCTCCAAATGGAACCCAACACCCCATCACCAAAACGTGCCGATGGCCAAAAAGCACTGGGGCACCCAACAGCAGTGCAGCGCTATAGGGGGACCAAGTGCTGGGACCCAAGCGTGGCTGAGGGGACACAGATCGCTGGGGGTGGAGAAGGACCCCAAGCATCCTACCCACAGCCGGACCCAGCACAGCACAAGCATGGCCAGGACAGCACCAGGATGGGACCGGAGCAGCCCTGGCACTAAAATGCCATCTTTGAGCCAGGAACGCAGCAAGCTGATGGAGGCAGGTATGCAGGAACAACCGTCCCCTCCAAAAAATAAAGAAAAAAAAAAAAAAAAAAAAGGAAAAAAAAGAAAAAAAGAAGAAAAGAAAAAAGAGTCCCGCACAGGACGCGGTCCCCCCAGTCCTCCCCCCCCCCCCCCCACATTCCTGCAGCACGGGGCCCCCGATGTGGCCACATCCAGCCCTGGCTGCCCGCCAGCAGCACGGCGAGTCTCCCCGCTCGCAACAAAGCACAGCCGCAGCATCCTGGGACGGGAGCATCCATCCCGCCCCGCTCCTGGGTTTTGGTTGGGTTTGTTTTCCACCGTTTTCCTCCCCCAAAACACCGCTCCAGGCACACAGTTCGGGACAAGGCGGCCGTTCTGCTCCAGCCCCCAGCACTNNNCCCCCCCCCCCCCCCTCGGCTCAGCACAGCTGCAGCCCAGCTGGACGGATGGACGGACACCGCCAGGACGTGGCTGGGGGCCGCGTTCCCCCCCTCCTCAGTGTTTTGTTTTTTGGAGGGGGGTTAGGAAAGGATACAGCTTGACAGCTCCCGCCTTGGTGCCGATGGCCATCACGCGCAACCAGGGGTCGTAGGCCAGGGCGCTGGGCTGGCTGGGGAAGCCGTGCTCCACCGTCTGCGGGGACAAAGGGGTCAGAGCAGAGCCCCCCCCAAACCCCGAGTCCTCCCAGCAGGAGCAGCAGCAGCACTCCCAGCACCCAGCAGAATGGCACTGAGCTGCCGCAGCTCCGGCCCTGCAACGCACCAATGATGCCACAGCACTACCCAGGAGCTGCCTTAGGGGTCCACATCCCAAAACCGACCAAACCACCCCAAACGATACCAAAGGACCAGGGCTGCCCTAACCTTAGAGAGGTGAACCCCACTACCCAAAGGCACGGGGATGACCCCATCCACAGCAGCACCCCGAGGAGCACAAGGGGGTTCCCAGCGATGCTGCACAGAACCAGGCGAGCGGGACCAGCCAGGGAGCAGCGCCGGCCGTGCTGAGCCCCTGCAGGCACCTTCCCAAGGAAGTCCACGACGGCGGCGTGCCCAGGCTCGCTGCTCCGGGAGGGGCTGAGCAGCATTTGGGGATGGGGGCACACAACAACCCGCCACCTTTGCACCAGGGAGCACTCTCAGGGGCTGCAACACCAAAACACTCCAGGGTGACGCTTCCCCAATGTGCCAAGAGCTGCTCTGCGGTGTCACCTGGCAGCAGACAGCATGATGCCCCCTTGCAGAAGGGTTCTGCAACATCCTCAGTCTGAGGACAAATTTGGGTGCCAGTCCCCATTGCCCACACGGCGCCTCAAAGGCTCTGCACGATGCACACTTGGCTCCAGGATGCTGAAAGCCACGGGGGGGTGAGGGATGGCACCACAGAGACACTATGAGCACAGCGTTCAGATGGGACCACCCTAACAGAACCCCAAAAACACCCTCACTGCAGGACAGCCACCCCACCCATCGCCACCTGGAGACCCAGTGGCAGCATCGTGCCGCTGGGGACAATGGCAATGGGGACAGCTTAAGGATCAATGGTGGCACTGGGGGGATGCCCAGGGAGCTGGGGGTGGTGGCACTGGGGATGGTGGCTGAGCACCCGCTCCCCTCACAGCCCCCCTCCTCCCACCAGCAGCGGGGCCACATCCGGCAGCAGGCTGCTCCGGACGGCCAAGGAGCTCTCTGGGCCAAATTACAGCAAATCTGAGGCAGATTTGGAGCTCGCAAGGAAGGAAAAAAAAACAAAATCCAAGACCTTAATGGGAGGCAGGTGGGCAGGCAGCGTCCCGGGGCGCTCACGGCTTCCGCCACGCAGCCACCCCCCAGGATAACCCCCCAGAATTGGGTCTGGTGGTGGGAGCCCAAAACTGGAGTGGGCTGAGGCGGGGGGTTGAGAGCACCCCAAACCTGCGGGGAGCAATAGGGGGTGCTACATCCAAGGGAGGAGGGCACGGTGACAATGTTTTCCTGCCCTCGGCGTCACCAGGAGTTGGGGATGTCCCAGCGCTGCGGGCAGGAAGGATGGAGGGGCTCCCCCAGCGGGGAGAGGGCACAGAGCGGGACCGGGGGGTGACACCAGGACGGCGGCACAGCGCCGCACCGACCGGGGGCCTCCAGAGCCACGGGGCGCGATACGGGGGAGCAAAGCAGCCCCCAGCCCCGGGGGTGTCACCGCGCTGCAGTGCTATGAGGCGGCCGTGGAGCCCCGCAGCACCACGGGGGTCTCACTCGGGGACGCTGTGAGTGCGGCGGTCCCCAGACCGGTGCTGCCGCCCGGGGTGGGGGGGTCTCGGTGTGAGGGGGGGGCAGCGATGTGTGACCCCTCCCCCCGCAGACCCACACCCACCCACACACACCACACACACGCCCCCCACCCCGGTGCCCAACCGCCCCGGGGTCGCCCCGCCCGCAGCCCCGCAGGGGGCGGCTCCCGCTGCCCGGTGCCCTCGGGGCCGCCCCCCGGGGGGTCCCGCATCCCGCACAGCTCGGGGGGGCTCCGGTACCGCCTCCTCCCGCCGCCACCGCCCAGGGGTCCCGCCCCCCGCCCGGCCCGCACCTTGCTGAAGGCGAAGAGGTCGTGGCGGAGCCGCTCGCGGTGCGGCTCGGCGCCCTGCCGCCGGAACCGAAACTTCATCATGGTGGGGCCGGCGGGGCTCGGCTCGGTACCGGGAGGCGGCGGGCGGGGCCGGTGATCCCGGGGCAGACGCTCCCGCTGCCGGCGGTGCCGCTCCCGGTCGCGGTGCCGCTCCGGTGCCGCTCCCGGTGCGGGCGCCCCCCCCCTCTCCGAGCGCCGAGCGCCGCGCGCCGAGCCCCGGGCAGGCACCGCCGCGGCGGGGCGGGGTGTGGCCCTGACGGACAGCGCGTCCCGCCAATCAGCGCGCGTCCGCACGCACGGCGCGGCGGCGCCCTCCTATCCGCGCTGCGCATGCGCCGGCGCGGGGGCTGCCGGGAGTTGTAGTTCGCTCCCCCGCAGCCCTCTACGGCAGCCAATACGCTTCTCCCTTTTTTTCTCTCCCTCGTTCTGTCGTATTTCTTTTTCTCTTCAGGGCCGGGCTGAGGGGCAGCGAGGGGCCGATCGTCCTGGCCGCGGGGAGCGCTGGGTGCCGGGGCTCACCGCGCGGAGCGGCCCGGGGCAGGCCTCGCCCGCAGGGCCCGGTCCCGGCTGAGTCAGTTGGGCGCCGCGCTCAGGGCTGGGCCGGCGCTCCGCGCTGAGTAACAGCGGGCCGCCCGCGCGGTGCGGGGCTGCGCTGCGCTCTGCCAGGCCTCGCGCCTCGGTTTCCCTCTTCAGGTTCCCTCTTCAGTTTGGGCCTTTGCGGTGGGGACAGAGGGCAGCCAGCAGCGGGCCTGGCACCCCCAGTGTGAAAGGTTCTTGTGGGCTGACCGGAGGAGCGTGATGGTGCCGTGTGGGGACAGCACGGGGACTTGGCCGGGAATCTGAATCATTCCCGTTGGAAAAACCCTCTGAGGTCACCAAGTCAGACCCCGACCCGTCCACACCGTGCTGCCGAACCGCGTCCCTCAGTGCTGCGCCTCAACGGTCCTCAACACCTCCAGCCACGGTGAGCCATCACAGCCTGGGCAGCAGCGCCTGACTGCTCTTCTTTGGGAGAAATCCGTGGCTGTGGAGGAGGAAGAAGAAGAGGAGGAAGGGCACCACGCTGGGCAGCACCCAGCCCTCTCGCAGGAGGAAGGTGCAGGGCACAGCCCACAAGGGGCCCCGGTGAGGCCGAAGCACAGGGTGCAGACCCCTCGGGTTGACCCATTTCCTCAGGACCAGAGCGTGGTGGGTCAACAGGGACATCGTCACCACCCGCCCCATGGGGAACCAAAGCAGAGAACCAGGCAGGGAGCACCCACTGCAGCCCCGTCCTGATTTCTAGGGCAGCACACGCATCCTCCCAGAGCTCCCCTCTCCCACAACAATCCCAGCCCCACCAAACAGGCAGGCACAGCGATGCTTTTTGCTTTTATTCAATTAATGCAGCAATCTATACAAGAAAAAAAAATAATAATAATGAAACCATGAAATTCCAAACCCTGACAGTGAAGAACCAAATTCTTCCTAAGAATCGACCAGAATTAAAAGTATACCCCTGCGTCAGACTGTACATAAAATAATCTCTGCCCCATTTACAGCGTTTCACACAGTACTTCTCGTATCTCAAACTTCAGAACTGTACAACTTTGTTACAAACCACGCTTTTTCCTAGGAAAAGCTTACAGAAAAAAATATTGCCACTTTCTTTTTTCTTTTTTATTCTTTTTTTTATTATTATTATTTGTAACCAAAAAAATTAGAATCTTATAAAACAAAATTAAAGTCAGCCAGAACTTGTAAGTGTGGGCAGGGGGGGCAGGAAGGAGCAGAGATGTGGTTCTCGGCTCAGCATTTCTCCTCCTCGCAAAAAGGAAGGCGATTGGCAGACAAAAGACAATTTGCCACTGGATGGGGAGCCAGACCCCATGGCCATGTTCTGAACCCCCCTCCAGTCCATTCCCAGCCACGGGTTTGGGCTAGGACATCTCTGAAGCCAGCATGAGTGGCTGATGGTGTCCCAGCCCTGAGTTCAGGACTAGATGTGGAAACTGGGGCTTCCCTGCGTGCTGCAGGGAGGTGGAAATCACATCTGGCAGCCTCCACCAGACTGGGAGCTGCTCACAGGGCTGACAGCCCCTCCCTGGGCCAGCTCACCTCTCACTGCTGGCAAACAACCCTGGGTTTTCTTCCAGAGGATGAGTGGAGCCTACACAACCAACACAAGAGCCCTGGTTGGATCGCCGAGTCTTCTCCACACGCAGGTAAGGGCAGCAAACCCAAATTCCTCCCTTTGCAGAAAAGCAGGGACAACTTCCATCTACCTCCCCCTTCCTTAGGAAAGACAGTTCTCATGGTCTGGGCTGTGGGTCTGAGTGCCACATCACATCATACACAGCCTTATGCCCCAGGATGGGTGAGCAGGTTACACAGCACACTGCAGGTGGATGGAGAGGAGTTAGGACTGAATTGCTGAACTATATGAAGACAAAGAAGCCGACCTGGTCAGACCTGCACATGAGCCCATCTCCACACCAGACTCACATTGCTGGTTTGATCGAAGCCTTCTCACAGCCACGACAGAGAACAGGTACGGGCATCAGCAGTGTTTTGAGCCACAGTTTTACCAAACAGGTCACAGTAAGGGATCTAGACATCTGGATCCACGTGAAAAATGTCGTCTTGTTTCGAATCAAGGTTTCACCCCAATGTTGTTCAGTGCAAAAGAGTTAAAAAACCATGTATCTACACATATACATCCGTGTGTATATAAAATGTCTGTACAAGTGGGGGAGATGGCCTGCCTGCATGCTGGGGACTCTTGCCCAAGAGATCCTATGGGTCAAATCAGTTGTGTCCCACTCTTGCCAAAGTGTCAAGCCCCAAGCAGTCAGCTTGAAAACTAAAAGCAAAACGAAGCAGAGGGCGGCAGGAGAGCAGCTCCAGCAACGGCTGCCAGCTCAGACCCACAGCACAGACCTGGGATGGGGAAAAGAAGGGCAGAGCTCCCAGAGGTGGCATGCAGGAACACAAAACCCAATGGGACAAGCAGGATGCCTGCACACGTACAGACTGCACAAGGACTGGGATGAGGTGACGGTACCAGGCTAGGAGGTAAGACCTCAGGGTGCTTTGTTCAGCCTTTAGTGGAAATTATCTTGTCCCATGGGAGCCACAGTGCTCCTGCTGCTTCAGGGAGCAGCCCTGGGAAGGCAGGTTGCCTTCACTGTGAGTTGAGACACCAGAGTACAGTATCCATATTGCAGAGGTAGGCATAAAATTGGGAGAAGGGGAGAGCAGGCTGTGCAGAGCAGAGACCTCCAGCAAGGGAGCACAGGTGGCTCTGCCCTGCTATTGTCAGCAGCACAAAGCAGCACAGCCTAATGCCCTTGGAGGGAATGGGGCATGTCCAGAGCAAAACCAGAATTAGGAACAGCCACCCTAGGCATCCCACTAGCAGGTTTCTAGCTTGCCAGAGATGTTTGCAGACACCAGCCATAAGGAGGAGAAGAGATCGCTGCTCCCTGCATGCTGTTTTGCTGTTGGGGGATGCCAAGCTTTCTAAAACGGGGTTCGTAGCCAAGAGATGGTCTGGATTCTCTGCTGCAAGCTAGGAATGGGAGGAATGCTGCTTCAGATGCTGAGTGTGGACTGATAATGGCCTTTCAGAAGTCCCAGATGCATGAACTTCCAGATCTCTGGGCAGACAAGACAGGTAAGTGCCGTCGAACGCTGGCCATGAGGCTGCTCTCAAAGCTCCACAGCGAGCCAATGAGAGCTCTCACCAGGAAAGCAATCAGATCAAGAGAATCAAAGACAGGCAGTAGGAGCCTCACCTACAAAATCTCCTGCAGCTCACTGCAGTGCTGAAGGTGACACTAATTTTCTTTGCACTAGTGTAACTGCTAGATCCAGCTTCAGCAGTGAGCCAAAGGACAGACGAGTGGTGGGAGCTGCAGAAGTCAGCAGGGAAGGAAAAAGACAATGAGACCCAGATGTCAGCAAACATGCTTGATCACTAAGGAACAGTGCCCATTTTTTGACCAGTAGCTCCTCAAGACAGCAGCAAATGGGTTTCAAAATATATTACATCTTTTTATTGCCAAGCGTGCAGATAATGAAGAGTGGAGGACACAACACTAAGAAAAACTACAATTTGAGGAAGGACAAAGCAGTAAAAATTTAAAAATAAGACTACTCCTTACAACTGCCAACACTTGGGTTCAAAGAATCAATTGGAGAAAGTTTCTTAAAAGTAGGGTTCTAAATATGGTGTTGGGCCCCAAACCTGCAAAACACAGATTTCAGGCAGGGAAAACACAAACTGGTGAGAAAAGACGAGGAAGAAAGCAGACTTCTAACGTTACCTCCACAGGGTGAGACGTCTCACGCCTCTTATCACTTCCTGGGGCAAGCAGAGTCCCTACCCCAGAATATGCACAGAAACAAGAAGGCATCAGAAAACTGCTGCAGTGATAGCTGACGAGCATCCTGTGGGCCAAAACAGAGCTCCTCCGTACCCAGCAGCATCCCAAATCTTCTTAGGGGGTCCCAAGGCAAGCATTCCCCCTAGCAGAGCCTCCCTCCCACTCCTCTTTGCTGTCTCTAGCTCCGGAAAGCAGCACATACTCAATGCAGTCCCTTGCTCTGCAGCTCCCAGACTCCAATACAGACCTCAGGTCAGCACTGGACCAACACCAGTGAAGCCAGGCACAGCTCCATCCTCAGCCAAAACAGATCACCGGTCAGAAGAGCACTGAGAAACCAGAGCTTAAGTACATTCTTCTTGGAGAGGGCAGCACAGGGACACAAAGCTGTGAGCCCAAGCTGGTTAGGGAAAACGGACTGGAAAGGAAATCTATGGCATTTAAAACTGGTACTAAAGTGCAACACAAATGTCCTAAATCCTTTGTAATCAATGCAGCAAAAGGAGCCTGCAAAGCTTCAAACTTCCAGTTACTGCAGGGCACACCCTTAAAACACAACCCAACAACAACTAGGTATAAGCAGACCAAGGAGCCCTTTGGTGAAGCAAGGAATACGAGGCCACCACAGAGAATTTCAGCTCCAGGGGTCTAACAACATCATATTTAGAACATTTGGAAAAGAAGAAAGTTAAAGCAAAAAAAAGAAACCAACAAAACAAAATACAATTCTTGAATCTTGCGCAATGAAACAGTTAAACTTTTTGGTGTTTTCAAAGAAATCCCAACAGACAGCCTGGCATAACGTTATCTGCTTCCTATGGTAGAGATGCCCATTAGACCCATAACTCAGGACACCACATGTAACTGGATATGTTCCATCCTTACACACGTCTCAGCATTCCTCCATTCATAAAAACAAATCGCTAGATCCTTCCTGTTTACTCTTCAGCCTGAAAGGAAAAACCAAAACTGAAGCTAAATGGAAAATAGCCAGAGGGAGGAGAAAGTTTTCACAGACTAGAGGCCAATCTCATCAGCTCCACAAGCCTGGAAAGTGCATTCCTCAGTGTCGCCTCATTTTAACTTTCCTAGCTGGGCTGCCATCCTCCTCCTCCTCGTCACAGTCCTCTGTGTACTCGTAAGACCTTCGCCAATAGTTCTCAGAGCTGAAGTTGCTCCGTCTCCTATGTTTTGGTAAGAGGACTGAGCGCCTGTTCTCCTCTTTATCCATTTCTAGAATCCGTGGCCTATGGAGAAAGAGAGAAAGAGGGAGTGAGAACACATCCACAACAGGATTTAAGCACTCCTTGTGCGGATACCATCTGGATTTTTGCATATGTTGAGCACTATGAGTGACTTTTTCCACACTGCTCTCCCAGTACTAAGCCCACGGCTCTCAACAGAGCAGCAGCACATCGCCAAGTTGCACGTCCCATGAAAAAGCAGAGAAATTTCCTTGTACAAGCGTGAGTCCTTAGCCTTCACATAGTGAGCTCTGGTCTTTATCTCCACCAGGGAGACCTCCAAACAGCCTGATCAGCCCTCCTGAAGTGCAGCTTGTGGTACCAACAAACATTCCTTTGGCAGAAGGGTCTGCCTCCTATGGAGGAGCTCAAAAATGAGCTCAGCTCTGTGCTAAGCTGCTAGAATACATACAGTGCAGGATTAAACCACAACTCTGAGCTCTTTTGTCCTCGTTCTAGTTCTCTCAAACATTATCACAGTGCAATTAGTATTTATGTAAAGCTGCCTCCGTTCTCACCTGCAATCAGTTCAGTTCACAGTATGACCATGCTGGCAGGATTCACAGCTGCACAGACCACTCAAATTTAACCCAGGTGGCAACTACTGAGTTCCTCTGACAGATGTGCTATCTGCACTATTTACTTGCACTACACTGAGTCTTTTGGACCTTTCAGAGTCTTTAGATGCCATCCACTGCAGGGGACTATGCTGAGCTTGCATCCCAGTAAGGTGCATCTCCGCCTTCACATCAGCTCTCACGGATCTGCAGACTTTGCCCTGCATGACCACTCCCTTAATCACACACAGGAGCACTGTATGCTCAGAGGTAAGATTTTATTTGCAGCCTCACTTCTCTTCATGATCTATGTGCCCAGTCATCCTGAGTTCTGATGAATGAACACTGCTCATAAACAAACCATCCCCACCCTTCTCCTTCACCACGACAGGTTGAAACACTGGCTGGAACTTCACAACAGCCGAGCCCCACGACCACGCCAGCCTTTTGGTTTCACATGATGTGCAGAGAATGCCACCTCACTCCTTGGGGAGCTTTGGAATTAGAGAATACCAGGAATATTGCTTGACAGCTGGCAGACTGGCTATCAGTATATTCACACAAAGCAAGGTGCTGTTTAAGGGAAGCCTTGCCACAGAGCTCAAGCTGTCTGGAGCTTCAGCAAGGAGCTCTCTTGTAGGTCAGGCTTACGCATCCACAGTTTGCTTACACACACACACTCACACACAAAAACATATACACAGCTCTGGAAGCAAAGTAGCTCTATGGAGCTTCCCAAGGAGACCTTCACCCTTCCCAGTTCACAAAACCTCAAAGACTGCTTTCATAATATACTTCAACACACCTGCACAGGTTGCTTGGCAATAGAGGTCAAAAATAATTAGCTGCAGGGAAACCATTGTTCTGAATGACTGCGTTATCAAGAGACAGCCAAATCTATTGCTTCTTCATTATGCCATTCACAGGATAAACAATGTAAGCTGCTTACAGCCAGAGCTTAGTCTCCACAAGCCTAGGAGGAACGTATAAAGAACCTCACTGATAACACAGATCCATACACCACAGAATGCACCTGGGAGGTGCTTCCCAGCTCCTGGCAAAGTGGTGCAAACCAGGATGCTGTAAGCGCGCTGCGCAAACTCTCCTGCCAGAGACCAGGAACCTCAGATGTTTGGTGACCCAGAGATAACACCCAAAACCTCACCCTTAGCCAAGATCAACATACCTGTGAGCAGCATCGGGATCTGCTTTGCGATGGGACCGCTTTGGTTTCAAGATCTGGTCCCTGTTGCTTCCTGACAGGCGGTCAGAGGTGTAACCTGGTGGCAACACAGAGCTACTCAGCGATTTTGTTTCCAATCGAGGGGCATCTAGTCTTGTTCTGCAAATATTTAAAAAAAAAAAAAAGAAGAAGAGTTTGCAAAGCATTTCAACTGAATTGCTAGCAGGCTGCAATAGGTATTTGTCCTAGATGCACTGAAGTAGAACCCTCAATCCCAGGCACACAGCTCTGAAGGAGGGTCAGGACTGTTACATCCAACAGAAGAACAAGCTTCAGCTTTTAACCTTTACTGCCTTCTAAAGACAGAGGAAGGCTTAGGGGTCAGCATGGCCACCATGGACAAGAAAGGTGCTGGGCTCACTGCAATCACAGTGACAGGATATTGAGCGAGGGTGTTCAAGTACCTGCGACATCCTATAAAATCACAGTGACTCTTCAATAACTTGCAACTCCAGCTAAGCCACCTGGGAGATGCACTGTGAAATCCATCATCACCAACACTGATAACAACTGCTTCTATCTGGAAACTCCTTACTGTCTCTGAGATCTCATGGGGTCAGACATTTCTCAGCTCGACTAAGAGGTTTAAGGCAGGAGTCAAAGTGCAAATCAGAAGAAGATTTAGTAACCAGCAGCCACACCACAGCCCCTCCAGCAGCACAGCAGTTCATGCAGGAATAAAGCTGCCACTACTCCTGGCCCAGGCATGGCTGCAGCCAGCAGCTTCTATGCATGTATGGAGAGAGGCAAGATGCTGAGCAATGGCCATGCAGCACAAATGAAAGCTTGACAGAGCAGTGCCTTTGCACGGTGCTATCACCACCTCCCAGCACAACGTAGTTACCAGGTTCAATTTCCAAAAACTTCTGAAGTCTATTTCAGAGCACAAACTGAAGCCTAAGAATGAGCAAAACACAGTAAAAGGTGGTGCTGGTGTCCCACAGTGCCAATTTCAAGAGGTTCCAAGTCACTTCCTGGAAAAAAAGGGCATCCCGATGTTGTTCCTGCAGCTTGTCTGCTTCCACAGGATCAGGGCTGAATACCAGAGGGGTCCATGTAAAAGAAAGGGAAGAATCACTACTTGTCCCTCAGTGCTTAACTTTAGCTTTTGAAGCAAGATAATTCTAACCTAAACTCCTGTTATGAAGCAAGTTCAACTGCCAAGCTTCCTCTGTGCCTCAGGAAGAGACTCTCCAGTTAAACAGGGCGATGCCAGGATGGCAAAAATGAAGGTGGGTATGCCAGAAATGAGGAAAACTTCCACAGGCAGCTGGTCAGGCTGCAAAGCCATCGGCCTGAGCTGTTCTCAGCTCCAGGACTGGACCCAGTGCAGCTAGAACAGTAAAGGCATTGCTGATCCTGCCCTAGAAAGTTAGGTCATTCAATTACCTCTTAAATATGACAACTACATGATTGCAATTAAAAAAAAAAATCACAGCAAATATACTGCAAAGGCAAGAGGATATCAGCCATGCTCTGTCTCCGCAGAACAATACAGATTTGTGCTGCAGGAGTGGAGAGAAGCAAGAGCCATGCTAAAAATGAAAGTAAATTACCTACCAAAGTTCAAGTTAAATAAAATAAGTCCCTGTGTAATGGCCTACGAAGAATTGCTCAAATGTGGCTGTGTAAGACCTCTAAAATGACTTTCAAGACCCACCTGAACAGGTCTCATTTTTACCCCCCACCTCCCACACGACCTCTCTGAGCATCTCTTGAAATCCAGCTCATCATCCCTTCCCCCTTGCTCAAAGCTTCTGAACTTTGCTGGCTCCCTGCAGCCCTGTGCTCCGACATGCAGGGAGCACTGTAAATACCATCACGCAGCAGCTCTGAAGTGCTGCTGACCTACTTGGTAACCACGCTGCACTCAAGCATCCTGAAAAACCCAGCCACTTCTCCAGCTCAGTTTTTGCTGGCAGCATCAGGAGAGCAGTCTCCAGAACCACGTGCCCAGAGCGGAGGCAACAGATCCAGACTCCAGAGTCTGGGGCCCAGCAGCCTCTGCCAGCTTATTCACAGCTCCTGCAAGCAGCAAAGTTTATGCTGCTGTGACACAACCGCAGGGTGCCTGATTCTTCTGGAAAGCTCCGGGCTCATTCTCACCATGAAAGATGAGTTTTACGAGGTCACAGGCTGCTCCCCAGCCTCGCGTGCACGCAGGCTGCTCGCGGAAGCGGCTGTTTTCCTGGTTGCATAACTTGCTAATTCAGACTGCACCAGTCGCATGATCTGGGACTGGGGAATGGCAGTAGAGATGCTCCAGGGATGCAGGCGCAGACAAAGGTCACTGCAGCCCAGCTGTGCGTGCATGCCTGCGCCCAGGGCCAGCCAAGGAGACAGTCCCCGTCACAAGGGATAAGAGACAATTAATGAGCTCTATTTGACAACAGTCAGAGTGCATCCTTTGGCAAACAGGCAATCGCCATGCATCCACTGGGATTGCTAAGCAATATGGAGATTAGACAGAAATAATGACTGGAGAGTTCCTACTTTTCTCAGAGAGAAATCCTGTTGTGGTTGCATTCAGCCTGCCAGTCCAGCCAGCCCATGGCTGTCTGTGCATGACTGGGCAGAGACACTCTTGCTCTGACACTAAGCAATTCAGGCTCCTCTGGGGAAGCCAGAAGGGCGCACTGCTGCAGAAGGAGGGCTGAGCCAACACAGCCAGCACGGCTCTGCTGGGTGCTAACAGGCCTCATCTGTTCAGCAGTGCTGCCCGGGTCAGCCAGGCAGCAGGACGCCTTGGCTAGCTACATGCTTGCCCAGTTGCACTTTGAGGGCAGCCGAGCTAGAATGAAATAACACCCTTAGCTTATAGAGGCTGATGAAGGCAAGAAATAGAGCTGCTTTAAACAGGTACATTATACACCTGCACTACTTCAGCAGCTTTAGTTTACCTAGCCAGAGCTGTCTTTTTCAAGGAACTGCTCCACAGTTTGGGACAGGCAGCTTCTCTAAATTCAGGCCTTTCTTGCTACGGGATCTAGAGATGCCTTTCACTGGGGCTCATTAGCACTCACTGCTTCTCAGTGTCTGTAGAAACCAACAACTTGAATATAGAACCCTTCTGTTGTTAGTCATCTCACCTTACCCCCATTGTGGCAATAACCACTAATCAGAGGGCTTGGTTCCAATCCATCTTTCCTATTCTGTCATCTGCCACATCTCATCCTGCCTCCCTAGGTCTGTTCTGATTTTGCTATGCTAATGCCTCAGGGCTGCTGTTTTCCCTGCCTTCATTTCATAGGTCTCTCTATCCAGATGTCCAACTCCACTCTGCTGCTTTGTGCATTATCTTCACAACGTCGCCAGACTCATTTTGGAACCAGCTAGACTGCCCAGAAGTTCCACAACTCTGAATCTAGAACGCTTTCCTGCTAGCCTCATGCCAGCTTAAGCCACAGCTGCAGCCCTGCCATCATGCCCATGGTTTTCTTTGGGTTTACATCAAATCAACTGATGAAATGCCATCAGCTGACCAGGACAACACATCTTCTGAAACAGGGAGTATGAGATGCAACTCACAGAGCTTGGCTTCCTAGCACCACCCTCAAAGAGCTCTGTAAACTGACTGCTGAATTTGCTGCATTCATTTCCCTTCAAAGCCAGCACCTTCCTCTCCCTCCCAGGAAATGAAAGGCATGCTACCAAGAAAGCAGTCTGCTTTATAGAAGATTCTTTATCACAAGCATCAGCTTCAAAGGACTGTCCAGGTGACTCAGCTACGTTGGTATCATACGATCAGACACCTGAACATGCAGCCCAAAGCAAGAGTCTGAAACCCCAGCTGCTTGGGGTTAGGCAGGCAATGAAAGCCAGGTGCTTGGACACCAACAGTGCTGGCAAACCCAGGTACAACAATGAAGTACTGCTGCAGAGAGCCAAGAAGTGATTAACTCTGCAGTAACAAGTTCCATCTATTTCCACTGACCAAGCAACGGGTATAGCAAGACACAAATGAGCATCAGAGTGAGATCTAGCAAGATTTAAGGTCACCTCAGCACATCAACAAACAAGGCATCTTTTTAAAGTGTCCCTTGCAAAGCACCGTAAAAATCACACCACTGCATTCAAGGGTGCCTTACTGTCCAGAAGGCTTCAACACTTACTTTCGAAGAATGATGACAGCTCTTCTCTCCTTGATGTCCTGTGGTCGAATACAGTGTGTAATTTCATCGGCTGCGTATCCACTGACAACAAAAACAAAGAGCCGTGGTGAGAAAGATGACAGGCAGGAGGGTAAAGCGGTTGCCAGGCTCAGCAGCGCGCTTTGGCCAGCCATTTCCCAACTTCCCCCACAAATTCCTCTTCCAAACACCACACCATTCCCCCAGGCACACAGGAGCTGGGTTTACAGAACGAGCACGGTAACAGTCAGGCTTTTTTTTTTTTAATTGTTGATTTAATTTTTTTTTTTTCAGCATACACCAGAGGAAACTGCCACCTGCCACAACATCATGAAATAAGTCACGTTGAAAATGAGTTTACGGAGTGTAAATTCAGCCAATTCATTTACGAAAGCTTCATCAAGAGATTAGCGCGCAAGAGAATAAAAAAAAAAAATCACTGCATTGCTCTCAAGCATCTCACTGAGAAAAAGCCATCCATCATCACCAAGAGGCACGGTGCACCCGGACACAGTGTGTAACCTGAAGCACTGAAAAGCAGCTGCTGCCAGAGCATCTTTGAGGGGGTCTTTGACACTCACCCGCCTCACCATCATTACAGGTGCTAATGAGGGGTGGGCTGCCCTCTGCCTGCTGCTGTGCACAGCAGCCTCCTCCAGTCCGGCATGGGGAAGGAGAAGTGAAACGCCTCCTGAAATGGCCGACGAGGACAGGAAGGCCTCGGGGTGAAGGAGTGCTGAACACCAGCACAACATGCCCTGGGTGAACCCAATGCAGGAACCGCTGCGTCTCCAAGAAATCTCACTGTGCTTCCCAGGGGCAGTGCTGTGCTCCCAGCCTTGCGTGAAGGTTGGAAGCTGTTTCATGTGGGTTTGCAGTTAGAGACACACACACACACACACACATCCTCTCTGGGATAAGAGCAGGTTCCCTTTATCTGGTTAGGTAATTCACCCACTCATCTAGAAACGCTCACCTCTTGCTCAAAGAGAGATTTGTTGCTTTGAGAAGACAGCTCAGACCTAAGACAGATCCACCAGAAGAGGGGCTGCTGGCCATCTTCTGCCTCCTACAAGGGGCCTGCAGAGCAACACAGTGCAATGCAGAGGGGCTTCTAATAGTGCTCTATCACATTCCAGGAATCTCTGCGTCAAGCTCCAGCGAATCCATTAATATCATCCACGTTAATATTCAGCTCAGCATATCCTCAGCAAACATCAGGAGGAGGCTGCTTCAAGACCTGTGCAAGATGTCAGCTCAGCCTCCCATAGTTATCCCCATACAGGAACTGGCTCTCAGCTTGCTTCCAAAGCAGTGTTAAGAAGAGCTTATTGTCCCAAAGCAGCAGTCCTATTGCTCCAGACCCTAAGGGGGACTGTCAAGTAAGCCCCAATGCCATACTGGCGGCGGCAACTCAGTCTGCACCTTGCCAAGCACAGGGAGAGTCTCTGCACAGCCCTCTGCAGAGGAGTTTAAACAAGCACTGAGCAGAAAAACAGAAAGAGGTTATTTGGTTGGGTCACAGTTGCCCTGCTGGTGCCAGCAGAATCCTCTCAGCCGTTCCTGGCCTCACCACATCCGATGACAGCCACGAAGGGACACACACTGCAACAAAACCCCAATAAAGATATCAAGGATGTGCCCGGTGACTTCTGCTCTTGCCTGGAAGACAAAACCAAAGCATAGGGGAAGGAACAATCCAAAAAAGAAAGTCCTAAATTGCTGCCCACAAGAACATGAGAACACCTGAGCATGACGCCTGCAGCCCAAGGGAAGTGCAGAGGCCGCCCACAGGCCCAACTAACACTGTGACCCCAACTAATCTCTTGGATCTTACACATTCACAGCTCCTCCCCACATCTCTTTTTCAGTCCAGAAGAGTTAACACGAAGCCACAACATTACTGATTCATATGGAGATGGAAGCAGAGATTTTTTGCATAAACATCAGCAGAAAGCAAGCCCTGAAGCTCTGCACAATCCCTAGAGAAATACTTCCAGGGGCTGGTTATGGCCAGGCCTTAGCAGTTACTGAGCTCAGGCTTTGCCTGTGGTTTGAAAAAGCTGCTGCCACAAAGCACCGATGTGGCATCAACCAGCTGGAGCAGGGCTGGAACAGATCTCTGCCTCATCACCACCAGCACACGAAGGGCCTGCACCGAGCAAAGCTGAGGCACCAAGGGCCTTTGCTCAGGGCTCAGACCTTTCTGGAAAGATGTCTAATCCAGGCAGTTGTGCAGAGGTTCCTCCAGCTGGGAAGAAAGCAGGTTCATCCCCCAGAGGCTCCGAGCAGCACTGCCATCAGGCATGCCTCTAGACAACAAGAGAGAAAACATCACGATGCTCCCAGCGCTGCTTTGTGCGGCAGGGAGCAGACCCACTCTGTGCACAGAGCATTGCCACCTTCAGAAGGAAAGCCTGCCTGTGCACAAGCTCAGAGCTGTGGAAACATCACCATTAGCAATTTACTCCTCTGGCTAACCGCAGCCTTGCACTTCCAACCACAGTGCTCAGATGCACTATGTGGAAATCCAACAAAAGCTCTCCAGGTGTCGAGATCTCCTGTGTGCTGCAGAGCACAGCCTGGCCATCCCAGAGCCTCCACAACCCCACCCAGCTCCCTTTCTCTCCTCCAGAAGCACATGTTCCCCAGGCGGATGTGCAAATTCCTCCATCTCCTCCACACTGCTTCTATCGATTGATGCTTATTGAATTATTTCGTCGGGTTTTTTTTCTTTAAACAGGAAAAAAGACTCCTCATAAACATGGTCCAGTGAGCAACCACCCTCAGCAAGCCGACGGCTGAGGCGCACCGCAGCCTGACTCGGGCTGCTTGAGCCCCGCAGCACTGCAACACGCCGCTGCCATTTGCTCCTGGCCCAGAGGATGCGCAGCAAAGGGACAAACCCTGCAGCCACTGCAGAGAGGGCCTGGGAGGGTCCTCTCCTGGAACATACGAGGGCAAATCAGCGCTATGAATGCAAACAGAGGAAAAAATACCTCAATGGTAGAGCAAAGGGCTGAGCAGCGGTGGCTGGAGTGGCTCAGCCTTTGTCCTCAAAGTGCAGCACAGCCACCAGAACCCCTGTTCCACCTCCAAAACTCTTCGAAGAGGACACTTTTAAAGCCTAACACGCTGTCAGAGAATACTTCACAGCCCGAAGGAGATTCAGTATTTGCAAACACCACAGCGTTGTTAGACAAATGCTTCAGTTTACTGTAAAGTTTAACTAGCAATGTGCTGCATGCGTAATGCCACAAGGCACGTTACCAGCCTCTTACTGAAACAAACCTGAACCTGCCCCCAGGGAGAGACAGAGAGCACCGGGTCAGGGGCAGGAAATGGGGAAACCCCTCATGCCGGTTTTGCAGAGGATTTTGCACATACTGCTGAGAGTAGGACATGCACGACCTGGGGGAGAGATAGCTGGAGATGTGGGGGCAAAGAGAAACGGGGGAGCTCTCTTTACATCTCCAGGATATCCACACGGCAGCAAGCAAACGGAGCAGCCCCTGACCCGGCAGTGCTGGAAGCAGACATTACAAGCACGCTGTTTCTATCTGCGCCGTTTCCCTATCTCCAGGGCAACTGCCTTCAGCAACTGTTTACTGGGAGGAGAAAAAGCCAAGTTTGGAGAGTTGGCTTAAACGTGACTGAGAGCTGGATCCAGAGGTACATCCCTGCACCCCTGAGGTCCTCCTGCCGCGCTGCACATCTCCTCTCTGCTCTCAGACCTCAGGATGGAGGAGAGGAAGTTTGCCGGTCCACCAACTCCTATCTGGCCGGGACAGTATCAACACAGAAGAATCACTGGCAGAATCACTCTTAAGTGAGTGCTAAGTAGCTGCTAACTGCTGCACTGAAATCGAAACAATCTCCATTTTACAGTCTATTATTTGCTGGAAAGCGAGAACATCTAACTCCTGGATGAAGCTAGCAAAGCCAGCACTGGGCTGCCCAGACACCAACTTTCCTATTCTGGCATTAAAAATACTTTGACTTGCTCAGTACAACTGCTTCAGCCATTCCAATGAACAGATTGCAGCACCCAGACCACGAACCCTGCATGTGACACACACAGGGCCTGGCAGGGAACTCACTCCCATTCTGGGAATCCATAGCTGCCCTCTCTTCCCAGCAGTTCTGGAGGAGGAGTGGTGTAAAGGACGAGAAAACACGATTCTCCTGTCCTGGAGCAAACACTGCTCCCTCATCCCAGAGAGTGCGGCAGGAATCCCAATCCTACTTCACACTGAGGGCCACCAGAGGTTTCCTGGTGGAAACGTTACCTTCTCCAGGGGAAGGCATCGCAGTGGTTCACATCACTGGCAGGAAAACGAAGGTAGAAAGTTGTCCCCATGTCTCACACACATGCTAGATCAGGGGCTGCTGAGCACGCAGAGCTCTTGCAGTAAAAGGACAACCCCACGGCTCCCTCCCAGCGCTGACCTCTGCCCTTCTGCACACTCCCTGCCCCAGCCTCACGCACCATAGCGAACGTCCTTAGCCTCGGGAGAGCCGTGTCCTCCCGCTGGCTCTCTCATCCCTCGATAATCTGCAGAAGTTACCTAACGCAGGGGGTACGACGAGGATTAGTTAATGTTTGCGCTGCTTTTCCCAGATAAAAGTGATGTGAGCTCCCGGCATTTATTATTGATGCACCAGTCAACAGCACGACTCCGTACGGACGTGGGGGGGAAGATTCCTTCCCGAACCCTGCGGCGATCGCTTTACAAGCCGAAGTGCAGGATTGGGTTACCACTGGGGAGCCCTGAAAAACTGGCCTGGATGTTCACCAGCCCCCCCCGTCCCTCCCCCAAAAAGATATCGCTGGTCGCTCAGAGCACTGTTGGCACAGTTTGGGCCATCCCACTGCTGGCAGAGAGCACTCTGACCTTCAGGACAAGAGGGACTTGTGCACAGCAAGGCAGGAAGCCCCAGCACCAGCTTCCAGCTGCCTTCGGTGGTACCAAGGGGCTTCTGGGTACCATAGGGCCACGTGTAGCAGCCCATGCTGATGTCCCCCTTCTGCCTGGGGCTCTGTGCACCCACGGGTGGACAGCAGTGATTAGGAAGCAGGCGTTCCCCAGTGCCAATCCCAGCTGTACTGCTGCCTTGCTCCATGACCTTGGGCAGGTCATTTCACCTCCACTGCGCTTCCCCTGCTTGCAGGAACACCAGTAAAGGCATTTCTCATGCCTGCAAGCTGCACGCATTGCTGTCGTGCTGTGTTTACACTGCGCCTGCAAGGGATGGTCCCACAAAGGTCTGCGCTCAGGTCTCCCCCATCAGTGTCTCACAGGTGAGGTCTGTCTCAATTCACAGACTGGGATGAGGCTACTCACACCACCTCTCCACACTTAAGGTCATGTCAGGAAGGCCAAGCTAAGAATAGAACCAGGAGCTCTGTCTCAGCCAGCTCGCGGGCATGGGATCCATTTTGTATCTCGATACGGATTTCCACTGTTCACGGGAACTGTGGGAAAGCCCAACCCCACAAGTGACCACACTCAGATCTGGACCTCTACAAAAAGGGAAACAGCCCCCATCTCTCCCAACACCATCCACTGCAACACCAGGGCGCCCTGAGCCCTCCTGCTGCATGTCTAAAGGCAGATGAGCCCAAACTGCCATCGGGGTGCGTGCCCGCCTGTCTCGTAATGATCATTACACAACCACGTCTCAGCACACAGCCACACAGAGGCCAGCACAGCGAGTTACCTGAGCACTGTGACGCTTCCTCTCTTCACCGGCAGGAACAGCACGGGCTCCGACACCCGGATGGGTTTGAACTGGAACTTACACCCAAAGCAGAGCGCCGAATCGCTGAAGAACGACACGGAGACGATGGGCCGCTCGAAGATATGGATGGGGTCCACGTGGGAGACAATGCAGCCCCCGGGCTGATAGTCGTTGATCACAGCACTGTTCACAAAGCCCTCGGGGATCACCCGGTGCTCCACCAGCTTCCTGATCACCAGGTCGTGCACCCACTCGGGGATGGCATCCACCTCCCCACGCGGGTACAGGCGCTCCTGCCCGGGGCCTCTCCTCTGCAGCTGAGACCCATAGGTGTAACCCTCCCCAAAAAAATACTTGTTCCGCAGCGGGGCTCGATCCACCGTGTGCTCTTTGTAGAGCCCTTTCTCAGCCCTGGACACCACGTCGTCAATGCGAGCTTCGATCTTGGCACACTCCTCGGCGCTGAAGAGGCGAAGCTGACGAATGCCGCTTTTCACTTTCCGGGCTTCTTCCTCCTCCTTCTGCTCCTCATAATCGCTGGGCTCCGAACCGGAGTCCTCGTGGTACCGCCGCTTACGCTCGTAGGGTGGCTCGGGGGGCTCCCGGGGCCCTTTGGAGCCGTCCCGGTAAGGCATCATGGACTTCAGCTTCTCCCGCAGGTCCGTGTAGCCGCTGCCGGCCATAGTGCGCCCGCTGCCCCCGGCTCCTTCAGCGCTCTCCGGGCCGCCCGCCGCTCCGGGCCGCGGGGCTGCTGCTCATGGCCCTGCTGGGGGAGCACCGGGGGAACAACGTGAGGGCAAACACCGGCAGAGGTGTGCCCCCCCACCAGCCCTCCGCCCGCTCCCCAGGTCCACGCCAGGCCGGGCCCTGCCCGCGGCCCCGAGCCCCCCGCCCCACAGCCCCGCTCCCGGTGCGCGACCCACCCCGTCCCGCCCCTCCCCCGGCCGTTCCCCTCCCGGGGCCCAACTCACGGCTCGCCCAGGGGAGCGGCGGCGAAGCAACGGACGAAACGGCGAGAGAGGGGAAATTTAAAAACGCTTCGTGCCGCCGCGGGGCGGGCGGGCGGACAAAGGTACGGCTCCCGGGCTGCTCACGCGGCGGCCCAGCCTGGCACATGCCCAGCGGCGGCGGCCCCGGCTCCGCGCCGTGCCCTGCTCGCTGCCGCCAGCGCGCCGGCGCCCATGGCGGAGGGAGACGCGGGGCCGGGCCCCGGCTCCGGACCGGGGAAGGAAACGGCGGAGGGCCCCGGAGCTCTGGCGCAGCCCTTCCCGCGGCGCGAGCGGCGCTACGTCACCAGCAGGCAGCCCGACATCCCGAGCCGCCGCCGCGGGGCCGCCCACCGCGCCGGCACTGCCGCCCGCCCCGCCCCGCCCTCGCACTGCGCACGCGCACGCCGCCGTCCCGCCCCCTCGCGGCGAAGCCCCGCCCCTTCCCCCTTTCCGCCGCTCTCGCCTCGCGTCGCAACGGACGGCGGCGGCGACGCGCGGCCCCGCCCCGCCGCCTCGGGACTCGGTGCTGATTGGCTGCCGGAAGTGCGAGCCGACGGTTGATTGGCGGGGTCCTCGCGATAACGCCGGCGGGCGCTGGGGTGGCCGGCGAGATGCCTGCGAGCCGCGTGGCGCAGGGACACTACCGCCCCCTGGCGGATGGGAGGACCCGGGGGCTCCGTGCCCGGTGCGGGGCAGAGCTACGCGGTTCTGTGCGGGGGGAGTTGGATGGCAGGAGCGCAGCACACAGCACGAATACAGCCAGGCCCCGCGTCGCGGGCTTGTATAAAATCCTGTGCGGGGTTACAGCGAGGAGGGGGTGGGGGGGTCACGTCGGGGACGGGGCCGCGGGCTCAGAGCAGCGTGATCTCGCTGGGCGGCAGCGTCAGCCTCTTCTCCCTCGCCCCCAGCAGCCTCTCCACGTGCGCGGCCACCACGCGGCACAGCTCCAGGCCCTGGCGGAAGGGAACAGGGCCGGGCCGTGGCGAGGGGGACACGACGTCGGGGCACGCCCGGGGCCCTTCCGTCCTCCCATAGCCACCAACCTGCTCCAACTGCAGCTGGGTGACGCCCTGGGCTTGCAGCTCCCCGGTGGTGATCTCCACGTAGGGAGAGCTGGAGCCGGCCGCCGGGCGCTGCGTCCGCGTCGCCTGCAGCTCCTTCAGCGAGAACTTGGCCACGGGCTCCTGGGGGTGTGGGGGGGGGCGGGGGGGGAGATGGGGGCTGGGAGGGCGGTCCTGGGGTCCACATCCAAAAGGTGCACGCCTCAGCACATCCCCAAAGTGTGTAGGGAAGGCCCTCCTGCCCCTGCTCTATGCTCTTTAGGGATCCCCACTGTGCTGGGAGGGAGATATCAGCCCCCACCTCTCCTCATGGCTTGCACAGCCCTGTGCCAGCCTGCAGCATGGACTATGGGGTCTTCCCATAGCTCAGCCCCCAGCCCACACCTACGTGGGTCTCCTTGCTGAGGAAGTTGAGGCCATTCTGGTTGACAGCCAGGATGCAGGGTGAGACAATGGCGTGGTTGCTGCAGCTCTGGATGTAGAAGAAAGACGAGCCGAACATGGGGCAGGCACTCAGCAGCCCTGAAGGAGGAGGGGGTTGATGGAGGATGGCGTTTCTTGGATTGCCCATGAAGAAACCTGCCTATCTCGTCCCTGTCCCTGTCCCATAGCCCTCACCCAGGAACTGCGCCCGGGCCTGGTGGGCACTGAGTGCCTGTGCTTGCTGCATGTGCTGGGTCACCATGTGCAGCCAGGATGGGGCTGACAGCAGGCGGAAGAGCTGTGGGGGGATGTAGTCCTGTACCTCCCGCCTGCAGGGACACAGAGATCAGGGATTTCAGTGCCCAATGGGCCCCCAGTCTCTGCAGGATATGGGCTCCCAGCCTGTCCCATACATGGTGGGGAGGTGGTGGCCATCCTTGGCTCGGTACTGGAGAGCAGCCATCTTGGCCACTTGCTGGAAGTGCTGCTCTCCTGGCCTGGTGGGTGGCAGGACGGTGAACAGCCCCTTGAGGTAGTCAGGGAGGACCTGGAGGGAGACAGCGCGGTGATACGGCTTGGAGCCAGCACTGGGGGTGGTGAATTGTTGGGAGGGGACAGTGGTTGGGAGAGGACACCCCGACCTGGTTGTAGTGCACGGTGACGTAGAGCTCGTTATCAAACTTGAGGGGCTGTCCCCAGACCACCCGGCGGCACCAGAAGGTGTAGCCAGCGTCCAGGCGCTCGGTCTCGGTGGCCACATCCAAGATGTACTCCCGGCGTGTCAGAGGCCGCACGCTCTGCCCTGTGCAGCCCCGGCAGCCTCAGCACAGTGGTGGTCCCCACTTGGTGCTCGCCTGGTGGCACGACTGAGCCTATTGGCCCCTCACCTCTGTTGGTGACCACGAAGAGGATATATTCATCCAAAGCCTCTCGGCGCTGCAGCCCCATTTCGCAGCACAGCTCCTCTATCACATCCAGAGCCACCTGAGCACAGAGATGTGGGGTTGGGGTGGTGCCACATCCCCTCCCATGTTCATGGCCACCACCAGCTCTTTCGCTGGGGTTCACGTTGCGCAGCTCCCCAGGGAAGTGATCTCCAGAGAGATCACTTTTATCTCAGTGTCCCTCAGCTCAGTGACCGTGCGCCTGGGCTGCGCTCAGCCACCGTGTTCCCTGACTCACTGAGCACGTCTTGATCTTGAGGTGCCGCTCGATGCCGCCAGGCAGGAGGAAGAGCTGGCGCTTGGCGCTGCGCCCAGCCTGTGTAGGGGAACACATCAGGCATGGGGTGCATTTCTCACACCCCACAAGGACACCCCAGGCTCCCCTGGGTGCCCCTGCCATGGTGAGCCACATTTTGCCCCCCTGAAAGCCCAGGGCATCCCCAAAAGAGCTTCCCCCATGGGAGGCTCCCAAGCACATGGGAGACATCCCAAACTTTAGGAGGGGATCTCAAGCTGGCATCAGCCCTACCCTGCACCCCATGACCTCACCACCATGGCTTTAAGCTCCATGTTGCTGGGGAAAAGGCTGCGGCCACCAAACTGCAGGGTTTTCCGCAGGTTTTGCTCACAGGCTTTGGAGATGCCTGAGAGAGACATGGATTGGTGTGGGGATGACATCCCTGGGGGCTCTGCAGCACAGGACAGAAGCAGGTGGGATGGGGCTGAGCTGGGACATTGCCCTTTTCTGGCTCTCCTAAAGGTCCCTGGAGCATATGCAGCCCTTACCCTGGAAAGGCAGCTCTGGGCGCACGCTGGCATTCCGCAGGAAGGCCAGGAGGAAGGGCCTGAGCACCTCGGAGCACTTGTAATAGGCAGTGAGGATGTAGAGCAGCCTCCAGCCTTTCTGGCAGCTGTCCCTGCAGGGAAGGGGCTGGGCTGAGCCCCAGGGAGAGCGAAGGGTGTCCATGGTGGCACCCACAGCCCCGGAGGTCAGCATAGTGCAGTGTGGGCTGCAAGAGGACACAGCTGTCCCCAGCCCAACCTCTAGCATGGAGACAGGGACTCACGGTTTGGAGCTGGTGTTGTCAGTGACCTGATTGATGATCTGGCAGTATACCTCATCCCGTAGCACCTCGTGCTCGGCGCACAGCTGGGGGAAAGGCACTGCTCGGTGCATGGCTGGGGACATCCCCATGGCCGCTGCCACCAATCACCACTCTGCTGTGGGGTTTACCTTGAGGATGGTGCAGACGATGTCCAGCTCTGTTTGCCCTCGCAGAGGGTGGTCACCCATGAACTTCATCACAGCTGGGGGTGACAAAGCCACAAGGTGACAGAGCTCACTCATCCCTTCCCCAGGGCAAGAGAGCCTCCCAAACTGCAGCACGTGGGGCAAGCAGGCTGGAGGAGACACTTCATCTGGCCACCCATGGGGCAGGGGATGGGGTGGGGGGCTGTGCCCACCTTGGAAAGCCTCAGTCGCCAGTTTGTTGACACTGTTATCTGTGAACTCAATGAGCGACTCCTGGATGGGAATCTGGGGGGGAGAGGGTGAGTGCTGGAGGAGCTCTTGAGCACATCAGACCTCAAGGATCACAGATGATGCCACAGCAAGGGGCATCTCCAGGAACAGGGTGGCACACCACAACAAACACCAGCTTTGCATGACACTGTCATCTCTGATGTTCCCCACCTTGGTGAACCTCAGCATCTCCATCCCGCTGGGCCCATCCATCTTGCCCTTGCTCCCACAGGACTCCCTAAGAGAGAGGGATGAGGAAGCAGGTGGGCACAACCATCCCCATCGTGTCCCCGTCCCTCCATCGGGCACTCACGTGGTCCCACGCTGCGCTGCACGGAAATACCGCCTGGCAAAGGCCAGCATGGGGCGGGTCCCTGCGCCATCCCCAAGCTGCTCGCTGCTGTCACCTTCTGGACCCTCTGGGAAGGCAGTGCTGGTCGGAGACCCCTGCAGAAAGGAGCGGTAGGCACAGGGCATGGCCAGTACTGGGCACAGGGCGTAGCTGGCACCGTGCACAGAGCAGTAGCCCCAGAGCAGCACTTACCTCAGTTTTGCGATCCAGTTCCTGTGCCACAGCAGTGGAAGCCACAGCCATGGCCACAGCCCCTGAGGCTGCCACTCTGCCTTGCTTGTCCCCAGGCTCTTCCTTCCTCCCCGCTGGCAAGTGGACGAAGTCAGGGGCTGCAATGGGCTGGACGTACTCAGTTGGGAAGAGCCCTGACCTGCCGTGGATGGCCCCAAACTTCCACCCTGCATCAGGCAGAAGGGTGGGGATGGCCCCGGGTGTCACCCTGTGGCACCCACAAGCCCTCGCCATGGGGTCTGGCTGTGACTTTCAGCTGGAAGCAGCTGCAGCTTGGCATTGTGTGAGGCAAGGGCACAGCAGAGGAGACACACTGGATGCAGGGATGTGGAGCAGCACCCAGTGCTGCAACCGTCCAGGATGGGAACCACAGGGGAGCATCCCTTTGCTTTGAGTTGGTGTTAAAAAGAGCCAAAGCCAGCTTGCTAGCTTGGTGGCAGCAGAAGTGGGATCCAACCCCAGGATGGAACAAGGCTCAGGTCAGATGGATACACACTGGGGACACACACAGGGACACCACAGAGCCACCCACCAAAATCCTGGGTGCCAGTCTTCAGCTCCTCCAGGTATATCACCTTCTTGCGAACCACGCAGCCATAGTAGTGATCTGTGGGGACATCACAGGGGTGGCCACCTCCAGGCCACCAACATGTCCCCAGAGCTGTGCCCTGGCTGAGGGTGGGGTGGGATCCTCGAGCTCATGAAGGGCAAGGGGCGAGGACAAGAGGTGGCTCACCTCTCTTGGGGTGCTCCAGTGGCTGCAGGTGAATGATATCTCCTTTGTGGAAGCTGAGCTGAGCCCCATCCTCAGGGCTGTAGTTCCTCACGGCCACCACGTACTGGGAGTCCTGGGGGCAGGGGGGGCTGGCACAGCCCACGCACGCATGCACATGCACTCATGGAAATGCATGTACACCCATGGAAACGGATGCACAACCATGGAAATGTATGCATAACCATGCACAGGGGCCTCAAGCACCTGTAGAACCACCCAAGCTTCCACCAAGAACCAACCCCACCCTACAGGTCCCAGGCAGTATCTCATGAGCAGACTGTCCCCTACTGCCCGCCCCATCTCCAAGATGTGTCCCACACCTTCCTGAGCTCCGTGATGAAGTGATCCACCATGGCCTTCACCTGAGGAGCTTTTGGGGAGAAGAGGATGAACTTCTCACTGCTCAGATTGAACTCCAACATGTTCTTGGATGGGGTGGTCACGAAGAGCACGTCTGCATAGCTGGGGCAGGTAGAGGGCAGGATGAAGCACCGGGCACCCACAGCACCCATCCCGATGGACGCATGGGGCAGCCCCTACCTGTACACCCGCAGCACACGCAGCTGCTCCCCAGGCATGTTGGTGCCCTTCACCATCCGCAGCAGTTTGATGCCAGTGTGGGACACAGCCAGGATCTGCACGCCCGTCCCCACGCTGCCCTGCACATCACTGCACATCAGCCAGGCACAGGGACTGTCACTGCCGTGTCCCACCCACCCCATGATGTGCCCTCACCGTGGCAGGGAAGAGGCGTGAGAAATAAACCTCACAGCTGTCCCGGGCGGCCGTCACAATCTCCTTCTTGACACTCTCAGTGGCCACGGGGCTGAAGGAGTCCAGCTTGTTTTCCGCTGTGGGGAAAGCAAAGGGGTTCTGGATGGGGCTTCTGGTGCGAGATGCTCATCCCATCTCCCAGCCTGACCAGAACAGTGAAACATGTCGCTCTAAAGCAGCAAGCCTGGCTGAGCCCCAGCACAACTTGTGACTGTGAAACACCGGGTCACAGCCAGCTCATTTACAGGCAAAACTGGTTCACATTTAAGCAGAATCACTTGTGGCAAGAGATGGGGAGTTGCCAGAGTGGGAGAATGGGAGCACCCCACTATGAGTTTCTCTCTCCCTCCCAGGAATAGCAGTATTTGGGGTGCAGATGAGCATTACCAAAGAGGGATTTCATGCGGAGCCGCTCCTCGGGGCTGATGCGGATGCAGGTGTCAGAGAGTGTGTCGGTGAAGATCTGGGGTGAGGAGCACAGGGAGTTATGTATCCCTGATGTCCCCAGCTCTCCCTGCCTTCAGCTGAGCTGTGGGAAGCTCTGTGGAGCTGGAGGTGGAAATGCGGGGCCAGCTCTGCTCCTCACCTGCCGGAAGATGAGGTCCAGCAGCAGCGGGTTGTTGAAGCTGTCCTTGGGGTAGAAAACCTGCCAGGAGGGACATTAGCACAGCTCAGCTGAGGAAAATCCCCTTTATCCATGGAGAGATTTGACACCAATCTTATTCCAGTACAGAGGGGACAGGTAGTGTCCCGCTGGAGCATGGAGCAGGTGATGCTGCTCACACCATGTCCTCCTGACTTCCCCCCATGCCGCATGGAGCAGGCTGTCTCCAGCCCTGTCCTCAGTCCCAGCCCTGTCCCCAGCCCTGCACCTCCTTGCGGATGTATATTTTCCAGGGCACATTGCAGTAGGTGTAGAAGTCCTCACTGCAGCTGCGATGAAGCTGGGTCTGCACCTGCTGCGCCTCAGACGGGAGCTCCCTCGACACGAAGACTGCAAAGGGATGGAAAGCCCTGCATGACTCTGGGGGGGACAGCTGACAGCTCCTTTCTGCCAGGGGTAACTGAGGTGTAAGAACCACTGTGGCTCAGGGAGGGCACAGCCATTATCTCATGAGGATGCTGCAGATTGGGACCTGTATCCAGACCTGGTGCCATGGGGGAAGGACAAGTTGCCCCACTGCCCTGGGACCCCAGTGTGGCTCTGCCCTGCAATACCTGGAGGCCGGGAGGCTCCCAGTCGCCCCTTTGGTGCTCTCAGCTGGTACCTGCCACTGGGGACCGGTTTCACTGCAGCCACAGCCTCTGTGGGCCCCTGCGAGGCAGGGAGCAGACTAATGTCAGGGCTGGCAGCTCCCCCCCCCCGGCACAGGAGGCACAAGGGTGGCCGCATCCCTACCACAGCTGCAGGCACCCGGGCTGCTGAAAGTTGCTCCTTCAGGATCTGCAAGGCTTCCTCGTGGGGATCCAGCTTCTTCCCAAAGAGCTTGCTATGGAGACAGCAGCCTGATGTCACACACACCACAGCATCGCCTGCATCCAGGCATTGCCCACATCCCAGTATCACCCACATCCCAGCATCACACAGCCTCCAGTAAGAGGCTAATGGGGCCAGAGGACGCAGTTGGCAGCCCCACAGCTCAGAGCAGGACCTGGGGGTACCTGTGGGGCTGGGGGCCACATGAGGTGGGTTGGCACTGCCGGATGATGTTACGGATGTTGTGTGTGGGCCGTGGGATGTGCTCCGAGTTCAGCCGGGAGTGCTGCACAGGCTCACCATTCCATTGCCAGCCCGTGGGTGCTGTGAGGACAAATTGTGGCTCATGGGGACTGTATGGGCAACCAGCCTGCTTGACATCAAGCTCCTGGCCCAGGCACCCCTTACCTGCTTTCTGTGAGTAGGGCCGGGGCTGGGGGGCCCGTGTGGGTGCCCCCTCTGCTGCTCTGCCCTACAAGGTGGAATTGCACCATGAGGACCTATCCCCTACCCCATTGCTCCCCAGTGCCCCAGTGGCTGGGGAGCAGCCTTGACAGGAATGGGTTCAGCCCCTCCCAGCCCTGCCCCACTGACCGGGGCCCTTGGTGGGCTGGGGTCTGTGCGGTGCTGTGGGGGTGAGGCTGGCTCTTCACCTGTGAAGGCAATATGGAGAGTTCAGCCAGCCCAGCACTGACGACTGCAGGGAGCCAGGGTGTTCCCCAAGTCAAGGGACTAAGGATCAGGTGGGGAAATGATGGCATGGAGACAGGGAGGGACCCAGGAGCTCACCCCTTGGCTGCCGCGTGTCAGTGGGCATGGTGGGTTGCTGCTGCTTGGCACCACTACTGCTGTCCCCCCCTCCCACGCTGCCGCCTCCCTTCATCCTCTGCACGATGGCAGCAGGCTTCTCCAGCTCCTGGTGACCAGGTGTCCAGGGGAAACTGAGGCACAGCCCCACTATGGAGCCTGTGCAATGCCCCGTGCCCCTGGCTCTGCTGACCCTCGGGCAGGGGGACGCCACTCACCCCATTGCCATAGGAGAGCACTGGGTCAAATAGGCTGTCCAGGTACCGATCCAAACCCTTCTGGGTTCTGTGCTCCCCAAAGTCGGTGTCTGGTGGGCAGAGGGCAGGATGAGCCCAGAAACCCTGCAGTGAGCACAGCCCCATGGGCAGCTCAGGGCCAGAGGCTGCCCTACCATGTGGTGGGTACCCCTCTGTCTCCACCAGTGATGGCAGTGTGGGTGCTCTGACAGCTGGAGGAGGCGGCACTTCATCCAAATCCATGGGATGCATCCTACAGAGAGTAAGGGTTTGCACCAACCCGTGTCCCTACAGCATCCATCCAGCCCTGTGCCGACTGCAGGGCTGTGTCCCATCCCGGGTACCTACGCCCGGCTGGCATGGTCCCGGCTCCCTGCCCCGTCCCAGGCAATGAGGAAGCAGGACTTCTGCTTGGGGAAACCCTGCAGCAGCTCCAGGTCAGAGATGAGGTCCAGGACGTAATCATGGCCAGCCAGCTCAGCCCACTGGGTGCCCACCTTCATGGCCACGGACCACCCGCGCCAGCCCTCCACCAGCCCCCTGCTGACAGCAGGACACTGGGGACAGGCTGACCCCGCTCTGGGGGACACCATGCCCAAGAGCTGGGCAGTGTGGCTCCCACCCCAGATTCGGGCTCATCCCAGATGGCTTAGGGGGAGCTGCGAGAAGCCAAGCTGGTGGTACCTGTGCTTCAGAACATCTCCTGCCAGGTCCTCACCAGTGCTCCAAGAGTGCACGGGGCAGGAGAATTGGTCGCCTGGGGAAGGATGGATGGTGAGTGGGTTCCGAGGTCCCCTCTTGACTGGGACCCCCCCAAAAAACCCAGCTCGGTGCCACCCCACACCATTGAAGCAGAAGAGCTGCAGTGCCATGCTGGCTTGCCGCCGGTTCGCTGTCCACTCCAGCAGTGAGGGTGGGTAAGCACGGGCACCCAGCTGGGACCGTGCCATGGCGTGCATCAGCTTGCGCTGGCACACCGGCTTGTAGCCAGCAAAGGCGTAGTCAGAGACAAACCTGTGGGGAAAGGACAGCTACCAAGGGGTGACCCTGTGGTGGTCCCAGACACAGGCTGTAAGGGACCATGGAGGGACTTCAGAGCGTTCCCAGATGAGAGAAGTTTCTCTGGGGACATGTGTCAGGTTGACCCTGAGGAAACATGGTGGGGACCTCAGATGGGAACAACATCCTCAGACACTTGCACCAGGCTGAGCCTAAGTGACCACATGGGGACCTCAGAACACTCCCATATAGAAGCAGCATCCATGGGGACCTCAGAACACTCTCAGATAGGAGCAGCATCCATGGGCGCATGTGCCAGGATGGTCCTAGGGAATTCTGGAAGCACCCAGCACTGTTACCAGGCTGTCTATAAACATGCGACCCACAGAATCTGGGCACTGTCCCCAGTGGTGCATTCCAGATTATCCCCACAGTGGACCCAGACCCCATCCCACACCAACCCCTGGAGTCCCAGCAAGCCCCCATCCCCAGCTCACTTCAGCAAGTACTTGTCGAAGGCGGTGGATGGGGGGAAGGCACTGAGGCAGGCAGCCAGCAGCAGCCAGCCCCGCTCCTCGTTGTTGACGTTGGTGTTGCGCCAGACCTGGTTGGCTGCTTGTGCCAGCAGCTCGTCCCGCAGCCCTGGTGCCGACAGCCCCTTCTGCACGATGTAGTTGCCAAAAAGAGTCTCCTGCTTGCCACCTAGCCCCGGGTCACCCATGAAGCGCAGGATCTGTAAGGACAGAGCGGGGTGCAGGCTGTCTGTCTCCTTCCTTCCAGCTCAGCTCCTCTTCTTCACTCTGCTCTCTCCCACCTACCAACTTGAAGAGGCTGAGTGCTTCATGGCACAGCTCCTCATCCAGCCGGGTGAGCGGGGCCACCAGTGGGGCTGTCAGCATCCCAAAGGCCGGCTCCTGTGGTGACACCCACACCCGTGGCTACCTGCCCCCCCTGGGGGACCCTGCTGCTGCCACCCAGGGAAACAGTGGAATGCTCCGAGTGTTGAGGATGGAGACTTTGGGACTGAGAAAGGGTTGGGATGTGGGATGGGGCCAGCACCTTGTGGAGGCTGAGAAGGATGTGATGCTGTTGGAGATCCTGGGGACTTGGAAACACGCAGTATAAATAGAGGGAGAGGAGGAAAAGGAGGAAGAGGAAAGACACGAAGTGGCCAGGGCCAAGGAACAAAGCGACCTGGGTCTCCCGGCCCCGCGTTGGGTGTCCAGGAGGGCTCGGCGGGTCTCTCTCCAATAACCTCAGCGGGGTCCCTGCGGCCCCTGGAGACAACAGAACCCACAGGGAGGGCGGGCGGACGGGGGCCACCTCCAGCTCCACGCAGCACCGCAGCCGCCCCGCAGCCAGCCCCACTCGCGCACCACCTTGGGGACCCCAAACCTAACAGCTGCACCACATCCAGGGCAATGAGGACCCCCGTGAGCCCCCTGTCTGCTGGGGCAGGCGGCCGGTGCCACCCTTACCTGGAAGTGGCCCCGCACGTACTTGGCCATGGAGTAATCATTGATGTCGAGGGGCAGGGTGAGCTGGGAGTCGGGCTGCAATGCCGGCGGCGGCACCAGGACCACACAGCCAGCATTCACCTCACGGGCAGCTGCAGCACACAGCCAGCAGCTCTGGCACCCGCAGCCAGGGATGGGGATGAGGGTGGTGCAGGCTGGGAACTGTGCCTGACCCACTCACCCGCCGCGGCCTCCAGCAGCCCCATCAGCTCAGCAGGGATCTCCAGGTGTGTCACGTCCACCACCTCCCTCCTCGTCAGCTCCTGCAGTGAGCACAGGGATGGGGCCTCGTCACTGAGCTTCTCCTCATCCCCAATACCATAGAGTGCTGTGGCATGGCAATGGGTGAGGGCATGAGAGCATCGCTCCATTACCTGCTTCCTTCTCTCCTTCTCCTCCTCTGCCCGCCGGCGTGCATCCTCCTTCCTCTGCAAGCACAGGGATGCTACACATAAGCCCCAGCACCATGGAGACCCAGAGGCATGGGACCACACCAAGGTGCTCTTGCCCTGGTGTTCCCTATCCACAGCACCAAGGAGATGGTGAGGATGGGAGTCTGAAGGGCTCCAGGATCTGGTGGTGCCCCCGTTGCCCACCTCACCTTGAGGTACCGCCGGCGGTTCACATAGATGTGTACCAGTGACCTGAACTTGATGAGCGTGTGCCTCATGCGGCGGTACCGCTGCCTGCAGGAGGGCACTCCATCATCCTGTGCCCCCTGCTGCCCCCCCACCCCAGTGACCTCCAGCCCTACCTGGCCAGGTAGCCACGTGCCCGGCTCTGCAGCAGGACGATTTTTCGGCGCAGGGAGCGGAAGCGCTTCTTGATAAAGAAGGTGCGGGCGTAGCGCTGCAGTGTGAGTGCAGCCAGGTGGTGGGCACGGGCCCGCTTGCTCTCCAGTGCCTGGTAGAGCTGCTCCTTCAGGAAGAGCTGGGGGGAGCATGCCGTGAGCCCCCATGGTACATCACTTGTACCTGAGCACCTCAAATTCTCCAGCAGCCCTTTGGTACCTTGCTGACACCGACGTAGTACATGCTGGGGTTGACGGGGCAGAGGTTTCTCAGCATTTCCACACAGTTGGCCCCATTGGGAACAACATTGGACCACATGTCGACCAGGCAGCGGTACCTGGGAGAGCCCACAGCACTGTCACCAGCACTGCTACCACATGGGACTTCTCCCACCACGTTGGCATGGGCCTTCCCCATTGCCTGGGATAGCAACTTCTCCTGGCGCTTTGAACTCAAACTGGGGGGCTCTCAGCTCCCTGCTGTGGGTTCCCCAGAGCTGGCAGTGATTGACCCACAGCCACCACGCTGCACACCCCAGGCACCTGTCAATGAAGACGAGGAAAGGGATGCGGATGGGGAAGCCCTCCTTGCGGATGCGGATGGTCTCTAAGATGCCCGAGTAGCGCAGCTGGCTGCTGACCACATCGGCCTCAAAGAGTCCTGGCTCCTGGGGGGACAAGGAGTGAAGCCTTGGTGGCCATGTGGGCAGATCCTCACCAGCGAGGGGCAAGGAGACATGAGGACCCACATGGCACCATGCACCCACCGCGCTCACCTTCTTGTTGTTGGGTTTGAGGCAGCGCACAAAGAAGGGGTTGCACCTGTGTTGGAGAGATGCCATCAAGGGACAGGGGACAAAGCCAGCCTGGCCACCTGGGACGTGGGTCCAGCCATCCCCCTCCCTCCAGCAGTGTCGTGAGTGCCCTGCTTGTGCCAACCTTTCCATCTTCTCCACCAAGTCCAGGAGAGACTGCTGGAACCGTGCAGCCACAGTGGGAGCCTTGTAACGCCGCGTCCTGGTGCTGCTCCTCCTGACCAGGCTCCTCTGCCGGGCCAGCACCTGGGCATGGCCGAAGAACAGGTTGGCCACCACCTTGGAGGGACAGGAAGGGTTATGGAGGAGGAAGGTGGCCCTGGTGGCCACTCAAGAGCAGTCTGTGTGACACGAAGGCTGGGGAGCCCAATGGTAAAAGGGCGTGGGGTCACACCATCTGCTGCTGGTCCCCTTGAGTGGGGGACAAGTGCTTGGAGACATTACAAGCAGCATGTGTCTGCGTCCAGTGCCCCAGGCAGGGCCATACCTTGGTCCTGCTGCTGATGAACAGGTCCAGCACATCCTGACGGACCTGGTCATAGTTTTTATCCAAAAACTTGTGAACCTGGCAAAGGGCAAAATCTCACAGTGAGAAGCCCAGCAGGGAGGTGAGGAGCTCTAGGCTGGGACTCTCCAGGAAGGGGACCACTCCCTGGGGCTGCCCCTTGCCCCCTGCTGCTGGATTTTAGGAACGTGGTTTGGTGGGCATGGTGGTGATGGATCAATGATTGGACTTGGTGATCTTAGAGATCTTTACCAACCTTTATGATTCTACGATCAGCCCCACAACCCTCTATGTCAGCTCTATAACCCATCACACACCTGGTAGGTCACCTTCCCTGCATAGTGCTTGATGGTGAACTCAGGCAGTGGCATCTTTGGCTTGGTGTACAATGGGTTGGTCCCATGGTGGTAGTGACACTTCTGCAGGAATGTGTGATCTGTGGCCTGGGGGCAGACAGCGAGGTGAGGCTCCATGGCACAGCTCAGGCAGTTTGGTGGCACCAGGATGGGGACAACCAGCCAGGTAACAGTGGGCCTCCCAGATGGTCCGGGATAGTCCAGGAGGTGAGCAGCCCTGGTGACACCCGGGCATGGTGACAACCTGGTGGTGCCATTCTCGGTGCTTCAGCTCGGGGCAGCCTCACCTGGGGGAAGCAGCTCTGGTCATCCAGGATGCGGAGGATGCCATAGGGTTTCTGGGAGATGAGGTCGATGCAGGGCTGGTTGTCACTGAAGGGGATTTCCTTCCACTCGATCTGCTCCCGCAGGTACTCCTCCTGCCATGGCAGCAGCTCACTGAGCCCTGCACCCCAGGCTGGGCACATTGACACCCCGAAGTCCCCAAATCCATGGTGACATGGCCAGAGATGAGCAGAGCATGGCTCCGCTCTCCTGCCCACCTGCTCCTCTTGGAAGATAATCTTGTTGAAGAAGAACTGCAGGTACTCGTTGGCATAGTTGATGCACAGCTGCTCAAAGCTGTTGAAGTTGAGGTCCTGCAAAAAAGAGCAGTGGGGTATGAAACTATCCAGAGCTATTCACAGCAAAATTGGGGAAATCGAGTATACACTGAGGTCTGTGCCCACCTCGAAGCCATAGATGTCCAGGATAGCAATGGAAAGGGCATCCTGCCGTGGGTACACCAGCTTGTTGATGCGGTCAGTGAGCCAGCCAAAGAGCAGGGCATAGAGGGTCTTGGCAATGGCATCCCTACAAGGGGTGGGTGAGCAGAGCACTGACCAAGGCACCCTGCCCATGCACCTGCAGCACCCTGTACTGCCTGGACAATGCACATCACACATAGGTCTGCATGCATGGCCTCTAGCACCAAATCTGCATAGAGATCATCACTTTTTCCCTGTTCCCTACTGTGATGTCCCCATCCTCTCAGTCCCAGGCCACCTCCCTTTACCTAGCATCCACAGCACTTTCGACAGTCAGGGGGGTAAAAATCTTCTCCCGCAGTGTTTCCTAGTTGGGGACACACAAAGCATTGATGTGACTGAGGTTTTAGCCACGGTCACCAACGCATCTCTCAGACTGGAGCAGTGTCCCCCCCACACTCACCGTCACCTTGAAGGTGATGGCCTTCTGCAGGCCCTCGGGGGAGATCTGCAGCAGCTCAGCCACTGTCCTGATCTCTGTGGCACTCACCACCGTGGCAATCTCCTGGCAGTCCGTCTGCAGGACACAGAGTGATGGAACAGGGCTTTCCCTTTGTATGCACCCCAAATTGGGTCAAAAGAGCTTACGTACCTCATATTTCTCAAAGTAGACATTTCCCAGGTGGAGGACTGAGGACAGGATGCGGAAGATGCTGTTCTGCTCATCCACACTGAAGCCCAGGACCTCCATGGTGTTGAGCAGCCGGCGGAAATCCTCTGCATCATCCTTGCCGGGGATTTCACAGTTCCCACCCTGCCACAGACCCCAGTGCCATCAGCACCCCCAGACTTTAAGGGGTATGGCACAGAGGGACTCCATGAGCCCCCTGGAAAGGCTTAGGAGGAGGCAGGGGCTCGCCACCTGGTTCAGGTAGTAGTAAGTCTCAGCTCCCTGCAGGCAGTAGCGCTGCCGCTGCTGGGCAGGCAGCCCCACCAGCATCTCGTAGAAGATGTGATAATTGCGCTCGCTTTTGGCCTGTGGGGCAGAGGGATGAGCTGCAGGGCAATGGGGGTGTGTGGATAAAGTTGAAGGAACCCTCCTGGCACCCACCTGGAAGACCACACGGGACTTCTCCAGCAGATACTGTGAGGTGATGGCACCGCAAATCAGACCACTGCAGGGGTGAGAGTGGGCACCTGGCTGACAACCTGGGCACCTGCAGGATGGCTCCGTGCCCCCCCCCCCCTTCTCCTGCTATATGCAGGGGTCACCCCCAATCCAAGGTTCCTCCCAGTGGGCTCCCAAGCATGACAGGAGCTGTGCACCCCAAGATGACATTGGTTATCCCTATGGATATCCCTATGGAATTGGTGGTGCTGTTCAGGAAGGACCATGGGGACCCACAGGCAGCCAGGGTGCCCACCTCTGGCACAGCATTGCTGCACCATGGGCAGGAGACAACAAATGCCATGTGTCTTTCTGTCTTTGCCTTTCCCCTTTCCATATTTCATTCTCAAAAGCAGCACTGTATGCATGTCCCACCCCAGCTGTGAATGATGGGGGTGGTCCAGAAGCAGGGCAGGGCACCGGGATGGGGAGGACATGGGGTGGGAATGGACACGTGAGAATGATGGGTGTTACTTACTCCTCCAGAAAGATTTCCACAAATTTCCCAAACCTGCTGGAATTGTCGTTTCTCACAGTTTTGGCATTGCCGAAGGATTCCAGCAAGGGGGTTGCCTCCAAGATCTGCCCACAGCCAATGGGGAGAGCACAGGTGAGGTACCCCAACAGCCACGAGACATGCTGTGCCAACCCCCCAGGCTGTGCCATCACTATTGCACACCTAAATTGGAGGCGTGCAACATCACCAGCCTGCACTGGGATGCAGCACAGTGCAACAACCCCATGCACATGCATGTACACAGATTCCAGCTCCCACCCTCACTGTCCCCATGTAGATGGGGTGATGTGGCAGAAATGCCACCGTGTTGCTCAGCCTCACTGAGCCATCTCAGTCTGTATGCCCCACAAGTACCTCTATCTGCCGTGGTCCAGGTGGAAGCATGGGGACAAAGGAGAGAGCAGTGGAGGGAGGCAGGGATAGGGACAGGGGTGGGGACAGGGGTGAGGACAGGGCGAGTGGCAGCCCCTACCTGCTGTGCAGTGCTGCGCTTCTGGCTGACAGCTGCCAGGTAGCGCAGGATCAGCTTCGTGGCCTCCGTCTTCCCTGAGCCGCTCTCCCCACTGAAAGGCAAAGCCCACCTCTAGCACACCCACCCAGTGCACCCCTAATGCACCCCATTCCCAGACATATCCATGGGGCCGGGCTGGTGCACCCTGTGCAATCAGGGCAGTGCTAATTATGGGCAGTGCGTGGGGACGGCCACCCCTCACCTGATGACGATACACTGGTTGTGTTTGGCATCCATCATTTTGGAGTAGGCGACGTTTGCAATTGCAAAGAGGTGCCTGGAAGCAGTGGGAGGCACATAGGCATCCTTGTGTCATGCCAACGTGGGCAGCTCAGCCTCTGCAGATTTGGGGGTGGGTGGTGGCACAGCAATGCAGTACTCACGGTGGGTTCTCGCCCAGCGCCCTGCCTTCATACTGCAGCACCTGCTCCATCCCGTAGATGTTGTACAGGCGGTAGGGATTCACCGACACCAGGATGCTGCCAATGTAGGTCTGCAGGAGAGTAATGAGAGGCTGTGGGTGCTGGGGGAGCAGTGCCCCCAGGGGACCCCTGCAGCCCTGCCTTACATAGATGAGCTGGCGCTCGAAGCGTGTGCGGATGTTGCTCAGCACTGCGGCTTCCTGCAGGTCCCTGGTGCAGGGGGAGGCTGTGTTAGGGAGCACGAGGGGCACAGGACCCACAACCCCATGGGGATGGAGCTGTCCCTGGATGGGACCACGGCACTCACTCCAACTGGGTCATGTCCTCCAGCCCATCCTCCTCTTGCGGCTCCTGGTAGCGCACGATGGGCAGGCTGCACAGCGACTGCATCTACACAGGGAAACAGCATGGGCACCATCACAGCATCGCCATTCCCTTGCTACATCCCACCTGGGTCAGTGCCACCGCCCCAAATTGCCATCTATGACCCCAATACCAGTAAGTGCAGGGACCATGAGCAATCACCCATGGCCCTAAAATGTGTCCCTGTAACAAAAGTATCACGTCTGCAGAGAACAGGGCTGAAAATTGGGAGCAGCCCTGGTGAGGCAACACTTGGGACTGGCCCATTGCTGTTGCTGGAGATCCTGAGCAGGAACAGGCAGAGATGGCTGCACGCAGGCTGCCCAGGGAGGTGGTGGGGTCACCGTCCCTGGAGGTGTGGAGATGTGGCACCGAGGAACGTGGGTTGGTGCAATGGGCTGGAGCTGGACTTGAATTCCTTTCCAAACCTAATGACTCACCACAGCTGTACCGGGAACCACAGCAGCACCTAGCATCACGGCTGTACCCAGCACCACATCTATCCCTGCACCACAGCCTGTACGCAGCCCCCGCTGGCTCCCGCCCAGCAGTGGGCAGGAAAGCAGACACCGGCCGGGGTCGTGGTGCCTCCTGCTAACGAAACCTCTCCCGCCCCATCCTGCAGATCAGGTCTCAGCATTTCCATACGTGGGCTGCAGCCAGCCAGAGTCAGGTGTCTGCAGCACGGGGGGGCCATGCAACAACTGTCCCCTATCCAGCCCAGTCACCGTGCAGGACCCCCCCCACCACTCCCAGTCACTCACCCCCCACCCTGCCAACGCAGCCCATGGTTCTGGATGCCTCACACCCCTCAGCACCGCACTCTCCCCTCCCAGCAGGCAGATCAGTGCTGGTGGTCGGGGCCGGACGTGATGCCCACTCGCCCACCATCTCCATCCCATAACGATCTCTGTGACAAACCACCCCTCGCTCGCTGCACGGCCGGCATTACCTTGCTGCGCCAGGGCTGCTTGCTGCCCAGGTACCCGTCCGCCCAGGGGTGCCTGTCCCTCCAGGCGCTCGCTGAGCGCTGGCCCAGGTACCGGCCGATGTCGACTCCCCTCTGGCTCGCCCGCTGCCGCCCGCGTTCGGCGGGGTGCCGGGTGTAGCCCTGCTCGGCCGTCCAGGCGTCGGGCATCTCCCGCACCCGCACGACGTGCTGCTTGGACCAGTGCTGCTTGTACATGCGGGACGCCCTCCGGAAGGAGTCCAACCTCTGGATCTGCGGCGTCACCACCGCGTAGCGCCCAGCGCCGTCCTCCCCAGCCACGGCCTCGCTCTCGGCAGGCTCGGGGGCACGGAAGCTGCGGCGGAGGATGGGGGGCGAGCCGGGGGTGCGGCCGCGGGGTGGGGGACTGCGGCGGCGGGCGCTAGGGGAGGAAGAGAGATGGGGGCTCCCCACATTGGGGCTCGGAGAGCTGGGGGTGCCCACATCTCTCCGGGACGCGCGTCTCGGTGGGGAAGGCGAGCGAGATAGGGGGCGGCGGGCAGGCGGTGGGGACGAGGGAGTTTTGGAGGAGGCCATGCTCCCCACGATCAGCGACGCCAGGGACTGCCCCACATGACGGATTCGTCCCGGGGATGGGCTGCGTCCCCCAGATTCGGCAGGGGGCGGCCTTGGCGGTGGCGAGCGCGGGGCCATGCCAGCGAGGGGCTGCCCGATGCGCTGGATGAAGGATTTGGGGGGCCCAGATGCAGGGCTGGGCGGTGGGGGTGCGCCCTGCCAGGGAGGCAGCTGCATGGCGGGGGCTTCATCCCAGGAGGGGTTGAGTCGGCGGCTGCCGGGGCGTGAGGGCGGTGCGAGGAAGGAGCTCCTCATCAGAGGCTTCACAGCTTTGGTGGGGGGCTCGGGCTGCCGCGGCCAGGCCAGGGGAAGCCGTCCCGGGGGACTCGCCCCAGGAGAGCTGCTCCGCCGTGACGGCCGCGGGGTCAGGGGCCTCCCCGACACCCCCGAATGCCGTGATGCCGGAGCTGGCGGCGCGGCATTTGGGGGTGCCCGCGGCACAGCAGGGGGCTCACGGCGGAAGCTGGCCCCGAAAGACACGGAGCGCCGCGGCCGCCCACCTCGCACGCTGCTGAGGTGCTGCTGGGCTGGTGGTGGCGATAGGGAGCGCATGGGGTTTACAAAGGGATTGCGGAGTGAGGATGGCCGTGAAGCTCCCGGTTCACGGGGCGGGGGATCCCGGCTGCTACCCACCCGCACAGACCCAGCACGCTCTGTCCCATGGCCAAAGCGCCTGTAGGAAGGCTGGAGATCCCAGGGATTCCCCATGCCCCGCAGCGCACGGCCGAGGGGCTGGAGCTGTGAGAGGGAACGCTGCAGGAACTGCCCCAAAGGGCTCCCACACACCCGCGCTGCTGACACCCGGCCTCCCCGGTTTGCTTTGGGGCTGGTGGATGGCGGCTCATATTCATCGTAGTCATCCTCATCGCGGTGTGGGGATGGAGGCAGGGAGATGTCCAGGCGGTCCCTGCCAAACAGCTTGACCTGGGGCCTTGGGAAGAGCCTGAATTTCCTGTTGAGGGAGAGCTTGGAGGACAGCGTGTCTCGCATGCCCTTCAGCGAGGAGGTGCTGAGGATAGAGAAGGGATAATCCTTGTCTTCCTCCTGCCAATCTTCTGGTTCCTCAGCCTCGGATATCTCATCCAGCCCCAGAGCGTAGGGATTGCAGGAAGATTGGGTACGCGGTGCCCACCCGCCCTCACTGTACTGGATGCGGTGCTCAGGGTACTCATCCCCCATGTACCACCCAGCCGTGAGGCCAAGGGGCTCCCCAAAGTCCTCATACGGGTCCTCCCTGTAACCAAAAGGTCCTGCCACCTCCTCGCCGTACTCTGGGTCACTGCTGTAAGGGTCGTAGAGGTGGAGTGGAGACCCATAGTCCTCATCCTCGGGCTCCAAGTAGCCATAGGGGTGCTCCAGTGGCTCATTCTCATCCCAAAACCCTCCATCAAATCCATACTCATCCTCTGTCTCATAGCCAGGGTAATCAACATAACAGGTCGGCACCGTGTCCTCAAAGCCGTACCCTGGAGGGTAAGCTGCGGTGGGTGAGTGGATGTAGTCTTCCTCCTCATCCTCATATCCGTGCTGCAGGCCATAGGGTCCCTCCTCCTCCTCCTCGGCATAGCCACGCCGACGGCCATAGGGTCCATCATCCTCCTTGGTGTAGCCAAGATGGCGGCCATAGGCCCCACCTGGCACCTCCTTGGCGTATCCATGACGGATCCCATAGGGCCCCTCCTGCTCCTCCTTGCCGTAGCCAGGCCGGCGTCCATAGGCTGCACCCCGTTCCTCCTGGGCCCACCCGTGGCGCGGGGCCGGCGTCCCCGTGGGCCTGCCATGCTGCGACCGCCGCCGGGAGGACGGGCGCCTCGCCATGCTGCTGCGCCGCTCAGCGCCGGGAGCCGCGGGCCCACTGCCGGCCGGCAGCCGCCTCATGTTGGCTCGGTGCCTGAGGATCTCGTCTTCCGCAGGGAACGGCAGCTTCTTGGCGCCGATGCGGGACAGCCAGGCCGTGTCGGCCGCCCGGCCACCCCCCGTCAGCCGCCCGCGCCGCGACAGCAGCTTCCTGGCCAGCCAGCCCGTGGCGGCCGCCGCCTTGCTCAGCACCTGTGCCCGCGGCTTAAATTTCCTTTCCGGTTGCCGGCGGAAGAGCGACGTGCCGTCCTCGGCTGCTTGCCCGGCCCGGTGCAGCAGCAGGAAGGCCGGCTTGGGCGGTGGGGCAGCCGCGGCCTCCTCCTTCTTCCTCTTCTTCCCCACGTGCTTGAAGCGCACCATGAGGTTGGAAGTGGACTTGAGGACCGCTTTGTTCTTCTTCTTCTTCTTCTTCTTTGTGCTCTGCTTCTGCAGCCCCCAGAAGAAGCGGGAGGTGTTCTTGAACTGCCCCTTCTTGGGCCGCCGCAGCCCCAGCTTCTTGAAGCCCAGGAAGAGCCTGGAGGTGCTACGCAGGCTGCGCTTCGCCCGCGCCTTCGGTGTGGCTGCCGCCACCACCTCCTCTTCCTCGGCAGGCTGGGCCTTGGCCTCCGTGCCCTTGGCTCCTTTCTTCTTCTTGGCATTGTCGGCCGCCGCTTTGGAGGCGCCTTTGAGGTTCTTCTTGGCTGATGCAGCATCACTCTCACCCTCCTCTTCCTCCGGTTCCAGCTGCACCTTCTTCCCCTTGCCCGGCTTTTTGGCCACCACCGCCTTCAGCACCCCTTTCTTCTCCTTCCCTTTCCCCTTCTTGGGCTCCTCCGATGCAGCCTCCTCCTCCTCTTCCTCCACCTTCTCCTTCTCCTTCTCCTTTTCCTTCTCCTTCTCCTCTTCCACCGCTTCGGACTCCTTGCTCTCCTCCTTCAGCAGCTCGCTGTCTGATGTCTCCTCCACCTCGCTGACCACCTCCTTGCCCTTCTTGCCATCCTTCCCTTTCCCTTTGCCCCCCTTCCCTTTGCCATCCGCCTCCTTTTTGGCCTCCCCCTTCTTGCCGACCATCCCGCCGGTGACAGCCGCTCATGCTCCGGCTCTCACGCCCGCTCCAGCCCTAGCGATGCCCTGCACAGATGCCACAAGTCGACCCTTATCCCAGGGATGGTTATTTACCTGCGCCTGGTTTCGGTGGGCCACGTGCCCGTGTGTGGCTCCCTGGGCTGCCCGCAGGGGCTCCCAGCTGGGCATGGTGTGGGGCCGGCAGTGCAGGGCTAGCAGGAGCTGCCGCCTGCCTCCCACCCAGCCCCACGAGTCCGGCCCGAGATGCTGGCCGCGGGGCTGCCAGCTGTAACCCAACCTCGGGGCTCACGGCAGAATGAATAATGCAAGGGACGAGCTGCTCCTGCACGGAGACTTTTCCGAAGGAGCCAAGGAGAGGCAAGAAACACCTCTATAGATGGTGTAGGAAGGGTAAGCCCCACAGCAAGCACTGTTCCTGCTGCTCCTGGCGTGCAGTGGGATGCTACAAGAGCTGAAACACGGCACTACCAGCTCTGTGCCCCAGGAACAATGCCCTGAGCCCCCAAAGCCGCCCCAGTCCAGAGCCACTCATCCTTCAATAGGTGAACACAAACACCACCACCTGCACTCATATCAGCACAAAGCACCGTCGCCAACCTAAAATCAGCCTCTGCCACCTTTGCATTGCAATGGGGAGTCACAGAGGAGGACCACAAGCCCAAATCATACCCTGCAGACCCACTCGAAGCAAGGGAGAGAAGGGAGCCCACGGTGTGCAGCGTGGGGTCACCCCGATGTCATGTGCACATTGCGTGTCCCGCAGCAGTGCCCACACGCGCACGTGCCCATCTGCAGGGTGACCGCATCAAATCTTAATGCCAGCCCTGGATTCGTGCCGCTGTGGGTTCATGAAACTTTCAGCAGCAGCGGTGTGAATTTGCTGCCCAGAGCAAGCCGTGCAGGCGAGGTGGCACCGTTCCAGCCCCTCCTCCCCACTCTGGCCCACGCACAGCTCTGCCATCACCGTGCCACACGTAACAGCCCTGCTGGCGGCACGAGCACCCATCCTGCACCCCGCACAATTCACCTGCTGGCACAGCCTGATGGAGCGCAGCACAGTGGCTGCCAACCCCCCCGTGCCATCCCCACAGCCCCAACCCTCTGTGCTGTGCTTCATTCTGGGAGCTGCAGGTCCTACCTTCACCCCGCCACCCTCCATGGTCCCCATCATCTCCTATCCTCCATCCAACCACCCTATGTGATCCCTACCCCCACCCTCCATCTTCCAGGAGCTGTGCAGGCAGGCATGGCATGGCAGTGGGCATCAGCCATGCTCTCAGCACCGTATGGCACTGGCACAGCTCCCCGTGCTTTGCCATGACTGTGGCCACACTGAGGGCTCACCAAGAAGACATACCAAGAGAGGGAGAACAAAGGGGAGTGGGCAGCACAGCCCCAGATAGATGAGCTCCCACACAGCCCTGCCCAGATCCACCCATAGACCCACTTCATGCCATCTCATACTAAAGGTACAGCCTTCCCATATGCCTTTGGCACAGAACCTGCAGGGAGCTGAGGATAGCTGGGACAGCAGTAGGGTCCAGAGCATCCTCTGACCACATCACCACTAAAGGACTCCAGACCTCTCCCCAGGAACTCTCCAAGCCTTGAAGCACCACGGCTCTCTCCTTAGTGCCCTCTGAGCTGGCTGCTTCCATCCCTAAAACCAAACCCAAGAACATGGGGACCAGCAGTTCCCTAGCAACGTGCACTGCATCCAGGCTGGCCAGGAAACCTGCCTGGAGCAAGGCGTGACCTGGAGGAGAGGATGGAGCAGATGCTGCAGAACACATAGCAGCTGGGTGCAACATGAACTGAGATTTGTGCTTAAACCAGCTGGCACACACCCAAAAATGCTAACTCACAGCCCCAGCCACGCCATGCAGCCAGGTCACGGCCTCACAGTGTCACCCTGACCATAGAGCTGATCCCAGGGGCCTTGGCTAACAGGCCAGGCAGGGTTCCTGGGGTACCACATCCCCAGGATAAATGAAACGCAGGGAAAGCAGTAAGAAAAGTGGGGCAGGTGCTTGTAGGGAAGGATGGGGTATTTTGAACAGGAAGCTCTGTACCAGAGAGCAACAGAAACACTGTGACCATGGGAAGGTGAGGCAAGGAGGATTAAAGGCTGCGAGCAGACATGCAGAAGTGACACAACGCTGCGTACTGCGACCTGGAGGACAGCAGCATAAGGACCAAAGGTCCCTCCCCAGCACCTTGGCCATCGCAGCCCCCACGAGCCCAAGGGATGAGCCACCTACCTGGGGCACCCATGGCACTCACCTGGGTAGCCTCACTTGCCCGCATGCCCCGGTGCTGCTGGCTCTGCACTCGTGGCCTCGCTCTCCCTCAGGGACCGTCACTCTCCTGGCACCCGCAGACCCATATTCGCCGCACGGCAGCTGCCGGCTGCTGCTACCCAATGCATATTTGATGACTGCTATTATTCTCATCTCTGCTCATGAGCGGAGGGATGGGAGCTAATCTTCCCTGTGCAGGGCTGGGGGGAAGCACGGATGGAGCAGCTGGAGGGGCAGCCAGCCCTGATCCCTGTCCTTTATCCCACGGTGACGCAGCTGGACAGTACCACAGCCCTCTCCCTCCCAGGACACATGTGTCACGAGCCCCAGATGTGAGCAGACAGCAAAAGGCCCTGACCCACTTCTCCCCACAAGCCAAAGCACATTTAGGAAGAGAAATCAGAGGGACACGGGGCTCCCCCACAATGGGGCTGGGTCTGAGCAGCCCTGCAGGCACCCCAAGGAGGGGAGCATCCTGCACAGGAACATCTCCAATCTCTGCTCCCTCCTCCCAGAGCCGCAGGCCTGGGCTCCATCTCCTCCCTGCTAACACATCCCTGCCATAATGCGGTGGGTATTTATTATGCTGATTCCTCAGAAAGCAAAAGGCTTAACTGCAAATTACAATCAATAGCCCCAATCCCCAAGGGGAGGGTTCATCATTTAGCAGGCGCAACCAGAGGAATTCTAAACTATTTGCCAGCCATAAATCCTCCTCTCCGCAGCCTCCCCAGCCAGCTCGGCACAATGTGCAATGTCTGCTTGGGGGTGACCCTTGTCAGCATTAGAAACAATTAAGCTGTCAGTGTGGATCGTGGCTCTTATATACAGTCCTGAGCAGCGCTTTAAGATGTCAGTGTGATGGGGTGAGGGAAGCTGGTGGAGGCGAGCCTGCCGCAGTAACCATCTCTCATTGAATTAAATGAATGTATTTGGAGTCAGTCTCTTTTTATTACCTTGCGAACGATTCCTGACTAAATTAAATTATAAAAGGAGTGTTCAGCCAATCAAACCTGCTTGATTGCCTGGAACAAGCATTTTAAACAGAGCACGCCTCGGGCCTTTGCTGCTTCCACGATGAGATGGAGAGCAGCTGATGGACTGTGTCAAAGCTGATCCACCCTGCTCCACACCTGGAGCATCACTCAGCAGCCACACACAGCCCCACACCACCAGCAAGGGCCAAGGCAGGCCCTCCAGGGTGCAGCCTGGGTGAGCAGGGCATGCTGCTAACGAAGGCAGAGCAGGCTGGAAGAGCAGAGATGGCAGCAGCTGCAATGCAGAGCAGCAGCCCCAACCCAGCCTGGCTGCTGCCTCTTGGTTTCATCCAGGAGAACCTCCTCTTGTACAGCAGGAATCAGCACAATGCCTGCTTCTGCACCCCATCCTGCACCTGCCTTCCTCCAAAAATGTTCAGCAAGGAGTCCTTCAGCACATCTCCCTTTGCTAGCAAACGAGGGGTCTGAGCAATTCCATAAAGCTCAGGAAGCTCTGGTACAACACAAACGCTGCAGTGATTTCCCACCCACCCCTTGAGAGACATCTTCAGGCAAACCTGCTGCTGCTGCTGCACTGAATTGCAATGCTTGCAGCTTTTAGCATCAGCGCAGAACAATTACAGAATCTGTCTGAAAGAATGAGCACTGCAATTAGAATGCACGCATTTTCAAACACAGCTATGAACTCGCTTGCAAAAACAGCTACTCTTGCTTCAGAAAAGAAATTAGCTTCTTCTGGTTTAATGACTTTTACTCCATCCGCTTTCCAAATTTAATTGCCTATCAGTTCATTTTGAACAGGATGAAATGCACAATTTCCTAAGTGAATAGCAAGGCTAATTAGAGGTTTTAACGATGGTGTGCTGGACCAGTCAGTTTTAAAAGTGAACACACTGAGAGGAAGGCACTAACCAGGTAGGTTACACTGTGCATTTCAGCCTCACGTGAGCATCCACCATTTCCCCAGCTGCACACACTACCCAGCCTAAGGACAAAGCACAGTCGGCACCTCCAGCTGCCCAGCTGTGCACTGGGGCTTGGCAGGCTCCTTGGTTTGGAGTCAGAGTCAGAAAGTCAGGGACAAAACGAAACCAAAAGAACTCTTTGTGTGGGAGGCTTTTTGCCTGTGCAACCTTCACAGGAAATTTAAAGGGCGAGTTAATGTGCTGGAACGGCATCCCCCCCAACTCACACAGAGAAGTGTTTGCTTTCTGCAGCCAGCTCAGGCATAATGCTGCTAATTTGGAGTTCATTCTCCACTAGCTGCCACCGAGGTTGGGATTTGCTCTGCACTCCAGCTGTGAACAAAGCCAGAAACAGGGAAGGGAACTTACAGAGTTCAAAGTCACCTTCTCAGTTTGGGTATTGTGAATAATATTGTGCTTGGCTCCCACACCACCTCGCACAGGTCCTCTCCATCCTCAGAGCCCTCTCACTGCTGCCTCACAATCTACTCCACCTTACCACCTTCTGCAGCAGCATCTGTCATTCTTCAGGAGGCCACAGGTAAAAAGAGAGTTAGAGAACACACCAAACTGCCAAACCACTGCAGGCAGACATCCACAGGTCACATGAAATAGCAATTTTTATTTTCTCAAATAAAATATTCTTCCATTTCTGCTCGATCAGTTTGTGAGGGGTGGAGAGGAACACAGAAGAGGGAAGGAGCCCTGCTCAGACAAGTTTGCTATCAGACTTGTCCTCACAGTCAACAATCCACATCAGACTGAACTCTTTTCCAATGAAAGAAAATAAAAGCTATCGGCAACTCTTGATCCCAGAAGGAAAGAGCTGTTCTCTATCAGGCACTCTGAATTGCTTAGCATCAATACTTAGTGAAAGAGCATGATTAGAAAAATCCCAGATTTCTGAGGAAAAATATCCAAACAAGAAACACCATTAAACAGAGATGGGGTAAATCCCACAGCATGGGATGGTGCTGAGCTCAGAGAGCTGTTATGGGAATTTAGGGGCAGGACTGAGAAAGAAGCACATCCCAAGCAATGCTCCTGGGGGCAGGACAAGAGCAGAGCAAACTCCCAAAATCACTCCTTGGGCCATGATATGCCAGAAGTGAATCCTCACTGCAGCCTATGACTCTCTGATCGTACCCTGCTGCAGTTTGGCCAGGTTAACCATTCCTTAACAAAGTTTCAGATCTCACCTCTCAGTACCAGTTGGACAAGGATGTCCTACAAAGCCCTCTGCAGAGCTAACAGGAGGCACAGAGTGCCACTTTTTAATGTAATTGAGGGACCATCATAAATTCATCAGGGCTTGTCCAACTGAAGTCTCCAACTGTGAAAGCTGTAGAGACCACAAGTCTGGAGAGCAGAGGAGGAAGAACTTTGTTTTCTGTTTCAGATCAACACTTAAATTAAGTGAATAGATAAGCAGCAAAGCATCAGCAACGTTCTTCCAGCTCTGGTTCCTCTGTTCCAAAGCACAGGGCCACAATTGTCCACACAAACCTATGAACTTCCCCTTGGCTGAGCAAGCTACTGGTAGGTTAACACACAGACACGTGTGCAAATCTTACTGGGGCAGGACATTGCTAGCTGCAGGAACTGTGTCCTAGAAGAACTGGCTCCCCTTTTATTTTTCTTTTTTAAAATATATTTAAGAAACATTACTTTGCCTGAAATGCTGCAAGATGGAAACCCATCTTCCCCATCCCCACCTGCACATAAAGTAGCCTCATTTTAATCCTTTCTCCAAGAGAAGGAGCTTCACAGAAGCCTTCTCACTTACTTGGCTGTGGAACACATCTCTCTTTTTCTTTTTCTTTTTTTTGTTTAGTTTTGCTTTTATGTGGTCAGATCCAATTTGAGTGATTAAAGACAAGACCAGGCACCAGCAAAGAGCAGCAAAGGGAGCTACTTCTTTACGATCTGAATGACATCTTCATGCTCCATCATATGGGTTAAGCCCACTCTCTGAGGGCTGTATTTTGTGCTTGTCCCCTTTGAAGAAAAACAGGGAGAAGGGTTAGAAGGCAACCAGTCACATGAGGACAAGGATTTCTGTTGTTAAACACTGCTGTTAAACACTTACCCATACCAAGGCATATTTGAACTGGCTGGCTAATGATCTGTGAATCCGGTGGCACTGCAAGACAGACAGACTGCATGTGAGGCAGCTCAGGGACCCTTTGTAAACAACTTGCTCATTAATTGGGATTTAAAAGCTACTCGTGTCTATGTCAGAAGTGACAACAGTGGCTTTAGAAGCCAGTTAGCAGCACCTGACATACAAAATAGATGCACAGGAATTTACAGTTCACCAAAACTTCCATTTCACTACTTCCATGTGCTTTTTCACTGCTCTGTATCAAGTAATTCTAAAAAAATCTTTTGTAGCAGCAAGGAAAGAAACCCAAGGAATCAATGAAGATAACAAAAGGAGAAGCCCAGCTAAGCACTGACATATCCCATACTTTATAAAACTCAAATAAATCATAGCAGGCTCCAAGATTCCTTCTACAGATAATTAATTATAAATAACAGAGAAATTACCACATGCTCCACAGAAGCTCCTTTCCGTAAGATAATGGCATCTGTGAAGTCTGGTCTCTCTATGAAAAAGCAAATGAAGGGATTAAAAGAATCACTGGTTTTTCACTGGACATGTTCTAACATGCTGATATTGTGCCACATTGTTTTGTGCTTAGTGCTCTCCAATCCCTTGCCTTGTCACACTTGCCAGCAGCCTCCCAGACACAAGAAGCATCCAAGTAGCTGAAAGCATTGAACCTCTTCTGTCCACACTCCAGTACCCACAGGTACAGTTATCCATGTCACAGCTTTCTCACAACTGACCTTCTGCAACCCCATTCCAAAGACTTGGCTTTCAACAAAGAAGACAAAGTCAAAGCACACCTGCCTAAGTACAATGGCACCACTCTGCAGTTTTCTGTAAAATCCCCAGGGTTTCACAGCTTAACAAACTCACAGAAAATTCCTTAATCCTCTCATATCCACCCAGTTCAGAGTTGTTTAGTTGTGATCACAGCCAGAGGAAGAATGTCTTGGAAAAGGAACAAGTGTCTTCACCAGCAGGAAAAGCTACAGGTGAATGGTAAAGCAAAAGGAGGATCAAAGGCTCCAGAGGTCCAGGAGCCCAGCATGGGAATCACCAAATCTCCCACAGAAAGAACAGGAGACCTCTTCTGGGCAGCAATCTGCTCATCACAGACTGCACACAGTAACTATTAGAGGAAGGAAGCTGCAAGCTTGAAAACTATTTCTTTATGACAGCATCATGAAAAGCCTTATAAAAATTCATCTCTTCTAGTGCAGAGAGAATAGGTGAATCAGACGAAACAGAAAGTACTTCCCAAGAGTTAATGCTGAAAGCTGGTTAGGGAACATGTAGCTGCAGAATTTCCAAAAGATCACTCAGAGCCAGGCATCCAAGCCCCACTGGCAGCCTGTCTGTGTTTGGTGAGTAGCAGCCCTTTGTGCCTTTCAAACCTGCTCAGCTAATGGCCACTTACGTCCTCGTTTCTTGGTGTAGATGCAGGTAAGTGCCAGGTATTCCCACAGCTTCTCCAGCAAGTAGTCCAGGTTCAATTTCATGCCACAGCTGTAAAACACCAGGAAAGACTCAGTGTTTATTGCTGTTGTGATTTAGAGATCCAGAAGAACAAGGCGAAACATCTAATTACAGAGCTAGGGTACAAGGGGAAATGTCATAATGGTGTCATTACAGGAAAAACACAAGATGAAATTAATAGAGCTTTCAGAAGGGAAAGTAGCTTTGAAGCAGCAAAGCTCCAGTCAGATACATCAGTGCTTCCAAGGGAACAAGCTAGAGACTTATTCTGCCCTGCAGATGGTGTGAGGAAGCCAAGCAGCCTGCCTCTCTGGGGGAAGGAAGTCCAGAAAAAGCTGTACAGTGGCTCTCTGCTCCTACCTGATTACAACACTGTGGGGTCTCCTAGCAAGTCGATCCACTTCCTCCATAGATATCTGGTCGATCTTGTTATAAACCTAAGTCAAATGAGAAACAATGCATTCCTTAGGATGTCCATTCAGCAGCACTGCAAGGAAGGCAGACACACACATGGGGGTATAACAAGGCAGTTTCAGCATCTGATATAGAGACATGGATCCTACCAGCCAGAGGGCAGGCCAAGGCTTTTAAGAAATTAACCTGTTGAAATTTAGGAGCCTAATCGTAAGCTTAGACTTTCTAAACCTCTCAATTTGGGATGACTAGCAATGTGTTCTCCAGCATCATGAATTTAACTCCAGGCTCAGTCATTATTAAACAAAGCCGTTAAATGACCTCTGGCTCAAGGAAACATTTACAAAAACTCAAATGTGGAGCGTTGGCAGCAGAGAAACCGAAGGCTCCACACCACAGCAGCAAGCTGTGCCACCAGGATGCAGAGCTCACGCTGCTCCACGGCAGCCAGCCACTAGAGGGCACAGGGAGAGCACACAGCACAGCTGCGCAGGTATAAATAGCAAAAAACGCCCACCTCCTCATCCCCAAATCGTTACTGCTCTAAGAATCAGGAAGACACAGTTTCCTTCTGTAAAGAGGTGTTTAGTGCTGCAGAAGGCAGGCAGTTTCTGAGATACTCACGTAAAGGCATGGCATGTAGACCCTGTTGCCTACAATCACATCAATGAACTCGTCAGGGGAACAGTCCTCTCTGAAAAGGACTTCAGCATTGAAGATTTCTGAGGTGAACATCGTCAAGGTCCAAATCCAGCATGCCTAAACAGCTGTGAGCCAATGGGCTGAACCTGCCTGGTGTACTTGGAGAAAGGGAACAAAAATGGGAAAAATCAACCCATGCCTCCTCTTACCCCACCAAGCACATGGCAAGGCCATCCCACAGTGGGTATCATTTGGCTTGAGAGCTGCTGGCTTGAGGCTCAAGTGTCTCACATTTTAGGAAAAGGATACTATATTCATGGAGGATGAGCTGTACCAACTTCTCGGAGCACTGAGTTAGTGTGACAGTTGAGTTGAAGGATATACCTCCACCCTTCTTCGGCTGCAAGACAATAAATCAACTCAAGAACAGCCTGCAAAATCCACCCCCTGCTTCAGACTGTCCAACACAATGGGCAGCACACATTGCCCCTGGCTTTCATTAAGCAGCCTGACACAAGCTGTTCTTGTAACAGCCCAGGAAACCTCACCTTGAAGTAGATATTCGGTTTGCTTTTATTGAGACGGATTCCTACAGATTCCAGTTCTTTCTCCAGCAGGGCCCTGCAGGGACACTGCATGTTAGTACCTGTGAGATTGAGCCCAGCCATGTGACACCCACACTCTTCCTTTTTGACTGTCATATTGATACAACCTTGTCATAAACTCACTACAATGTAACACCCATTGCTAATGCAGGGCAGGGTCTACAGTGGAAATTTAGCTCAACAGCCCCATCTCTGCACAGCCATCCTGGAGGAATGATCTTTCAACTGAGAAGTCCAAACTGAGGTCTGCAGAAAGTTCTGTAAATGCTGCTCCCAGTTAGCAAGCATGCCATGGAGCACAACCCCCATCCTGCACTCAAGCTTAAATAGCAGCTCTGCAGTGAACCTGGGATATGGTGTTTCAGGGACATGGAATGTTTTCTGGGCACGTGGAAACTGCTGAACCTGAGTCACCATCCCAGCCCCACACACTCACCGCTGCACTTCACCCTTCGTGGCATCCAGCATCATAATGACAACGTCTGCTGTCCTGGCCACAGCTATCACCTGCCGACCTCTGCCCTTCCCTGAGGAGAGAGGACATGGTTGTGTATCAAGAAGAGAAACCAGCTGTGAGTTCTGTGACAGATGGGGACTCCTGTTTGGAAGCAAGGGAAAGGATCCTGCAATCCTGTGCTGGCTGCAGTCAGCTGTCAAGGGGTCCCTGTGTGAGCGTATCTCGTCCATCCAATGCTATCTTATGCCCAGCACAAGCATAAGACCCAAAACATTCTCTGCTGCTGCTCTTTTGTTATGGCTTACACAACTAGCACACATAAAGCTGTCTGTATACAGCTGTACACGTTGAAATGTCACTGCTGCCAGCGGGACAGACACCCCAGACCTGCGCAGCGGGAGTGGTTCCAGGTGGCAGAGACAGCTTATGCACAGCAGTGATGTGGGCACTTTCTGGTCAAAAGGGAGAGAGACCTTGTTAACCAGGCTGTGCTCCTCTAAGAGACCATTAGGATGTTTTCCTAAATTTTGTAAATGTTTCTTTTGTCATGACCAGCTGATAAGAAAGATAATGAAGCAGAAGCACAAAGGCCCAGAATCAGTCATGGAAGGACTTGCAGGAAATTAATCAAAAGAAGTTACTGTTTAGCTGTAATTCCCCCCTCCGCCTCTCCAGCATCTTTCTTTAGATTTCCTCTGTACCAGAAAGCAGATGAGCAAAATAACACTCATGCAAGAAGGTGAGAAGTGACTGACTTGCTTTGGCTCCCACCTCCAGAAAAGCATCTTTTTGCTACATATAGAGCCTTACGTGGGCCAGGGATAAGAATCGTGTCTCACATAAGATCAGGAATGCCAGTTTGGAAAGCCAGTGTGGGAACTATTGGCCTGGGAAAGCTGCTGATGTTTGATCTGGGCAGGAATGATACTGAGTGCAAGTCCCTCCTTTACATCAACATAGAGATCAGCCAACCTTGTGCTGCTCCTTCAATGATTCCAGGTAGATCCAACAGCTGAATATTGGCTCCTTTATACTGAAAAGGAAATGGATAGAAAGTTGAAAGCCTTGTGCAGGGCACCTCAGCTGTCCTGAAAGCCCCAGGCATGTGCTGAGCTCCAAAGCCTGCAGAAAGTGGAACTGAATGAACACAGTAGTGGAAGACAACTTTCCACAAAGCTAGTGGCTTTGTTTTGATGAGGCAACCTCTGGAGTGTTTCCCATTGAGCTGTGTTCACCTGTGGGTCACACTGCAGTTCTAGCCTCCTAAACAGTCACATAACTGCAGTTTGAAAACAGCACAGTGCAACTGCAACAATATCCCAAACTGATAAATAGAAAAGAAAGGGAAAAAGAAAATACAACAATTCTATATTGGTCTAAAAAGCAAAGCTCTGTAATAAGCAAATACCATAATCCTTTACCAAGATGGATCAGACTACTGTAGGTCTTACAGTATCAGGAAAAGAAAGGGGAGACCTTTGTTCATTGCATCTGCAGGGTCATTATCTTTCAACCTACTGCTGCAGTAAGTCCTCAGTAACAGCTTCAGCGGGTGACTGGAGCTTGAGGCTGCATTTGGATGCATTACAGTGCTGGTGTTCATTTTAACACCAATACGTCTGCTTTCATTATTTAAATCTGCTTTCAATTCTGACCCAAGTTTTCTCATTACTTTTGGATACTTTTCAGTTTGATGCCCTTTACCATTTGCTTTACTGATGGACACTCAAACCACCGCTAATGAAATTCCTCAAGGACAGGAGTAGTCGTATTTTCTTTCCAAATTGATCACAGTACAGATTGCCTCTTTTAAAGCTTCATTAAAAACAAATCTGTCAAGGTTTCCAGCCATCTGGTCAATGGCGCCAATAGCAGTTATAAAAAATTCAGCTGAGAATTCCTGTATTGCTCTGGTCAGTCGAACTGTGCCATATGAAACCCCGATCAGGCAGTCAATCTTGAAGAGTTATGCAGCCTAGAGAAGTGCTACATCAGCACTGCAGGTTGCAGACTTGATATTGCAAGCACTCAAGACTTCATGAAGTTTAAAGCAGAGGTCAGCAGAGATCTCCAGATATTGCTGCTTCCCAGTGGTAATACAGGTGTAACTGCTGTGAGCAGGATTCTTTACACGTCTGGGTTTCTTACCACTATCTTCTATGAAAGGGAAGAAAATCCTACTTACTTCTATGACTCCGGGGATACATGTCAGGGTTGTGAACTCATAAGATGCAGCTTCACTGGCAGTTGAGGTCATTAAACTCAAAAACGTGGACTGAAAAAGCAAGAGATTGCCATCACAAGAGATACTCAAATGAAAGCACTGACACACATTCAGCAAAACATGCAATGCTAAAAAGTGTTCATCAGTTTTTAAAAGTCAGGTTGCAGCCATCCAGGACCCAGGGACTGAAGCAGTAATGGGTCTGCCAGCATGAAGATAAAACCTATACTCTTGCCTATGTTCTCAGCAGTGATTGCACTAGTTAGCTCTTCATTAACTAATGGCAAGAAGGTGAAATACAGAGAGATGATAGATACCTGCTTTACAGCCCCTGCCAGTCACAAACCCAGAAAAACCACACTGCAAGGTTAACTCGGATACGCACTGACCTTACCCACAGAAGGAAAACCAATCAGTGCCACTCGGGCATCTCCAGATTTCATCACATCGAAGCCTTCTCCTTTAGCAGCAGAGGATTTGGAAGGTTCTAACAACTGAGCTCTGTATTTTGCAAGCTTTGCCTTCAGCAGGCCGAGATGGTACTCAGTAGCTGAAATAACAGAAACACAGCAAGTGGTTAAAGACAGTGCCCGATAATTCACCCCTGGAAACAAGAGTCTTCCTAAAATGAAACCTCAGATTTCAGTCCGTAGCTTAACACACCCTAGCTACACCCAGGTGTTCTGTAACTTCTGAGATATCAGCCACTGAGAGTAAAGTCTTACAGTAACCTGCATGCAAGTCAAACTTCAAGGAAATATGATGTTTTCAGGTTGGATATTAGGAAAAATTTCTTATTGGAAAGAGCAGTCAGGCACTGGCACTGCTGCCCAGGGAGTGGTGGGGTCACCGTCCCTGGCGGTGTTCCAGACTGTGGAGATGTGGCACTGAGGGACGTGGTCAGTGGACATGGGGGGATGGGTTGGGAGGAGGCACAGCCTGTAAGGAACAGCCCGACCCGGACAGAATCTTTCTGCACAGCCTCCTGCAGCCTCCATCACTGCAAAAATGCAACACACTCTTCGTCTGCTTTTGCCAATTTTTCAAAACACGCTCAGGTTAGAGCTCACATACACGAATAAAGCATTTACTAACTTATTCTTGAATTTACACCCGACACAGAGAAGAAGGCAGCTCGCTCGTAACAGGGGACAGGAAGGCACGCAGGGGGTCGCAGTTTTTATCACCTCTCCTTGCCAGCGTTCACACAGCCTCCGGCCAACAGAAGCAGCAAAGCGCTGTGGGGCTGCCCTGCCGCACCCGGCCCTGCCTTCAATTCAGGCATCCGAATTCCAACCCGCTGCAACCAGCGGGCCCGGTTCCCACCGCGGGGACGCGCCGGGCTGCGGAGGGGCACGCGAAAACAGGGCGGCCCATAAAGAGCGCCCAGCGCCCGCCCGGTCCGAGCGCCCTAACACAGCCGCGAGCACCGCTTCCCTCAGCTCCTCGCCCCCCCGGCACCTTTGTTCTTCTGGGTGCGGGCGATTTCCTTCTCGATCTCGGAGATTTTCTCCAGGATGCCCATGGCGCGGCCCGCCGCGGCTCCTCACGCCGCCCGCCGGAAGTGCCGCCGGCCCGTCCGTCCGCCTAAATGCTCCGGGCTGCGTCCACTTCCGCCGCCTGGCAGAGGGACACCGTGCACCCCGCACACCGCTCCGGCCGCGCTCTCCGCCCCGCGCCCCGCGTTCCGCCCGCCTCCGTGATCCCACTCGGCCCCTTCCCTGCACGAGGCTCCCCCCGCTGGCATCCCAAAAGGGCCGGTGGGGGAAAGGACACGTGGCACAGAGCCCGCAGGATGCGTAAGGGACAGGGATTGAGCTTCCCCCCACCACAGCAATCCCATGTCCCCTATTAAAGGCAATTGGATTCTTGAACCCTTGGATTTGCAGTCATTAAACAGCAACCCAAAAAAAGGGTTGTTAATCACCAGAATAGGCTCTTCAGGGTTGAGTCACCATCCCTGGATGTGTTTAAAATCCGTTTGGATGTAGTGCTCACAGACATGATTTAGTGGAGGGTTGTTAGTTAGGGTAGCATGGTTAGGTCTTTGTTGGAATCAATGATCTTTAAGGCCTTTTCGAACCTGAATGATTCGATAATTTTATGAATTTGGATTCCTGAATGTGTCTTTAAGCAGGGAGATGAAGCACAGTTGTCCCCATGAGCCGAGAAGCGCTGTGGTTGACAAACACACACGGATACAAGCTCCTTAAATAGATTTTGTTTTTAATTTGGACGTTGATAACTCCACAAAATACTTCTCCCAGTCCCTTTTCCAAAGTACATCCATAAATATGCTAATTCTTCAGCCAACATTGTTTAAAAAAAAAAAAAAAAGAACTCACACCTTTTTCAGAAGCTGCAGATCCCCCGTTACTCCCTCCTCTCCCAGCACCTCACCCGTTAGTCGCCTCTCACCACAATGTGACATACTGAACAGCCCTTCAGCTTATCAAACAACTCAAAGAAAAAGAAAATCAAAACCAAGGCTTTAGAGAAATCCTGAACACAAGCGGCCCTTCACATCACTGTTCCCTATCCCTAACACGTCTTACTGAGGCCAGTTGGGATTACAGCTGAAGTATTTTGTGTCTGCTGCCATGAGACAGGCAGAGGTATATGAAAAGAACACTCTTCCTTCCCCATAGCAGCTCTCGCAGGAAAACTGCAGGGAAAATTCTAGGTAGATACATTACTGAATGACCCCAGGAACCTTCCTAATCAGCTTCTGCAAACAACCACAGAACCAATTCAACTGAACAGCATTAGAAACCCGAGTGTAACACTGCACTAACAGCACAGGGTGGTTACTGCCACTGCCAGCACTGCACACAGCTCCTGAAAGCAAGCTGTGGGGAAGGGTCTGCACCCATGCTGCCACCTTCCCTACAGCTCATCCCTCCACTTCTCACAGCTGAGGAGCACCATTGGTGTTAGCCTCAAAAACCAGGACATCTCCCAGCACCATGCATGCAGAAATGCCTTCCCTCACTTTTCTGCAGGCCAAATTTCTCCCAGAGGATCAGAATAAAAGTAGAATCTGTTTCTAAGCTGCCCTACTCACACCGGCCTCAACCTCCTCCAGCTCCTCCTCAGCCTTTGTGCGACACTACAAATTCACCTGCAACAAACAACCAAGACAACAGCCCACACTTGCTCCAATCTCCCACCTCCATCTGCAGGCAGGGCTGCTGGTTCTGGGGCCCAGGACTCACCCGCAGTGAGCAGCCCACAGAAGGGCACTTCCAGCACTGCATCATTTCCCAACAGCCCCACCACCTCTCCAACGTGCACAATCCCAGCTTGGTGCATACAGAACAGGCTCACTGAGACCCAAACCCACTCCTGTTAAGGTTTACACTAGCAACTCAGCTACTGCGCAGTACCCCACATGCTGCCAAAAGGAAGTAGAAAACAAAACCCAAACAACCAACACAAGGGATGCAGAGAGCTCTGCTTTCCTCTCCTAGGTAGCAAACCCATCCTCAGCACCCGCCCTGTCAGCATATAATGCAGGTCTGCTTCAGGGGGGTGTTTTCAAACAGCCTGAAAAACACCAGCCAAACTTCCACAAAAGCCCTGCAGGGGTGACTGACACATTAAATATACAACTGAGGCCAACTTTTAAAATGTCTTGGAAAAAAACCTGCACACGCATACACACACACGCACACTTTGGCACACAAGCCTTAAGTTATATCATTTGAAACATTTCAAAGTCAGAGAGATATTGAGTTGGTTTTTTTTGTTTTGTTTTCCTTTTTTTTTTTTTTGCCTTGCATAAAGGTATCAAGCAGTGGTGTTGGTGTAGCATGAGGGCTGAGTACAAATGCTGAACAGTTCAAGCTGTTTGTGTGATGCTGTTCAACACTTGCACTCCAATTACTGTCCCAAAGCAGAAGCTAGCTGAATACATACATGTATATAAAAACTAACATAGACATTCCTGGTTTTCAATGTGAAAACAGTAAAATGTAACTGAGTAATTGTGCATTTGCCATAGGGTCCTTGGGAAAAGGAGCCATAAAAATATTTTCTTTTTTTAATAAAAGTTTTTTTCTTTTTCTTTTCTTCAAACCCTTAACTTAATTAAAGAGCAAATTATACACCTATAAGCAGAGTTCAGAACCACTTTACTGACAGCCCGGAAGTCCATACATCAAACTAATTCCCAGTGGCATATCCAGGCACTGGAACAGCTCTCGGCTCCAAAGGGCCGGTGCTCCTGAAAGATCTGCAGCTCTGGCTAACCTCATTAGCCAGCAGGAAGCAAAGACTCGTTCAACCCTCATCCATCTCAGCCAACACTCCCTTGACAGACTGCAGCTGAGCAGCTGCCTGCCAAGCAGAGCCTCACACACCGGCCGTGCCTGGCTCCGGGAGCATCAGAGCTGGCAATCTGGGTAAGAAACCTGAGTCCTGGCGATTTCAACCATATCAGGCTGTAACAAGGAGAATACAAGCACCAAGCTTATGTTTTCTTATTAGTCAGAGAATAGACCGATTCCAGCTACTGAGAAACAGCTTCCAGAAGGAGAGCCAGGAGGAATTTCAGTGATAGAGAAACTAGCTGTGCAATAAGAAAGTGCATTTAAAGGTATCTTAAAACCAGATTAAAGATCAAATCGCCACTCGACAGGAGGGAGAATTAAGCTCCAGCAGCCATGCTCCTTGGGCTGGTGGGTTAACATTCAGGCTCTCTCTCTTGCGAGTCCGAGGGGCAGGAGAGAAGCGTGCATTCCCGTGCTCCGACAGGGACACAGTCCTCCTGGCAGGCCATGCTCTCCTGCCCCGTTTGCTTCTGTGCAGTATCAGTTCTGGACAGCTGTCATCGGAATTCATAGATAGGAGCACTGTGCTCAGGAACATGAGTTAAATTCAATGACTGATACCTGGGAGAGAGGAAAAAGATGGATGAGGAGATTACACAGAGCAACGGAACCCCCCGCCCTGAACTCCTGTTCAGCAGCTGCAGCCAGGTGGGTTCTCCCTTTCCGTTTGGGACAGTCTCAGAGGCATTCAAGCAATCACTTATCGGGGGTGCCAAACCCCTGGGAGGACTCAGCTTCATTCCTCATTTCCATTCCCATGTCTTGGAGCTACCTGCAGCCAGACTGCCATCAAGCAGGGCTGACTGCGGGCTCTGGACACCTTTTGAAGTTTGACAACTTTCATGTTCAAACAGTGTTTGCTTCAACTGAAAATTAGACTCAAATCTTTCAAAGCTTAGCTTAAGGGGATTCATCTGAAAGCCTCCCAGGCACCTTCCCTCCTTCTGAGAGCTTCCAGACACCCTACAGATTCACTCACTGTGCGTGACAAATATCTTTATTATTTATCCAAAGCTAGGGAAAAGAGCTCTCACAGCTACTTGTCAGATAGCTCTAACAAAAAAAAAAAACCACCACCACCACAACCAATTAACTTTGACTGTTCCCTGCATCTTGCAGCAACACCTCAAGCACCTTGGAGTACAAAGCACTGGCCTAACAAGACACCTGCCTGAAGGGAGCAGCAGGAGAGCTGTTACAGGTGAGAAGGCACCAAAGCTCCCTCTGCCAGGACCCTCTGATATCTTCTGAAGGGCTGAAGCATGAAGAAGCTCAGAGCCTTTACTACTTAAGGCTTTTACAGGCAACCCCAACAAAGGTTTGCAGGCTGGAGCCCAAACTTCTGGATAGATGCTAATAGTGAACCACAGCTGGAGTCTGCCTCCCAGCGCACCTCACAAACACATCAGATCACTGCTTCACTGCTCCACAGCATGTTTCCATACAGTGTTTCTCTGCATCATGCTGCCAGCTCAATTAACATCAGCCATGCAAAAGACAGCACTTTAAACCACACAGATGAGCCAAGCACACATACCCTCCCTCCCCATCAGGGTCCAGCCACCAGACCAAATCCCCTTCCCACCAAAATAAGTGTGCTGCCTGGGTGCTCCCAAGACTGCAGATGGGCAGAAGAGGAGTCCCTGCTTTGTCTGAGGAGACACCCTAAAAGGAAGAAAGCCTCCTTACCATTCTGAACTCCTATGGTAGTAATAGCCTTCTATAGATGCTGCTGACTTCTGGAAGCAGATGTAATAGAAACCAGCAAAGGAAGCACCGCTGATGTCTTTGATAGTGTGGTCTGGCACTAGGAACTGTTCCTGCACACAAAACATAAGCTGCATTTAGAAATGTTGGTCAAATACTCCCCTGCCTCACCCAAACTGGCCCTCCCAAGTTGAGTACCAGCACCTATTAACACAAAAGCACTCCTGGTTGAGCATGCCCTGCATTCCTAGCAGCCCAGACCAGGATTTTCTGTGTTTTTTTTTTTTTTTTACCACCTGGCACTGCAAACACCTTACAGGGAGGCAAGAACTGAGGGCAGAACCACTTTTAAAGAGCACACAAAATCAATTTTAGTTCAAAACCTGCCCCTTCCAAACCAGAGGCCAATCACAAAATCAACAATCAGAGCTGCCTGAGGATCCCCTCCCTTCACAGCTGCACAAAGCAGTCAAGAGAGAGGACTCAGTCCAGCTGTAGAGCCAAGAGGGGTAGACTGGTCAGCAAACTGCATCAAACCCAGGCCAGCACAGAGGCTGGAGACACTGATTCTCTCAGCCTCCAGAGAATCACCAAGCACGATTTTCCTGTTTTCAGGTATGACTGCAACCCTTAAGGATGCAATTAGCTGACTAGACAGGAGTCACACTGGAATTTGCACGTATGGCAGGTTAATGAGGTCAGATAGGGCAAGATCTGTCATTAGGCCAGCACCAGTAGTTGAAAAAGCTTTCAAGTCCCTGTCAGTCACTTGTAAGCAGCTCATCAGAGAAGGCAGCACACAGTTTACCTTCCATCTCATGAAGACATAGTCCCCGTTTTTCAGATCCTCATAATCAAAGTCATCAGAGTTAAATGTTTTTGCATACTGGTAGAAAGCTTGGAATTTCCCCTAGAACAAAAGGAAAACAAGTAAACACAAAAACCAGGAGGTTCACTCCAGGAAAAGTGCTTACTAGTGCCAGCTGCTAATCTGGAAGAAAAAAAGAGGACCTCCTTACTGAAGGGACTGCTCTTCCCTCAGAGTAGCACTGAGTGCATGCCCCAGGACTAGCACAGGGCAACAAAGACTGCAGCCATCCACAGCCACATCCAGCCTGGTTGCAGAAGGTCCTGTACTTCTTGGGGTGTATATATGTTGCCAAAAATATAATAAACATCAGTCTGGAAAGCAGCAGCAAAGGTCAAGGCAGCAAAATAATCAGCCAGCTGCTGTGGCCCTGATCCAGGGCATGCTCTGGCCTGGTGAGAAGGCTGAGGTTGCTGGTGCCATAAGACACAGGTGCCTGCGCCAGAGGGGCACCTTGCCCCTTCTCCACTTTGTTTTGTGCCAAGACTTCAAAACAAGGAGTGTGTTCTCATAGGAATGAAAGAGATGGAAATTGCTCCTGCTTCCCTTCCAAGTCCAGGGCCAACAGCTGCAAAGCAAGACATCCTCTCCATTCCTAGAGAGCTCAGCTCAGTCTGCTGAAGAGACCTCCAGACACAAAGACCCTGGTGGAGGGAGGAGGGCACCCCAAAGGAGAGCTCCTTGCATGGACGCTCTCAGTACCTCACCTCTACACCAGCTGCTCAGCCAGGACTGCATCAGACCTGCATTTGGCCCCCGATTTATTTACCCAGTGTTTACGATCCACATCTTCATCAGCATCCCACTTGCGTGTTAAGAAAGGGTGCTTTTTACTGATTATTTCCCCTTCAAAGAAAGTAGTTAGGGTTGGGTACTCCTAGGAGAGAAGAGAGTTAAGATGATTTGTCACTTAGTGACCAGAACTCAGCAAAAAGCAGCATCTCACAGCAAGGGCTCCAGGCTACTCAAGGATCTTGGAGAAGCACAGTAAGAAGTGTCACACCCATGAAACACCTCTCACTGACTGTTCAGCACAGAGCAGACCACACTGGATGGATGTGGACAGAAGCACATAAAGATCTGACTTGTTTAGGTCTTCCTATGTTTTCTTCTAGCACACTAGAGGCGTGCCCAAAGCTGACTGTAGGGTCAGGCTGGGTTCTGCTCAGACCCTTGGGGATGCCAGATAAGCTTCCTCCCTCCAGGTCTCCCATCAAGGCTCATCATATTTGCTCTATATGCCAAGAACAGCAGACTTAAGCCATTAATCTATTTAGCAGTCAATTTTGCTGCGTGGTCAATCCCTTTGCTTCCTCCTTCTAGTGGTAGCTTCTCCTACCTCACCAGGAAAAAGAAAAGCCTTTGAACAGCATCTTCCCATGCTGTTTTGCAATTAGCACTCACCTCTGTAAGGCCTTTAATCTTCAAGTATCCACAGAGATAGGAGTTTTCCATGTCCACATGCTAGAAAAAAAGTGCAAAGTCCTACTATTAGCACGCACAAGAAGGCACTCAATTGATCCAAAGCTATTTCTAACCCCGAGAGCCTCCAAGGCTTGGTTCTGCTTCAGCTGGTATGGACCACCCAGCTCACAGCCACCCCAAGGCTGGGGGGGCTTGGGAAGAGGATTTAAAGGTGCTCAGCCATCTTCTTATGGCCTGGCTGCTTTCAGCTCTTCCCACTGAAGCAGCACTCTCAGCCAGAGGTCTCTGCCTCATATCCAGACCTGGCACACAAAGCCTTCTCAGAAGGCAGGTGACGTCTTACGCATTTTCAAATAAATCCCTTCCCCAGATCTAATGCTCTTGTGTCACTCTTCTTGTAAGTTCCCGAGCTGCATCTCTCCTCTTCTGCTATGCAGAAATGAAGCAGTGGGATGCTTCTGCTCTGAGTGCCTTTCAAGCAAGGGGATTTTCCAAGCCTTCCCCTGACATCTCCAGATTGGTTTTCAAAGCAAGAAGCGAATTATTTAGAGAAGTGCAAGCACCAGCTGTGAGAAGATGGCTTTTCCCCACCTGTGATCAAAGAAAAGCCACATTTCTCTGTGCCGAGCACAGGGAGAGCAGGCAGCCATCTCTTCTCATCCGACACACACAGAACAGCGTTTTTTAGCACAAAGATAGAGCTAGCCTCTGTGAGAAAGCAGCATGCAGTGAAGTGAACAGCCATAGGATGTCTCCATCAGAGCAAACCATAGCGGGTACACTTGTGCTGTTGACAAGTGGAAGACTGGATGAGAAAGCAGAGGGCACAGCTCACACTGCCCCATCTGCAGACCCTGGGGCTCTGACTTCACTCCCCAATGCCAAACCATGCATCATGCTGCATCACTGCTGCACACCCAGCCTGGGTCCCCCGATCTGACACTGCCAAAGCAGGGCTGTGATTTGCCATAGGAAAGCATGCATCAGATGTCTGGTTTCCCCACGTACTAACGACTCCACACTTATACCCAAAGTGAGTGTGCCAGTGCCTCTGACTAAAAATAAAGCATGCAGGGTAACAGTGACTCCAGAGAGGATTAGGAAAGCCCCGTTCTCCAGAACTGTCTGGTTGCATTCCCAGTACAGCAGAACTGTTGCACCCCTCCCTTGGTTCCCCACACAGCCACCGGCACCACGGGATGAGGAACCCAACTCCAGCACAGGGACCTGGATCCTCACTGAGTTCCAGCCAGGCCTGAAATACAGGCTGCCCCGCTGCTGGGGACTTCCTGGGCACCTCCCAGCGCAGGGCAGGCTCCCACCCTTCCTCCTGGCAGCCCAGAGGCACGCAGGCACCCCAAGCCTGAGGGGAATGAGGAATAGACCTCGTGTTAGGTATCTCAGCAGCCACAAGGAGAAATAGGGGCAAAAGTGTGAGAGCAAAAGTGAAGAGACCCCTGATTAGGGATCTCTTAGAGCCCTAAGAGGAAAAAGGAGACGAAGCCGAGAAGGGAGAGGAGCACAGAGGAACACAGGGCCGGGTGGGGGGCTGCCAGAAGGCTCGGACCTGCGGAGAGGAGCTCAGAGGGATCTGAGGAGTCGGGGAAAGGAGCTGCGAGAAAAACAGGAGACTGAGGGGCCGCGGAGATCCCAAGGAAAAGGACTCCCGAAACGGGGGGTCCCGAAGGAGCGGGGAAGGGCTCGGGGCAAGGCGTTCCAAAGGAGCGCGGGGAGCGCCGCCCGCCCGGCTCTGCGGCCGTGAGCGAAGGCCCGAGGCCCAGCGAGGGGAAACGCGGCCCGGCCCGAGGGCAGCCCCTCACCTGCATGACGACCTCCACCTCGTAGGCGTTGCCCTTGCTGCGCTGCTGCCCGCGGAACTTGGCGCCGCTGTACAGCAGCGAGGTGGCCACGCCGGGCTGCGCCGTGTTGATGGGAGGCGGCGGCACCAAGCTGCTGGCGGCCGCCCCGGAGGGAGCCGAGGAGGCCGAACCCGCGGCTCCGCCCGCGCGGCACCGCTCGCTGCGCACCGGCATCTCGGGAGGGTCCCCGGGAGCCAGCGTGGCCGGGGCTCAGCGGCCGCCGCCGGGGCCGCCGCCCGCGCTCCTCTCCCCTCACGCCCAGGCCGCCGCCGCCGCCGCCGCCTGGCTCGGGGCCTCCCGGCAACGCCTCCGCGCTCTCCCATTGGCCCTCGCGGCGCTGCGGGAGGGCGGGACGGAAGGCTGATTGGCGGAGGGATCTTCCTCCCGGCACGCTTTGCCGCGGGGGCCGCTGGGAAGTGTAGTTTCTTCTCCCCGCGCCTCACGCGACGGGAAGGCCGAAGGGGCAAAACGCGTTCTCCGCGCGGATTGGTCGGCGCGGGGGCAGCATGGCGGCGCCCGGGGCAACGCGCTGAGACGGGGGAGGCCGTTCTGCTTCCCCTCCGCACGCGGCTCCTTCTGGTTCTCCTCGGCTCTCCCCGCCGCGATGTGGCGCCGCCGCCTCCTGCAGGCCCTGGGCCGCCTGCCGGCTCTCGCAGTCCGGGGCCGCCCGCTGGGGCCGGGTGGGGGCCGAGCTTACGCCCCTCCCGCAGGTGAGGTGCGGCCCCCCTGGAGGGCTCCGGATCCCCGTCTGAGAGGGGGGAGCTCGGCGGGGGGGTCCTGAGGGCGCTTCGTGGGAGATCCCCCCCCGTCAAGGTCACCTGGGGGCTGGGGGAGGTGTTGGGTTCCGGCCTTCAGAATGGGCTGGAGAAAGTGAGAAGTAAAATCCGCTCCGCATTCGGTAAGGAGGCTGTGGGGCCACTCACTCTGAGCTGTAGCTTTTCCATTTGTGGGTTTGAAGGTTTTCTTTGGTTGCGGATGGGATGGCAGTGACCTCCTCCGCCCCCTCCCAGGCGTGGCTCAGGCACGTGCTGGGCTGTGCATCCCTTCTACAGATCTTGCTGGAAACACGTGGATGGGAGGATGGTAATCGGGGTTTCATTGAAGCGTCGTGGGGCCATTGGGAGCCCACCGAGGGACCTCTCACATGCCTGAATCCTCTCAGAGCTGTGCTCCAGCAGCGCGGCATTTCCTGAGGCGCTGAAACTTGCAGGGGGCCAAGAATGGGTGGATCCTCTTCCCTCTCCCTACTGGGCCCATGTTGGCAAGGAGCAGTGCACAGTGACAGACAGCCAGGAGGTGGATTAAATGGGCTCAGCATTTATGAGCTGGTTGTAATTGTCACAGGAATCATGCAGACTCTTCCTGCCTTAAGTAGGTGAGATGAGTCCAACAGCACTCCTTCCCACATAAGCCAAGCTCTTGGGATTTTGCTGGCAGTGTGTGGAGCAGTGCTGGTATGAAAATAGGCTCCTTGGAAAGCAGAGCAGCAGTTCCCTGTGCTCAGTGTGCTGGGGAGCAGGTATGTACCTGAGCTGCTGGGTGGGATGTGTGGGCTGCGGTAAGCTGAGGGCAGTGGTTCCTCCCCAGTGACTCAGCTGCCACATGCAACATGTCTGACACACGATCCTGCTGCTGTGCACAAGGTTCCTGGCTCCTGCAGGCAGTGTCTGCGAGAAACCTGCTCCTATGGGAGGTCAGGGTAGCTGGGGCACTGCTGTGGCTGTCATCAGTATCGTGACACCTCCCAGGTTGAATAGAGCTCATTGAAATGGAGAGGGGCTGGGGAGTGGATGAATGAGCAAGAAGCTTTCATGGCAGTTCTGTGGGCTGCAGCAGCTCTGAGGGCTCTGCATTCTGACCTGTGACGGGGAGAAGGGAAGGGGACCAAACCTCCTCTCACTGCCCTTTCAATTGCTCTGTTTTCAACCCCCAGAGAGGAAGCGGTTTTACCAGAATGTGAGCATCTCACAAGGAGAAGGTGAGTGCAGGTGAGGGCTGGTACTCATGCAGGAAGTTTTCACCACAGGGAAGTGGCATGCCTGCAGCCCATGTTGTGCAAGTGGGCTTTTTGTCATCAGCATGCTTTGTCCTTTCCTCGTCTGTAGTAAAACCACATGGTGGGAAAGTTTCCAGCATCATTTGGGGGAAAGGGCAATGTCAAAATGCTGATGATGGTTGGAAGCTTGCTGATTCCATGCCCCCTTGAGCTCCAGCTCTGAGCTTGTTCCCTCAATGGGGTAGTCTGTTGTTCCTTAGTGCTTGCTCCTCTTTAATTCCCCAGGATTTCTACTCTGATTCCCCAGGAGGCTTTGAAATCAACCTGGACCACCGGAAGCTGAAAACACCCCAGGCCAAGCTCTTCACTGTCCCCAGTGAGGCCTTGGCCATTGCAGTGGCAACAGAATGGGACTCTCAGAAAGACACCATCAAGTTCTACACTATGCACCTGGTGAGCACAGCAGGTCAGAGTGTTGAAGCACAAAAGTGGTCTCCAGAGGCAGAACACAGAGAGAGCAGGCTGTCCTAATGTCAACTGAAGTGGGAACAGGAGTTCAGCACCTTGGCTGAGCACTCTGGACAACTTGAGGCTGTACAGGCAGCTGGATACTGGCTGAAGGACTGGGAAGGAAACTTGTGTCACTGGGGAGTTTGAGAAGGGACTGGAGAGCATTTCTGGGGATAGCTAGGGGTATGAGGAAGTTGGATAAATCCTATTATATGAGCCATGTTCTGGCTCTACATATCCCTCTTAAGTGATCTTGATTCTCGCAGTCTGTCCCAGATTCTTCTGGTTATGCTTGACCTAGTACAATGGAAGCTGCTGCTTCCTCAAGCCTTGGATAACAGTGATTTCAGCTGCCTTTGTCCTGCAGACCACACTGTGCAACACAGCTCTGGACAATCCCACTCAGCGAAACAAAGTGCAGCTGATCCGTGCAGCTGTGAAGTTCCTGGAGACTGACACGCTCTGGTAAGAGATTGTGGGATGCACTGGCGCAGAGGCAGGGTTGTCTTGTTGCAGAGTGGTTTTTTGGAAGAGTGGTTGAGAGAACCAAGGGAAAATGTCTGCTCTAATCAAGTCATTGCAGGACCCTGGGCTGTCCTGACTTTGGCCTGAATTAGTTTAGGCCAGTCCTATGTTCACAAGGACATGTGAACTAGTGGAAATCCATGCATTTAAAGGGCATAGATATGAAGGAGAACAGGGATCTGCTCCTTTGTTGAAATTTATTTTGGAGATGTCCATGATGGGCAGGGGGCATGAGAAGCAAGAAATGAGGATTTCCTTGGGGGAAAAGCTAAGAAAGGCTTGGGAGAATGTCAGCCCAGTCCCCTGGCACTCCTGTACCATAAAGGTGTAGGAAACTTAGATTACCTGTACTAGTATCAAAATGGATTTTGCTCCTTAAAGCTCCTGTGGGTTGTAGAATCCAGCCTGCCCAAGCTCATGTCTCACAGTCCCAGCCTCTGAGGTGTCCACTGGCAACTGTTCTGCTCCTGAAGAGAAAGGGAAACACCTTGCTCTTTGTTTTTGGCTTTGATTGTGTTGGGCTGGTCTGGGTGGTGGCTGGTGAGTGCTGAGCTGAGCCACTGGGCATGTGAGGCAGCAGGAGGGGCCCTGTGGGATTTGTCCCACGCTCTTATCACTAAATCTTGCTGCATACTGTGGCCAGTTTCAGGTAATCTGCAGTCTTGTGTTGTACAGATTGTAGCTCTGTTAGAGAACTGCATAGAACTGTCCTTTCTAGAACAATAAAAAGCTCTGAATTTGGGGAAGAGAGGGGCGATTGTTCCCAGTCACAGCTGCTGGTAGGGTGGACAAGAAGCCTATGCTCCCCATACTGTGGTCTATGGAGGGCACAGACTTCCTTCCCAGGAGTGCTGTAGGCTGGCTGGGAGCAGTCTGACAGCTTGTGAGTGAACGCCCACGTGGCTTTGTTGTGCAATGTCCCAGCTATCGCGTGGAGGAGCCAGCTGCCTTGGCAGAGCTGCAGAAGAAAGAATGGGATCCCATTGTTGCCTGGGCTGAGAAAAGGTGAGAGGTTAAAGCTATTTCTAAAGGCCCATAGCTGTAGTACTCATGACTCAGAGCTGCAAGATCCACGAGCTTTTCTAAGGGGCCATGTGATCATGTCAGGTACAACGTGGCAATTGGATCCTCTACCAGCATCATGGGACCAAACATCCCAGCCAGCACCAGGGACACCTTCATCAGCCACCTGGCCTCCTACAACATGTGGGCTCTACAAGGTGAGAGGCTGTGTGGACTGCACAAGGGCAGGAGAGCTCCTCTCAATGGGAGAGGGGAGAGACTATAATGTTTTTCCCCTCCTGCTAATATGCCAGAGGTGATCAGAGCATTGAGGTCACTGCAATGATAGTGGTCAGGACACAACGCTATTGTGCTGTTAATTGCACATCTGGCTGTTAGGATCCCAGATGGGAGTGGGGAGGCATCACTGTGATCTGCCTGAGGGGGGACCACAGCCTGACTGTCCTTTCAGAGCATGGGAAGATGCTGTTGTAATGCTGCGGAAAACAACCATGAACATTGTTTGTTTTGGATTTTTCCCTTCCAGGTATAGAATATGTAATCACCCAGCTGAAATCTCTGATTCTGTCCATGGGCCTGATTGACAGGCACATTACAGTAGAGAAAGCTGTGCTTCTGTCTCGGCTGGAGGAAGAATACCAGGTAAATTATGTTACAGAGCAACCCTATAATTCAAATAGCAATAATCTCAGCATGACAAATGCACCCCCCACCACAAATAACTGGCAGGGGAAGTGCCTGCTATTACAGGAGAGGTTCCACTCCACTAGTCTGGAGCATGCTGCTGTAGAGCAACATGATAGATGCAACAGCCCAGGGTGCTCTTGGGGCTGCCAGTTTCGTTTTGCAGAACCCAGGTGGCTGCTTTTCTCCCTCTCTAATCTGAAGTGCAAAGCCATGGATGGCTTCTCTTACTGTGGGTTTTCCAGCCTGGAGGCCTTACTAGACACCAAACTATTATTAAATTGTTTCCTGTGAGAGCACAAGCTGGAATCTGGCCTGGTGTAAAGCTCTCCCTGACCCAAAACAGCTGAAGTTGATGAGAGTATTTTCATCCTCCCTTTAAGGGGTTTTGCCTCAGAGCTCAGTACAGAAGAAGCATGTTCTTCCACCATATTAATCCAGAGATCTCCCTACCTTAGTAGTGCTCAGTCAGCACAGCTCCTGGAGGGCTGTCTGTGTTTCACAGACATGAGAAAGGAGGCTGAGTTGCCTAGCAGCTCGGTCTGTAATCCAGTCTGAACTGACTTTTGTTCCTCCTCTCCTTCAGATTCAGCGATGGGGCAATGTGGAGTGGGCCCATGACTATGATCTGTGTGAGCTGCGTGCTCGTGCAGCAGCTGGGACTCTCTTTGTTCATCTCTGTTCAGAGAGCTCGACTGTAAAACACAAGCTGTTGCAGGATTAAGGCTGTGGGACTGAGTGGAGGAGGAAGATGCCCAGCAGTGAATTGCTGCCATGATCCAGAGAGGGTAACCACCATCCTGCCACCACAGCTTGTCTGGGATCAGCCTTGTGCTGAGGAACTGCAGCTTTATGGGCAGCTCCTTGCTGCAGTGCAGCGCCAGCAGTTTTGAGCCCACAAGGAGGAAAGGTCAAGGTGAACTCCCTCTGTGTATTCAAGGCAGCAGTGTTGTCCGTTACCAGTGTCTGTAATTCATCAGAGGAACTCCCTTGAAAGAAACAGCTTCCTGGGCAGGGCACAGCACAGACACACCTAGCATATGCCACATGTCTTCATAGCTGCCAGCTCCTGACACACACTTGTTATGGAAATCTGAAAACAGACTCCGTTGCATCTGTTCTTCATCCCTCAGTGTGCCTGTATGTAACACCAGGGTCTCTCTGTTTGATTAAAGGCATGCCTCTGCAAGATACTGAAAGCTAACGTTGCTGAGTATTTCTTTGTTTTAATTGTCAAACCGTGGTGTAGATTCTGAGCTGCTGGGCTCTGTGCAGGTGTGGGAATGGCTGTAGGCAGAAAGTCACCGAGCAGAGCTGAGCAGACACTAGCTATCAGATAGATTAGCTCTCTCTGTGTCTCTGTGTGAGTCTCTCTGTGCTAGGTGCCCTGTCCTAGCAGCCAAGGAGCAGCAGACTGTGCAGTGCTGGAGCAAGCAGGGAGGGGGAAACCTGGGCTGCAACTATTTCCAAAAGCATAAGGCACTCGAAGCTAAATCTGTACATCAGGCAGCACCAGCTGAAGGGCTTTCAGGAGACCTGGTCTCTCCCCAGATTACCTATGCAGCCACCCTTTCATTTAACCTTCCCACCTTTCTCCTTGCTGTTTGCCTCTAGCAGTACCGCCCTGGCCAGCATCATTCCTCAGAAGCTGTCCATGAGTGAGTGCAGCAGCTGCTGTCACTGAGCAAGGAGGGGAATTAATGACTCCTCGCTTGGCTGTTGTGAACGGCAGTGTGTGAGTTCCTGTGGAACCATTGATTTCCCTTCCTGCTAGCTGGGGGCTGCTCTGCTCACGCTGCAGAAAGCTGCTTTTCCAAGAGGCAATGACAAGACAAGGCTGCTAGGCACGCAGAGCCCCAGCCACAGCCTTGTGCTTGCTGAGCTGGAAACCTGCTGTTATTCTGGGAGTGGTTTGATGGAGAGCGCTCCTCTCCCCGGCTGCTGCCGTGTGCCTGTGGCTCACAGGTTCCTGCCACTGTGCTTGCAGGTACTAAAGCTTTCAGGCATGATGTGCTATGATGATTTGGTTCAATTAGCTCACAGCTGAGCCATAACCCCTTGTGACCAGGTCTGAACTCGGGACGGGCTTCATGCCAATGTGATGGAAGAGACAAAGCTTCATGTGCTTTTACAGAAACAATAAGTATCTTTTATTTGCTGACTATGGCAGGATGGCAGAAGTATGCCTTTGGCCTGAAATGTTCCAGACAGCACAGGCACAGAGGGGTAGCGTCCTTGCTGAGTGTTTTGCTGCTGTGAGCGCCCAGATAAGGCAACTGCCTGGCCCATAGCAGACCTATTCCGTGAGTTCTGGAATCTGTGTGTTATCCAGCTGCTCCTGGAGATCATCGATGTACTGAAAAATCTCTTTGATACGGTTGCGGTTTCTGTCAATCTCATTTTGGAGAGCCTGAACAGATTAAACCCAAGTAGTGAACGCACAGGCTTGCTGGGGTCCTGGCTGCAGCACAGAGGTCTCCAGCAAAGGCTGGGGAGCAACTTTCCTAGCGGCGTCCCTGCCACCTGGGGCAAACCCATCGGCAATCCATCCCCATGTGAGCATGAAGGTCTCTTACCTTCTCTTTCACAGAGGCCTCCCAGCGATACATGTTGAGGAGGATGTCACACTCTCGCATGCTTATCTTCAGCAGGTGGATATCATGGGATTTGTTGACCATGTTGACAATGGTGTTTTTGTCCACAAGAAACTAGGAGATAACATGACTGGATCAGGGGAGGGGCAGGCACACAGCAAAAACCACAGAGCTCAAAACTAGCAGCACAGTAACTGCTTGGGGGAAGAAAATAAGACCTCTGTTTCAGACTGACAAAGCCCTAATCATCAGGATTACTCCAGTGCTTTTCCCTCTGTGTGGAGGGACGTATGAGGAAATAGAGGCAGCACCTTGGGCCTCACCTTCTGGAGCAGGGAGCACCTCACAGTATGTGGCCAGCCCTTGCAGCAGCTGCTGTTGAAGCGAGGCTGCATATGCTGCAGCTCTCCTGTCCCAGCAGGTGCGGGAAGTGGAAAATCACATTTGAAAGGGTCTCTTGCACTGGTAGCACTGGCTGTAAATCTTCATCTCGGAGAGCCTTAGCTTCTAATCGAGGCAGTGACTTCCCCCATGGCTCTGAATAGAGGGTGGCTGTGCTAAACCATAATGAGTCTCCTCCTGCAGCCAAGTGCAGCTATATTGAACAAATGAAGATTGCTTCTCTGTGGAAATGGATGGCAGTGAGGCAAAATGGGTGCACAGCAACGGTGCGTAACTGCAGCCATCTGCACAGCCCATAAAGCAGGGAGCTCCCCTGGGGGGCCGAGGGGTCTGGTCTGTGTCTGTCAGCTCTTGATTACCCAGAGTAATGGGGAGCTGGGATAATCTGGACAGAGCGAAAACACAGCAAATGCAAAACTCAAGTCAATTAACCACTAAGTGAAGGAATAACAGAGGCAAAAAGGTCAGCAGCGTTGCTGACTGGAGCACTGCAACAATCTCTGCGCTTTCTGAAAGGCTCCTGGGATCTTCAGTATCAGAGCAAGACTGGGGCTGCAGTGGAAGGCTGCATTTGGAATGTTGTGTCCTGCCTCCAGAACAGCTAATGGGCAGGAGAGCTCCCAGGAGGGCTTCTGAGATCACTGATGCAAACAGCCCCAGCACAAAGAAATCAGAGCAGTGTTTAGGTTTGCCTGTGGGGAGCAGGCAGAATCGGAACAAAACCAGCTGCAAGTGCAGCAGAGAAGCTGCGTGAGTGCCTGCTGGGCTGGGGCTTGAAAATCAGCCAGTGAAGTGAGCTGTGCTGGAGGCAAGAGAGAAATTTGCTCAGCACCTCTCCTGGGCTGCTGCCACCAGCTCTTGCAGAGCCCAGGGAAACCTGCAGTGCAGTCATCTCCATCCCACTCAGCAGAGATGCCCAGCAGTGCTTCAGTTCAGCCACACTCTGGTTAGACACAGCTCTAGCTGCAGCGAGCCTCCTGGAAATCCTGCCCCTGTCAAGCAGAGGCTGCCGCCTCCTCTTCTTCCCATCACTCCCACAGAGGGGGTGAATTTTCTGCTGTCCTCACCTCACGAACATCATCTGGCAATTCCTCATCGAGCTCATTCTTAAGTGATTTCTCCAGAGCACTGATGGAGATCTCTAGCAGCTTCTCATGGTGACGGTTTTCCAGGTCCCGGCACTGTGTCATCGTACAGAAAATGGTTAAGGAAAAGGCTGAGCACACCGTTCACTTCTAGAAACAAAACTGGACCTCCTGTAACAGGAGGCTGAGACTCAGAAAGAGCTACAAAGAACGTGCTAGAAAGAGGGCTGCCAGCCCTGATGCAGGCGAGCAGAAAAGCACTCTGGTGTCCCATGTCCTCACAGCAGGCCTCGGGAAACAGCCTTGCTGCTGCCAGGATGTCAGGATTTGCACTTTCTGCTCTTAATCACAGCTCACATCAGGTCTCATCCTCACTGCCATGTATTACACAGAACTAAGAGTGTGCCTTGGTTTGCAGAGGAAGCTGAGGGAGGCCTAACAGGATGTAAGCTGAGCTCTGAATATGCCAATTATTTGCACCAAGCCACAGATTTATATATATAATCTGCCACAGGAGTGCTTTGCTGTTCTTATCTCACATTGTTCCAGAAGACATCAGTAACACAAAAATTAAGCCCATTCAAAGACGCAAGAATACACATGGAAAACATGCCAGCTGGATCTGCCAGGAGTTGTGCCATGCATGCTCAAGAAAAAAGCAAGATCCCTAGGAGGGAGAAAGCTGTAAAAGTCCTAGAGACTTTCCATATGTGAGAACTCAGCCAGAGCCCTTTGTGCTTTCTGTATTTTCCACAGAAAGACTTGGAGCACCTTAAATGGCCATTCCTACAAAGCTGGGAAAACGCCTTTTCTGTTGACAAAAAATAACCCAATTCTATTTCAATGGCTCAGTTATAGATTTAGGATTGAAGTACATGCACCTCACTCAGAGATCCATGCCAACATGCTGTAAAAAGGATATATGCCTTTAACATTTTCAGTGAATGTTGATGCAATGACAGCAATGTTTCTTTCGAATTCCTTTATCAGTTCCTTAATGGAAAGAAAAAGAGGAAATGTTACAATGAATGCTTTCATGAACATAAAAGGAATCTAGGAAGAACCTAAAATTGATTATAATTTGGACTCGCTGCTGTTGTTAGCACAGTCAGAAAATGACCTACCTAAAGCATGTAAATGGTTTGAAAGCGCTGAGTTTATTTTCTCATTCAGGGACAGAAAATCAGAATCAGCTTACTGGGGAGAAGCTGGTTGAGTGACGCTTACCTGGTCTCTGGAGCCATCCCATCCCTTTGTACTCTCACTGAATGCACAGTGTGCTGTACTCCTGCAAGCTGCCATGCTGCATTCTCCTTGTGTGTATGAAAAGCCTCTTTGTGAGAAGTGTAAGCAATGCCTGGGCTTGCTGCAGCTTTTGTTTTAGTCCTCAGAAACAAAAATTGCTGCTGCCTAGTGCCTCTCTCAAAAATGGCTGATGGGGAATCTGTTAAGTGTTGCACTTAGCGTCTTCATGTAACAGTTCAAACACAACCACCCAAATCCTGCAATTCCAGAAGGGCATGCACAAAGGAATGTCTCTGATCTTTCCTTGAGTGACTGCAGATATATTAGGACCAATTCAAAAAACATTAAAAAGCACAATCATGATGCAGTAGGGAATCCATTTTGAGGTCCTGCATTCTGTCCTGCACATTCACAGCAGTGAACTGCTGCATCTTGCATAAGGGCCGCAGACCCTGCCTGCTGGTTTATAACAGATTAGGTTTTGGTTTTGGTTTTAAATGAGGACGCACATTAGGAGCCCTGCCCTAGTTTTCAAGGAAAAGTGAGGAGAAAAAAGGCAGCTATTATGCAAGCAAATGCATTAAGCTGAGCAGGAACGTGTGTAATCTTATTCATGGTGAGGATCAGCTTCAAAGAATTACACTTCCAGAATGCCAAATGCATATCCCATACCATGCAGTTAGAGTTCTGTACACAGACCTATATAATGAACAACCTCAAGTCCTTTTTTTTAAAACTTTGGAAATCAGCTTGGATAGATGTGAAGAAAATACTGCACTCTGCTCTGAGAAACAGGAATCTGTTGCAGTGTATCAATGTCCGGGGCTTGATCTTACCCATTTCAACCTTGAGCAGAGGAAGGCTAGGTGGAGACATAACAGGAGCCTGACTGGAAGAATTGTGTGCTCTTCCTTATGCAATGGGCTACAATGCAGAGGCATGCAGCAACAGCAAAATGAAATGTCCCTGCATCCAGGATGGGAGGCTTTACAGGTATGAGCCTGAGCCTTACCTCCAGCTGGTCCACCATCTGCATTTCCAAGGTCATGAGTGTTTCTGACAGCTGAAGGATGTCCTCGTTGTACTCAGCTCGCATAGACTCAGCAGTGTCGTGACTGCTGGCATGATGGATCTCATCCAGCCTCTAAACACAAAGATACATAAATTACTTGTAGTTGGTGTTCAGCACTCCATTGCAATTTAATTAACTTGTTACATATGTGAGAAAAGTTCCTGCTGATGATGAGCTGAAATGAAACGTGCTGATTCAGTGAGTCTCTGGATTTACATACTGGGAAGTAACAGTGCTGAGGTATGCTGCTATGTAAACGATCCCATGCAATGCAGTGATACTGGTGAGAAATCTTCTCATCTCCCAGTGCCCGATGACTTTGACCCTTCTATACTTCCAACTTTGGCTCCTCTTCTGACACATTTCAAGTAAATATATATATATATATATATAGGATTCTTGACATTGCTGGCCATGAAGAAGAGATTAACAATTGCTCTTAGAAAAGAAAGACACATCTAAATCCTGATCCCTTTCCTGTCAAGGGGAATCTTGACTGACTACCGCAGGGGCAGGATTCAGTATTCTGAATATGGAATACCTATCATTGCCTGATTCCATCTTACAGCAAGGATTTATTGCCCTTCAGAATTAAATATTGACGTCAGTTTTGTATCAGACAAGATTTATTATTTCTCAGATCAAAAAGAAATCCTCTTCTGCTCAGCAATGTATTATTTTGAAGTCTGTTCAAAGCAAGTTAACAATCAAATGTTAATAGGAGGAAAGAAATACACGTTTTAAGATGTCTAATCCAATTCTCTTGAGAGGAAATGTAATGGGCTAAAATAGTGAATTCTAGCCAAAATAACTGTGAAGACTTGTCTGAAAACAGTCTATATTGCCCAAATTTTGCAGTGGTAAATGCGGAGAAGGAGAGTGCAAGGTATAAATCAGGATGTCTCCAAATCCTCCCCAGGCATTCAAGCCACAGGTCTGGAAGCAATAACTTCAGAGCTCAAGGCCCTTAATGCTTCTTTGCTCCTGAAGCAACTTCAGAGAGAGGTGTTATTTTACAGGTTGCCCAACCTTGCAGGAAAGGATGGCAGCTAGGCAATCACACCCTAAGAATGGTTACAGATTTCAGCCTGCTAGGACCCCTGTGATTTTTTAGCTTCTCCATCAGCGTTAAATTTTGAACTTCCCAATCAACTTTAAATGACTGTTTGGATGCTGACTATCCCAGTATTTACGTGCAAACTGTCACACTAACCATTGTGTCCTGTTCAATCCACTGCAGGTCAATCCATTACTGAGGCTGTAGTCTACCAGATGAACTATCAAAGCCATGTATTTTTTACAGAGGTTATACTTAGAATCAAGTAGCTGAGTATAAATATCAGCCTTTATCTGATGCTTTCTGGTAAACCTGCAAGCTCACATCCCAGCTGGAGTTGCCAGAACTGTTTGCTGGCATTAGTCAGCAAGGTTCAAGGACCTGGGGACGGGGTGACTCAACAGGCTGCCAGCTTGTGACACGGCACCTCAATCAAAGCGACCTGGATTTCAAAGAGCAAGTGCTCGTGACTCCATGCAGTGTCAGTTGTCAGGGACTTGCTCTGCTCAGCTGACAGGTTTACCAGGCTTTAGCCCCCCTGACTTTTTTTCTGTGGAAACAAAATAATGATCCATCTATTATACATGGTTAGACAGGGATCCAGCTAGAAGCGATGCCCTTAGCAGCCACAATGGATGATTGTAGTTGAGTAGAATGTAAAAAAAAGATTGTTTCTGCTTTAAAAATAACAGACTAGAAATACATTACAATAGCTGTACCTGATTCTTCTGTTACAGTTCTTTGAGCTGTTGTTGACAAGATGAACTGAATCAGAAAATGACTTGAAAACGAACTGAATAACCTACAATCTCCTTTTCTTTCTTTCTTTTTTTTTTTTTTTTCCCTGCAGAACCTTGAAGAACTTTACCTTCATGGACAATGAGACAACACCATGGCATATTAATTTTCTCCTACACTAAATTTCATGTCAAGTATAGATAAAAGCTGTCAGTGTTAGTTGGCTGTGCTTTGACAAAAGGGCTGAAACTTCAAACCTCAAATCTTTTTCCTATATAGAGCACTAAAATATCGTGTTAGTTAATGTTCGCTGACATCATTTCTTGGAACAGATTAACACTGCAGAAAAACAAAGAAAGATCAGATACTGAGTGCTGGAACAGGTTGCCCAGAGAGGCTGTGGAGTGGCCATTCCTGGAGATGCTCCCAAGCCATGTGGATGTGGCCCTGGGTGGCCTGGTGCACACAGCCCTGCTTTAACAGGGGGACCAGGTGTCCTCCAGAGCTCCAATCCAACCTCAGCTATTCTGTGACTCTGCAATTAGGGATCATATCATGACTGCAATGTAAATCTAGGCTCACTATCCTAATTTTAACAGAATTACCCTAATTTAAAGTGAAATTGAACGCTATATGATGTATCAAACTAACAGAAGCATAAGGAAAATTACCATTTTGTTCTGATTTTCAAAGTCTAGGATTATTCTCCTGCCTTCTTCTTGGTTGGCTGTCAACACTTCATGAAGGCCTTCATAGAAATCAGAGACTTCAGCTTCTCGTTTTTCATGCTCTTTCAGACAGTAGTTAAACAGGTTCTCACAAACGGAGACAAAATCTTTCCTGTATGTGACACCAGAGTCAAGGTATTTTGTTTGTTCAGTGGAGCAACACGTTATATTCCTTCTAGCTCTGCGAATTCAAGCAGGAGTTACAAGCTGATGTTATGTAAAATTCGGTGGTTCTTGCTGGCAGCAGGCTGCCAAGCATTTTGCTTGAGCAGGATGGGGTCACCTGTTCACATTCTATGCATAGGATTTTGCTACCTTAAGGGTATAGAGAAGGATGTGGCAGCTTGAGGAAGAAAAGCCTTGAGGACAAAAACATATGCTTCTCTGACTCTTTTCTTTTCAAAGCAGGAGAATGAAGCATACAACCCTATCTGTCTTCACAAGTGTGAATACAGTGTCTGTGTAGTTAATAAATACAGCTCCAGAGCTTACAGCCAGGGTGCAGAATAAACTACTGACTTGGTAGCATCACAAAAATAACGCCAATTTTTCTTCTGCTATTATCTTGACAATGGAATTGTTTCTAGAGTCTATCGTAGTTAAGCCGTGATGCATTTTTCCCCAACAGTGTAATGCAATTTTAAGGAAGGTCAAGTTGCTGGCCTTGACAATGCTCTATTAATCTGAATGAGAAAAGAAAAAAATAAAAGTGTCTGCTTTCTGATGCCCCGTATAGGAGCAATGATCAGAAAAAAAGTGCTGGCCTGAAAACTTCACGTTGCCAGCTCTGGCAGGTTGTGAGATATGTGACTCATATCATTCTGATTAGTCTGTTCCTATCTCCTACCACTTCAATTTCAACATGATTTTAGCGACTGCACTCTTACAATCTAACTGACAGAGATTTATCTTATGGCTCATTTTAAACCTTAAGTGGATTCCAGACTTAAAGGCAGTACAAAGCCTTGATTCTTGAAGGGTCAGGAAAGAGGGCTGCTGAAAATATGTTTGATTCAGACGATGGAAAGGGAATATGGTAATTACAACAGTGAGAATTTGAAACGCTGGAATCTCACGACCTGTTGGTGATAGAAGTGAGTGGTTATACAAATAGGTTGTTTCAAGCTGTGCTGGCCAGCTTGCCAGTAATACAAACCATTTGTTTGTAGCCCTCATATTTCATGAGATATCAGGCCTTAAAGCTGTCAGTGGTCTCATGGTCTTGCAGTGTTTTTCTGGCACTGTTCCTAATTTGAACACAGAAAGCCTCAGATCTCAGATCAATGTGAGCTTTCAGTCCTGGACAAAAGCAAGGGATGAAGAGTCCCTGTGGATGCACCTCCTTCTTAACTCAAGTCATTAGGTTTTAGCTGTAGGTTTTTTAAACCCAGGAAGGATATGCCTGCAGCAGGTCATCCACTCCGGGGAGGTAAGCCAGTTTGGCAGCTTCTGTATCCTCTGCATACAAGCTGTCAAACAGGAATGATCCATTCAGGTACTCAACAAAGGCTGTCTTTGAAGAGAATAAGAATGATTTAAGTAAAATGAAGAGTGCCAACCTGCTGCCAGTCCTTAGGATGCCTCTCTCCTAGAAGCTCTTTACAAGCAGAGGAACACTGGTGCGCTGTGCAAGTAACGATCTGCACAGACACAATTACACCAACAGAATAGATATACCAGCCAGGTCATGAAAGCATCCTGCAACTGGAGTGAAAACCATTCTGGTTCACATGTGGATTTACTGCTAGAACTCTCTATCCTAAGGACAGAAAACACTGTTTAATCTTACATAAAGCATTTTCGCATACAACCATATGTTACAAGGCTATTCAGCCTCACAGATAAAGAGTGAGTGGACTTGGGAGAGGGCCAGAAGGAAGAGCTGCAGGTGTCCTTCCTGTCACTTAACATCCTCCTGCTCTTCAGCCAGCCTGGTCTTCCAGCAGGCTGGAGCACAGAGCCATATTGTGGCTGAAATCACCATTCTGCCTAGCCTGGTTTTCAGGCTGCACATGGAACTACGTCGATCTCAAAGCCCTGAACAGTTTAACCATAAAACTAATAAAAAGCATCAATTTGGTGTGAAGGAGAAAAGAAGTTACTGCACCATGAAAATGTTAACAGTTCCCTCAGACGTGTAATTTTCTTAATCTCACATTAGGCTGATAAGATCCTTGGGCATAATTTACTATTTAGCTTCTAACGGTCTATATCTGCAGCCTGATTGTTCAGCCAAAATAAATATGTTCCCCACATCATATGTATTCCACAGCAGTTCCTGTTTTCATTCAAAATAAGAGATTCAAAGATCAGAGACTAATCCTAGCCTTAGTGTTAGCACAGCCAGTGTTAACCTCTCATTAGAGCTTCAAACATCTGAAGGAGAAGTCAATATCTGCTGCACTTCTTCCTCCCAAGACAGCACACAACCAGCCAAAGAACAAGAACCTTGTGGTACTCCAGCTCCTTCTGCTGTGCCTGCTTTTCCTCCAGCTGAGCTAGGGCCTGGGCTTCCTCATGTTCCAGCAGGTCAGTGAGGTAGTGGTAATTTGAAATGGCAACTTCTCGCTGAGAAAAGCAAAGAAACATTATTAGACTACCCAGCAGTGCCCAACAAATCTGAGTGTAAGCATTCCACCTTTCCAGAAGGTGCACTTGAATGATATCTGCATTTCCATTTCTTTGTGGTCTTTTGATTAAACTACTTATAAAGTTTCTAATCCATTCTTCACCCCATTTTTGTTGTCATATTACTCTCCCTCTTCATCTAATATATCTGAGCCAATTCAGTCCCAAGCAGTGTTTAATCTCCCAATTCCTTCATCTATAGCATTGTTTTTCTGTTTGCTTTAGCAGGAGGCCCTGTATTGACTTTGAATTTGAACTCTGAATGGGTCGGCTACTGAGTTTAACATTTCTGGGGAAAAGATGATTTTTCTGAAGGGATGGCAACGTAGTAGCAGGGGCAAGAACCTAATTAGCTTGCAACTGAAACATGACAAATTTAAGCATGCAATTCAATGACATACTGTCTATGAGCAGGGACTGGACTCATGACCTGGAAAGTCCTTCCAGTTCTATGGTAAGAGTAATGTATATTCCAAGAATGGCTCCTGCTCTGTGCCAAGCAAGTTTAAAATGAAACATATTCTTTGATTATTAAGAAAAAAAATGAGCGTTGGGGTCAGAAAGCAGTCCCGTGGGTTACCAGTGCTGAAGTACAGTCTTGCTTTCAAAAATCAGGAAAGGGAAGTGCGTTTGGATGGTGCTTGCCTGGTTAATGTGTCAGTCTTCTACTGAAACAAATAGCTCAGTGAGCAGCAAGACCACCAAGCCTGCTTTCCTCTGGATTCATGTCTCAAGACTGATCTCCTCTGAGATTCTCTCTCTGTGATTCTCTGATCTCTAAGTAGTCTTGCACTCACACTGCAGCATCTCTGTGGCAATATTAAGCAGGCCCCTCTCCCACACACAGCTGCTGACTTTCACAAAACTGTGAAGGCATAATACCTTTGACATCTCTACCTCTGCCAAATTTGACAGAATTTGGCCTACAGGTTCACAGCTGTTAGGTGGAGATGGAACAAATACTGTGTGTTTCCATAGGTCTAATTTCTGCAGGGAATCAGCCCATCATGCTGGAACACTGTGAGCATATCAACAAAGCCAATGCTCTGTAAGGAACTCATGCCCAATTTCACAAGAAGAAGATGCAGAAATACTTACTGTGGTGTCACTCACAAGTTTGAAATCCAAGTATACCAAGCCTGGAAGGTGAGCAACAACAAACAGCATATACTGCTCTTCATCACAAAAAGGATTCCCAGTGAGATTCAGTGTGTGTAAGTTCTTAAACCTCCTAAGATAGACCACCTGTGTGGAGGGGAAAGAGATGATGTACTTACCAGTGCTGTGGAAACAGCTGGGCTTGAAATTCATTGCTCATGGATTGCACAATTATGTTGTGGTACATATCGTGCTCAGCTGCCAAACACAGGCAAGTTTAATTAGAAGTTTCTATTGCTTTGGGGAAAGAAAATACCTAAATTCACATCATGACTATGTAAATGATGGGAATGGAGAGATGGCCTTTAGTTGGGTGGTGGACAAATCAGGATGTTAGGCTGGTAAACTACCCTCAGAAAGAACCCCAAATATATCCTAGTCCCCACTCTCTCTTTTCCTCATGCGTAGCTATTTATTCCTCTCATGAGAACCAATAGGAATTTTGCCACAGGTGACAGCAGTAGCAAAATGAAGACCTCAAGAGTGAGTAACCTAAAAGAGAAATAGCTGAAATAAGCACTTAGTAGCTAGATAGGCTTACCTAAATCATAATTTAGGCTTCAGAGGAAATGAAATCCTAAGGAAAAAATTAGCCTCAAGGAAGGTAGTGGTTAATGTCAGATCTAGAATATCTGATCCTTTGATGGGGAGCAATTCCAAAGCCAGGGAGCACTCACATTTTCCAGAGTGGTCAGGTTATTCTTTCCAATGGAGAAAATCTGTAGCTCTTGCAATGTGTCCATGTGCTCAATTTTAGATATTCTGTTGTTGTAGAGGCTTAGGTCCTGCAGTTTGACAAGGGTATCCAGGCCCTCAATTACTTCAATGTTGTTGAAGGACAAGTCTGAGGAAGAGTTTAGAAATTGGAAGTTCTATGAGCAAGATAAATTATTTCTAGCAGAACACCCCGATTCAGATCTTGCATTTAGCCTGAGTCTTGATTTAGAAGTTTATACACAGTATTTTCCTCAGGGGGCTCAGTGTCCCACATGAAAGGCTCAGCATGAAATCACCATTTTCTGGGTCAGGAAACAATGTACACATCTCCTTACAACTGTAACACATATATGAGAGGAATGGCTGCAGACATTCCATGCAGAGTCCACATCCACAGCCTCAAAATGAGTTCAACCTTAAGGGGAAACCCAAACTACAAGAAAAGAGGTGCCGTGAAAAGGGAGCATTTCTGTGACAAATCTGGGGTTCTCTGCATTGTTTCTTGCAGACTCTTGCCTGCTGCATAAGAGCTTGCCATCATGGCGACTTCTCCAGGACCAGCAAATGTCAGCTCCATGCTTACCACCACCCTGTTGTCAGTGAAGATATGCAAAGGCACTTACTCACTGTAGCTATTTCACTCGTTATTATTTCTTCATCCCATCCTGCCAAAACATCTAGGCTAACACCTACGTTCATCACCATTAAGGGCAGTGTTTACACTCAGGCTGGAGCTGAGTGCTTCAGGATTCCAAAGGCAGCTGATGTGGTTACCAGTTGTGGGTGTCACCCCAGCCCTTGGGCAGCTAACACAGGCACGCAGCAGCTGCTGAACCACTAGAACCTCTGGGCAAACTGCAATGCCTGAGTGTGCTTCAAAAAACTGCTCACACAGTGGTGATCTGCTGTGATTCACAAGTGCATTAGTCATCTGTGCAGCGGAACAGTGCAGACAACAGAGCGGAAGAACTCATTTAGACATTCTGAGATGTGCTTATGAACCAAAGCCTCGCATGCTATTTTCAGCAGCAAACGAGGATATATTTACACTGCCACCCAATAAGGTGGCTGCAGTTACCAGAGAATGCTGTAAGCTATGAATCTGGAGCAGCAGCCACTAATATGCCCAGCATCGGAACTAGCACCACTGCATGGTGCTGCGATCTGTATCCTGAGTTTCTAATTGAAAGTAGTCCCCCTTCTTAGCACAAGAAAAATGACAAGCCCTTAAGCATGTAGGGGTAAACACACCGTTGTCTTTCAGGGATTCTAAGTTCCAAAATACTTGCATTACCTTTATAAACAGAATACAGGTTTCTAAATCACAGAGTTTACATCAATATTTCTGAAAGTCACCTCTAAGTATGAGTAAAAAACCTGGAAACAGCCTTGAAATCTCAGCTTCCTTTTCCTGCCACACCAAATTTATTAAAACCAGGTTTTTAAACATTTGAAGGATTGCTTTGCAGTACTGATATTCATGCCTTTTGACATTTGACAGTCAAATGAGGAAACACGCAGACAGCTGACAGGCTTCCCCGAGAAAGCTCCTATCAGTCGCGTTTGAGCAGGAATGTGACATCCCAGTTCTATTGCAGATTGCTTTGCACCTGAGAAGGCATCCAGCCCCATGTGCCTTATCTTACCAAGCCACACAAGGTGAATCAGACTCTCCAGAGCTTCTATCTTCTCAATGATGTTGTTGTCCAGCTGCAGCTTAGTAAGATTCTCAAATTGCCACAGATTATCAATCTGCAGGATATCTAAGGGCACAGGAAAATAAATAAATATATAAATTTTCCTTTCATCTGAGTCAGCTTTCAGTTTAGCGGAAGGAAAAATATCCAATCTTTCTTCCAAAATGTTTTTAGCAGATTGCACTAGGTGTGACGACTGCCCTAGAGAGCAAAGTGGTTCACTGGCTGAAAGCAATTTTAGTGAAACAGCCCAGTTAACCTCAGTATCCCATCTCGGCACACTGCTCATCAGCGAATCCAACGAGTCACTGAGGGGGTGTTGGCCGCAGCCAAGAGTAGCTTTATGAATCCACTGTTAAGAGGCCTTGACCTTCATTTTCCCTTTCAGCTCTGCAAATGAGGTTTGGAATGAAAATCTTGCTTTTCCCTGCATTTGCAGGCTACCAGTGGCCAGTTACTGCTTCTGAAAGTTACTTTCCTGCTCTCAGGATTCTCATCACAGGAGAACAAGTTGAGGTCTCATGTTTCTGCGAAGGTTGCAGTTTAGAATTAATCAATATGGCTGCATTTAGCCTCTTCCAAAAACAGAATCTCAAGGACAGGCTGTTAGGTATTACAGCAAAGCATTAGGACCAAGGTGACAGAAAACACAGGACACTCTTACACCCAATTCTTTTTTATCCTCCAATGGCTTCCCAGAAAATTGCATTCAGTGCTCTTGCTGTTTAGTGAGTGTAGGTAATGCAATGAGCTGCACATACAAAATATTGACACAGTTCTTTGTTTTGCATCTGCAAACAAATACATGCAGGATCAGGTAATTGGAAGTGGAACTAAGGAACAAATCCACCTGATCACACAATGAATTATCTGATTTTGTCCAAAATATTCAAATACTGAACCAAATGTTCTTCCTTCTTCTTCTTTGAATGCAAGCTTATAACTGGTTTGGCAGTAAGAGACAAGCTGTGATGATGCTATAGATCCCAGGAAGCCATCAAACTGGGCTGTAATCACCACATTCTAACAACAACTCTTAGATAATCACCACTGATGGCTGTGCCTGCCCAGGATTTGATTTGTCCACGTACAGAAGGGCCCAATAGGCCTGTGGCCTGTAGGTGTCACCACAATATAAATGTTAAATAAGAACAACGCTGACAATAATAGCATAAAGCTAAGCAGCTTTAAAGCCATCCATCAGCAGTACCACCCAGACTGCTCAACTGAAACTGCTGCTTCCAGGCATGATTAAAAGCCTAAGATGATCATTATTGTTGCCAATTAATGCTTATTTCATTTACCCTCCAATAAATACATGTGTTCTGATACTCACTTCTAAACCTAAGTTGTAGCTCCATCACATCTTTAAAGTTAATACCTTCTACTTTGGCAAGCTTCCTTATGTCCTCCGGCCATTGCTCTTCAACTGCTTTCTGAAGCATTTCATCGTCAATAACATTTGGCTCAAAGCTGTTGTCTGACTGACTCATTTTTAGAGGATATCAGCCTTAATGGACAAAAAAGAAAAAGCAATAATAATAAAGCTACTGTCTGGCTACTATTTCCAACTTTCATTGAACTGGCATGATAGTTCCAGGGGATTAAGAACACAGTTTAGTATTAAGATCTAACACCTCATAGCTGATGCTGAAGATGTACTCAACTTGCATAGAGTCATAGAATGGCTTGGGTGGGAAGGGATCTTGAAGATCACTGAGCTACAACCCGCTGCTGTGAGCTGGGTTGCCAAGCCATTGATGTGACTCGAAGAACAGCCTCTACGCCACGTCTGAGAGTTGAGGATGACAATGAGGCCAGTTAAATGGAGCAGGGGGGGAGGCCTACAAGCAGCCATGGCAATTCCCCACTGCTGAGATCCTCCTCGTGAGGAGTGCCTGTTCCTTTAAGAACTAAGCTTACTGTCATAGGAAGGTTTGATTTACAGGACAAGAGCGTATTTACAGCATACAGAAATTACCAGTGGCACCGCATAAATTTCAGACATCACTTCTGTAATAAAAGGGAATTTTGAGGAAGAAGGAAGATTTATAAACAGTAACAGCGATTTGCTGAAGAAGGCCCTTAATGTAGACCAACCTTAAAGGCGGCCTAATTCAGCCTATATGCATGCAAACACCTTCACTTAGGGAAATGACTAATCCCCAACCTTCTGTCCTGGCTTTGTCATTTACAGACCCGCAGTGCTGCCCCGCAGCCCGGCCCGTGGCCCCGTTACCGGCCCGCTGCCGACCTGCGCCTCAGCCCCGGGCCTGGGAGGTCGCTAAGGAAGCCCGAGCGCGTTGCTAAGGGATGTCACGTGATGAGCTCGGCCGCCAATGGGCTGAGAGGGGGTGGGAGGGCTGACTGCTAATCAGAGCCCGAGAAAATCGTGTCAGCCAATCAGAGGTCCAACCGTGCTTTGGGGGCGGGAGGAGGTGCGTATGATCGACGGTCTGCTTGCCCATTAATATTGCAGAATTTTCCGACCGTTGCCCAATGGAGTGCGCCACTAACGGTATCTCTCCTGTCCATCAACCGGAGGGCGTGGCAAGGGGCGGAACTACTGAGGGGGCGGGCCCGTCGCTTGACAGTGATGGGCAAGCTTCTGAACCTATGGCATCACGGAACCTACGAGCGCAGCCCAATGGGTTGCAAGGAGGCGGGCCACACCCGGCAAAGCGAGCGACGGTTGGTGCTGGTGGCTGCCAGTCAGGGCGGGGTGACGGGGGAGGAGGAGGGAGGGCCGCCGGGCCGCTGTTTGTTGTCATCCCAAGATGGAGTTTCTGCTGGGGAACCCGTTCAGCACCCCGGTGGGGCAGAGCCTCGGTAAGGTAGCGGCGGGGCTTCGTCGGACCTTAAGGGCAGGCGAGGCCAACGGAGGGGCTGTGGGCCTCCGGGGAGTGGGGTCCTTCGGGCTGTGGGGTTGAACTGAAAGGCGCGGAATGGGCAGCGGCGGCCTGCGGGGGGCTCTGGAGGCCGGGAGGGGCGCGGGGTGGAACGGCTGTGAGGCCTCTGTGGTGGGAGGGGATGTCCGGGGGCTGCGGAAGGGGTCTGGAAGTGGGGGGGCTGATGGGGCTGTGAGGATTTGGAAAGGTTCGGTGTGGGCCGCCGTGTTTCATGGAGGCTCCGAGGGGCTGTAGGCCTTCGTAGGGGCTCTGGGGATCGTGAAGGGCCGTGGGACTTCGGGTGGGATGTGAGGAAGGAGTGCTTCAGGGTGGGTGGTGGCAGAGGGCATGTTCCCTGTGCTGCCCCAGCTGCCTTCAGCCCCAAGGGCTGCAGCTCCCGTGTCTGTGTTGGGAGAGCAGTGCAGGTTAGAGATGCACATGCTCGCCTTTCAGCCCAGCGCTTGGGCTGTGCTTGGGCTCATGTTTTGGTGGTGCTGGGCGGGTTGTTGTGAATGTGCCCTCCCTGCAGGGCCTGCCAAGTGCTTGCTGCGTTGCTGTGTGTGCCCCTTCTCTCCTACGTGTGTATCTGTGCTCAGCTGTGGCAGGTCTGGCTCTGATCTGGGATGCTGGGGCCACAGGAGAAGGCCTGATTCCATTTCTAGCAGGGCTATGTCACTCGTCTCTGGCTGTCATGGCTTCCCATTTGCTTCTCACAGACCCTGAAGGAATACAAGCTACCCCACGTTGTGGTGGGAAAGAAGAGCAGACTGGCTTGGATTCCTGCAGGACGGGTACCATTGCATATGGTCCCAGGAGCCAAGGCAATGCTCTGTTGGATGCACTTGCATTGGCATTCCTCTCTAGTGAAACCATGCTCCCAGTTTCCGTGAATTGTTTTGTAAGCAACAGTAATTCTGATGACTTACCTAGTGGTTCTACATGGTATTATATGTATAGGCTATAGCTATTCAACATTAACTTATGAAATAACGGGGGATTCATGCCTTTGGGAATTAAAGTGGAAATATTCTGCTGAGTAGCTGCTCATGGCCTCAAAACCCAGAAGTTCCTTTTTAGCAGCTCTGCACCCACATGTGCAGACAGCCCATGGCAGAGCTCAAGGCCCTTAAGTGGGTGGGTCTCACACGCGTCAAAGGTGGCTGGACTCTTGCTTTATCAGACTATATGGACCATATATCTTGCTGGTATTTTTTAGCCACCTGAGGTGTTCATTTGTTCTGCTTAGGCAGAAAAGTGCTGAGAGTTTGATGATTGAATTGAAAATAGTGAAAGTTGGCCATGATTTTTAAAGTGAATTTCCATTGCTGTGCTTGGCCACCTCATAACATCTGCCAAGACAGCTGGCTGCTTTACTGCTTGGGGAAGCGTTCTGCATCGAGCATTGTTAACTGAAGGTGATAATTTCTGATCTATTTATTGTCAGATTCTTTTAGCATCAGTAAATGGTTTAAAGGGGCTTCCGTAGGACTTAATTACTGTTGAGTGGTTTTAACGGTAGAATATGCTTTTCTAGCCTCTTGCCTTTCTAACACTCTGGAGTGCCGAGGTTTGCATAGCTCTTATGTCCCCTTGCTCTCTTTGAATGAGCAGACACTGCCAACGTAAAGGCTTTTGACACAGAGCTCAGAGGGATCCTGCATTGGAGGATCAGGTTAGGTCTGTGTGAGGAGCTCAGAGCACAGTTTCCATAATGCAAAATCCAGTTACTATTTAACGTTTTTTCATCCCTTGGGGGAAGACAGAGCTGCCGATTTTATTTTGGAAGAGTTTTTTTTTTTTTTCTGCTTCTCATATCACTGCCAGTTTTCTGAGACAACAGCAAGACAAAAGCACGCCTTGTTCTCAGACAGTGCTGTTTGCCCAGTGTTTCCATAGCTTTTTTTTTTTTTCTGAATGAGCTTGTAGGATATAATTCTCACTTACGTTTCTTTGGTCTTTAAAAGAAGGTAATTAATTTGGTATTGCCATTTAAACATATTGTGTAAAATACAGTTATGATGTTTTCAAGCAGGACCTAGCACTTGCCATAAGGAAGAAGCACAGAGGGTTCTGTGGGTCCATCAGTGCACCAGGAAGTAGCAGAGCATTTTGTGAAGATTTACTTAGAGCTAGGCAACATCCTTGCATAAATGCCAGGTCTGGAAGAGCAAGGATGTCAGAGAAGGTTTAGGGAGAGCTGAGAGAGGGAATACACGGGATTTTCTCTTTTTCTCCTTCTCTTTATCAGGATAATGTCTGAAGCCAGGCAGGCTTTTTATGTTAACTCTTTTGCTTAATGTGAGAAAGTAATGCTAGGATGAGCTCAGAGGATTTGTAATGGAGATGGATTGAGTCTCTTGTATCTAAAGTGCCAGTATAGATGGGAGCCAGGTTCCACGTCTCTGAAAGCTACCTGATTTCTGCTGGCTGATAAACCTGGTTGGCTGATAAAACTGCCTGTGTGAAACACCACCGCAGCTACCAAGGACAAACCTCGCTTAATTTTTCTCTATTGCTTTCTTTGACCTGTGGAGGCTAAGCTGACCCTTTGCCTCTAGCAAGGTCCCTGCCAAGCTGTTTTGGGAAGGCTGTTAGTTGAAGCAGGCACCTGTTGCAGCATTCCTGATCTTAAACACCATTCTGCTCTTGCCATATTGCTTTTTACCTATTAGTTGAAGGAAGGGGAGGTAATAGCAATATTTATGCATAAGCTGAAAATTTCATCTGTGGTTACATAGCACCATCAGCTACTTCTCAAAGGCTTTGTGAGTGGATGAAGCTTTTCCACGTCCCACCAGATGCAGAATTCTCCAGTGTCACCTTGCAGCATTCCTGTAGTCTGAGGTCAGTGCTCCCTGATGGAGCTCCCTGCGAAGGTCCCTGCCAGTGAGGGGGGAAAAATGGAGAAAGATGTGTAGTTAAATCGTGAAGACAAAATGCTTGATATCTGGAGAGAGGCTACCTTGCAGAGAAAGCCACAAATCACAGTAGCGGGAATTTACCTTGAGATACAACGTCCTGCCATAAATTGCATTTTTATCTTCCTTTCTTGAGGCAGCCATCTTTAAAGTGTCACCACTCTATTCAAGGTTGCCAGAGCAAATATCCTTACTGTAGGTTAGTGCAAACTTCTTAGGTGATTTAAACAGAATGAATTACAAGAGTGTGCAGTGCTGGTAACTTGTTTTTTTTTCCTGACACTGCTTGTTTGGTATGGCTGCATGGCTTACATGTAAGGAAAGAGTAAACCCAGTTACATCTATTGTATGTTGTTACCCAAGAGACCTTGGGAACATTTCAGAGGAGTGTTTAGGTGCGTGAACCCAACCTCACTCCTCACCTCCCAGCCCATTGTGTGCATGGGGCCGAGCCCAGCAGTGCTGTGATGTGCTATGGGTGGAGGGACAGATGGATGGACAGACAGATGTGCTTTGTTTGGGTCATGGCTCCCATGTGATGGGCACGTGGGCTGATAAAGCTGCTTTCTGGTTGGCTCCTGGCCTCCTGGAACATACCTGAATTGCACAGAGACCTGCAAGTTAATCTTTAACAAAGTGTTAGAAGTTAATGTGTCCTTTGCGGTGAGGGTGTTGTAGATCGGGAAATGCTGGCTTTCACCTTGGTTCCTGTTGGAGAAATGGGGTTTGAATGAAGGACATCACAGAATCACATAGAATGGCCAGAGTTGGAAGGGACCTCAAGGATCATGAATCTCCAACCCCCCTGCCACATGCAGGGCCACCAACCTCCTCATTTAATGCTAGACCAGGCTGCCCAGGGCCCCATCCAATCTGGCCTTGAACACCCCCAGAGATGGGGCATCCACAACCTCTCTGGGCAGTCTGTTCCAGTACCTCACCACTCTCTCTGTAAAGAATTTCCCCCAGACATCCAACCTAAATCTTCCTTCCCTCAACTTAAAACCATTTCCCCTCGTCCTGGACATTTGTCCAGGCTCTTGCCTAGGAGCCTGTTTTCAGAGCAGGCAGTGACTTCACAAGGAATATTGCTTCAGCAGCCCACAGGGTTTCAGCAAAGGGTGCAGAGGCACTTGACTGAACTGATACTGAGGCAGTTCAATTGATTTTTATCAAAGCATTTGCAGTTTCCATTCAAAGTTGTTGAACCGACAGTAATATGGTGCTGTTACCAGAGCTACTGCTTTGTTCTCCCCCCCCCCCCCCCTTTTTTTTTTTAATGAGAAAGGTGTGCAGTCACTTTTTATTTTCCTTTCTTCCTAAAAAAAAACTTAAGATCTTTCCTCAGGTTTCACGTGTCTTAAGATTTGTGTGAATCTTAGAACAGCAAAGTGGTTCCAAATAACTACATGCTGAGATAGATTTATTACAGGGATCAACCCATTGTAATGCTGTAGGAAGAATTACCCC